CCTTCAGAGTTATTCATGCGGGGAGCTGTCAAAATAAGAAAAATTCAAAGCCAAACCAAAATCACTGAACTCACACCTTTGTCACAGTTTCCACTATACACAGCAGAGAAAAATGATTCACAAAGTGAAAAGATTAATATTATTTGCATGTAATACACAAATGATACAGAATGTTCTAATCGAAATAATGTGAAAATGTTGGCCAGCAACTGGAGGATGGCTGTGGCTCTCGGTGTTAGACCATTTGCTCAACAGAGAGTTACTGATGCTGCAACATGTATATATACATGCATCATAAGGTATTTCAACCAAAACCTTGCTTTGCTACCTATATGTATAAAATGCAATGCCTGTTTCTCTTGATGAAATACATGTATTTTATCTCTTTATATACATAAAAAATATAGGATGCGAAAACACGTGAGTTATAATAGCGCCAGTGAGTAAGAAAAAGAATGCAAACCAGGCACAAACATTAACCAAATAATCCTGGAACTGATCTCGTTTCCTCGCCTTCGATTTGTTACTCAACTTGTAGAATCTTGGCGTTAACGCCTTGTATATTTAATTTGGCTCTTATTTTCTACATGTCGCTCTAACCCTATATTATCCTATGGTTTTCTTTAAATTTTGACATATACACGGCACTCAGAGCCATTGAGCAGTGGAGGAGCTTTTCCGTGCCAGCATCTACTTCGACACGGGACCTCAGTTTATACGTTCTTATCCGAAGGACCGGTTTCCACGTCCTACTGCAGGATTTTAACCCGCGATTTAGAGATCAACATCTTACTCCGCGATTCTACACAGGCGACCATTACAATTGGTGGTTGTACACTGTATTTTGCAAATTTTAACATACAAATCATTTGTCCTTTCGACTTACAGAAAACATTTATCGACGCGAGGTTATCGTGCCAACACCTACTACAACACAGGACCTCGGTTTACACTATTCCATCCAAAGGACCGGTCTCCATGTCCCGAAGTGGATTTTAATCTGTGACGTAAGGAGTTAGCTCATTAATTCGTGACTCGAGAGCAGACTCTCAAACCACTGCACCACGCGGGCGACCACTTATTTTGTCATCTGGTACGAATCTGGGTTTGAGTTGAAAGAGCAATATGGCATTAATAAGCATTTTCGTCTACTCTAGCAGTGATTTCCTAACCAATTTTTTATACTAGAGGAATTGTTTACCTGTAAAGAACATTTTTCATGAACATTTGTAGTATCTAAAACAACATCATTACTCTTAGGAACCAACCAAAAGGGTTCTACTGCAGCATACCATGTCAAATTAGGGAGTTAAATATATCCAAGAGGCTAAACTACATAATCCTTGCTTTTAGCTGTTTGGATCTTATCATCTAGAGACAAGGTCCTGACGCAGAATAATAATAAACCAGGAGTTTACTAGTAATCATCAAAAGCTAAAAGAGTTATTTTTCCCACCTTGGATCAGGTCAACAATTTAAGGACTATATACAAGCATTGTTGAACCAAGATTCCTGTGTATGAAAAGTCTCATTTAAAGACATCTCTTTGCAAGTTTTATGATCAATTTTTTGACCTCATTGTCAGCATCTTTGGGTCATATGATAACTGACGTTTGTCATAACACATGTAATTTTAGGCCATTGTTTACACACTGAATGAACTGTCCGTGGTTTTTCCCCTCATTTCTGATCATGTCAAGGAGTACACGGCGGGTGCGAGCGGTCGGAAGGGATTGCTCGCTCCTTTATAGCACCTAATCCAACCTCTGATGTTTTTGAGATTTTTGTTTGCTCTTCTCCCGATTTGAATTGCTTAATGCTCAATTCTTCCTGTTACAGCCAAGGACAAGATCAGCAATACCAGGCACATCTAATGGACATAATTCATAGTCTCAAACAGTAATTGCCTATAAATATAGACAGCAAAACACTGTACACATTTGTAACATCACAACTAAGGAGAGCAGCAAAATCCTATCGTGCCTTCCTAAAAGAGTTTTCAAGTTCTCAGCAAAGAATAAATGTCATGTAAAGTTGAAACTTCAGATCAAAAGTTAGACATTAATATTGACGCAGAAAATTTAACACTAGATGAATATAAGGGAGCAAGAGAATTACTTAATCAGAGACAGCAAACTTTTCACGGCATGACACTACAGCAAAGAATGGACACTGAAGTCCATTCTCAAGCAATGGTGTTATCGTAGAAATGACAATAATGAATATTTGATGTGCGTTGATTTTCGACAACAACTTGATGAAAAACGGGCATGCACTTTGTTTTAAGTTTGTTTATTTGTCATCTAACGTTCTTCTTGAGAATTTTTCACTCATATGGACGCCACCAATTGCCGGTAGAGGGATCTTTACACGCTAACACCAACAGCGAAACAAACCTCGGTTTATACAGTCTCATCCGAAGGGTTTCCACGTCACGCAGTAAGTTCGAACTTTTGACGTAAGGATCAGCTTCTTACTGCATCAGAGACAAGTACTAGGACATGTAACTTTGTCTTTAGTTTTAACAACCACTAACAATAAAAAAAAATGACCCAACTCCATAGAAGACTTCGCTGGAAAATAAGGAAACAACAAAAGAAACGACATTAAGTAAAGAAATGGTGTTTTCATGAAGAGAGTCATTTTTGATGGTAGACATTAAATAGCAAGACAGAGGGAGGAGAGAATTTGAACAGTTATGAGAATGTAATCCCGCAATACCATTTTATGTCTCAAGAAAACAGAACTTTACATACATTTGTAGGAACCTTATATTAATCACTTTTATAGCTTTGTGGGATTAGCAAAGACAAAACTAGAAACAACTTTTATAGATTCAGTAGCTGAATCGGCAATTTTTAGAGGAACCACTAACCAGAACCGGTTAAAGAAACACAAGTGAGAGCAAATCTGAAAAAAGAAAGCGAGGCCCTCGTGTATCAAAAGACTAGTTCTATATAATGTTAATGACGACGAAGAAAGTAAGATATTTTTGCGATTTTTTGCGATTCTTCAGTTTTGAGTCCATCCACGAATACAAATTTTGCGATTAAGGAGATATTCTCCTCATATTTCCTGTATTTATAAATTAATGAAATTTTCAAGGAATCATGAAAACAATATCACTGAGTGATGATATCAGTTACATTAAATTTCACTTTTTACATTAGAACAAGGTCACGTCTAGGTCATTACCTTTCCATAGACATTAAGAAGAAAATTACTCTTGCTAATCATGCGATGCCTAAATCTACTTCAAAAGATTGTTTTTCTTTTTGCATCAAAAGATATTGCCATATAAGGTCTATAAGATGATATTACGAAACTCACATACATAATTTAACTAAAATGGATTTTGGCAATCCGAAATGTCTCTTATTTTGAATTTTTAAAGATTTGTTTTATATGTGCTTTTATATGCTTCCTATATTTGAATTTTACCTATTTTCACATTTAGTAAAGTACATGTAGTCATATAAAGATACAAAATGCTAGAAAAACAAAATAAATTTGAACGAAGTAAGAAAGGAAATCACTTCTTATGGATTTATGGCTCAAATCTGTTATTACATTGGAAGCTCTTAAAAAATAATATAATCGTATTTTGTTGGAAAAATTATATTTATTTGATATATTTTAAAATTTAATCCCTTGTTATTACTTTAACTTATATTTGAAAAATGTCTTCGTCTTTTGACTGTGTATAAATCATAAGTAAATTCACTGTTTTATAGTAATTTTGAGAAGCAGAAAAGAAGGTATTTTCATACGCAGTCATCCTAAACAAGAAGAGAGGAATAAGCAAAAGTTGTCCAGAGTAGTACATGTACTAAAGATTTTTCTGAGAGTTTTGGTTTCAGAGGTACGGAGCAAGAAAGACAACTTTATAAAAGACAAATTTATTCCATAGAGACTTTTTGCGTAGATTTAGTGTTTATAAAAAAATACATGACCATGATATGAATCAGGGGAAGGGATGTGTTAAATGTTTAGTGAAAAGAGTCAAGAGATTTGGTGCTTGGCATGTTTTCCTAGTTTGTATATTCTACGTAGAAATGTTATTCCCCGAAAGGGACGCAAAACAATGTACAATCATTGAATTCTCTCGCCTTTGGCAGCATTTCATTTATTAGATTATATTCTAATATTTTTTATTGGTCCTTTAAAGTGTTGTATAATACTCAAGTGACTATTAAGGTACTTGGATCTCTTGTTTGTCTCATATTGACAACATGATTGGGTTTAAAAGAAATGAAAATGTCACGGTTCACCTTAAAAATTTTCAAGTGTTTATCGGATGTGTGATACTAGGTAAAATAATATAATGTCAATTGTATGGTATTTTTATTAATTCTGAATTTTTGATATGTTGTCTTGAAAAACAGTTTCGTTAGTCTTGTGTTTACATGTAGTTGTTGAGCGCATAGTTATAATATATTATATAGTGATTTTTTAAATAGTTTTCCATAAATAAAGTGATTTTCATAAGGATTTGACGATTTTGTATGAAATACAATCTGCACCGAACCATCATAGAGATTACATGTTAAAAAAATGACAACCTCTTTCACACATTCTCTTACTGAAAAACGTTTATTACGATAAAAACTATCAAAATATAAAAGATATGCATTATGATGTATAATGTCTTTACAAGTACAGAATAATGATACTAAAATACAATCTTCACACTGTACATATAGTGAATATTCAGTTATATAGTACAAATAGATGACAATACATACATAGAGTGCATCTTTTGTAAACAATATAAAACAAATCTTTATGTAATCGTTCCATACTAATTTTTATTTAAAATATGATGGCTAAATTATATATAAGTAGAATACTTTGTAAGAAATTAAAGTAAAGTTTTTACGTATCATGAAAAAAGTTCGATATATCATCACTAATATATGCAAATGACAACTAAAACAAACACAAAATAAAACACAAGGTAAATAAAAGTATGCAAGATGTACAAAAACGGCAGGTATTTATTCAAGGCAGCATGTCAGATTGGCAGGCATGTACTCAAGTCGTTACTTAATAATCTGTAAAAAAAAAAAATACAAATCATTCTTAATTTTGAGTGTGTCACCTTGTTTAATAGAATGTAGTAAAGTTTGTTATGTTGATCACCATATTACTCATCCATTTGATGCTTAATATGAATATTACTTTGCCTGTGAACAGAGGAGCAAGCAGAAGGTTTTTACGAACCATATGTTGTTGCTCATTACTAATGCCGTACTTGTAAACATTCAATCAATTCCATTGATCAGTATTCTCAATATATTGCTTGCTTCTCTGTTTCAAATGCAAAGTAAAATTCATTTTTGAAATCAATCATTCAATCCATGAGAAACAAGAGGCCCAAGGGCCACATCGCTCACCTGAGCACATCTACTAGGAAAAATCACATATCAGATCAAAACTGAAAGTTTACTGTGGGGGGGGGGGGGGGGCTTGAATTTTAACCCTCCTGGGTGTCATGATTTGAACAATGTACAATATACACCACCTGAGGATGATTCCATATAAATAGAAAAATATCACTAATCATGGCTTTGAAGTACTTGAAAAGAAGATTTTAAAAGGTTTCCTTATATATCCTTATGTACAACTTTGGTCAGCTATTTTGTGCCCAAAACTAGCCCCAGAGGTCATGATTTGAACAAACTTGAATCTTCACTAACTGAAGATGATTCCACATAAGTTTTGTCTTTCTTGGCCCAAAGGTTCTTGAGAAGAAGATTTTTAAAGATTTTTCTATATATTCCTATGTAAAACTTTGGTCAGCCATTTTGGCCCCACCCTAGCCCCGGGGGTCATGATTTGAACAAACTTGAATCTACACTACCTGAGGAGAGAGAAGAGAGAGAGAGAGAGATGAGAGAGAGGAGAAGTTTCATATTTCCTTTCTCAATGATTCTTAAAAAGAAGATTTTTAAAAGATTTTCCTATATATTCCTATGTTAAACTTTTGATGGCCATTTAGGCCCCACCCTAGCCCCGGGGGTCATGATTTGAACAAACTTGAATCTACACTACCTGAGGATGATTCCACATGAGTTTCATCTTTCCTGGCCCAATAGAAGAAGATTTTTAAAGATTTTTCCTATATATTGCTATGTAAAACTTTGGTCGGCCATTTTGGCCCCACCCTAGCCCCGGGGGTCATGATTTGAACAAACTTGAATCTACACTACCTGAGGATGATTCCACATGAGTTTCATCTTTCCTGGCCCAGTGGTTCTTAAGAAGAAGATTTCTAAAGATTTTTCCTATATATTCCTATGTAAAACTTTGGTTGGCCATTTTGGCCCCACCCTAGCCCAGGGGGTCATGATTTGAACAAACTTGAATCTACACTACCTGAGGATGATTTCACATGAGTTTCATCTTTCCTGGCCCAGTGGTTCTGAAGAAGAAGATTTTTAAAGATTTTTCCTATATATTCCTATGTAAAACTTTGGTCAGCCATTTTGGCCCCACCCTAGCCCCGGGGGTCATGATTTGAACAAATTTGAATCTACACTACCTGAGGATAATTCCACATGAGTTTGATCTTTCCTGGCCCAGTGGTTCTTGAGAAGAAGATTTTTTAAAAATGCTATTAATTTTTCACTAATTCATAATTATCTCCCCTTGGAAGAGGGCGTGGCCCTTCATTTGAACAATCTTGAATCCCCTTCACCCAGGGATACTTTGTGCCAAGTTTGGTTGAAATTGGCCCAGTGGTTCTTGAGAAGAAGATGAAAATGTGAAAAGTTTACGACAACGACGACAACAACGACAACGATAACGACAACGACAGACGACGGACAAATTTTGATCAGAAAAGCTCACTTGAGCCTTCGGCTCAGGTGAGCTAAAAACATCTAAAACTTTACCATGCTGTTACCGGAATAAAAGTACATATATTCGACAAATAATAATATAAACAATAATTACATGTAATAACTTTATAAAATTTTGTACAGACTGGTGTCTTTGTTACAATAACAGAGAGAGAGAGAGAGAGAGAGAGAGAGAGAGAGAGAGAGAGAGAGGCTGCTCCATATCATAGTACTTAGAACATGCTTCAAACAGACCTGAATTTAACAACCATGAAAAGGTTTCAAAATTATTTTGCAGTGTTCCAAAGAAACTTGTAAAACATCTTGTATATTCATATATAAAAAGTTTTATCAGTCTATTATCATGTAGGTCCATTGTTACCCCTAATAAAATATATTTCCTCAATATTTTCCTAATTTTTATTAAAATAAGAAATATTCTTGTCAAGAAAATAAAGTTCATAGGCAAGTTCATCTTCGCTAGTCAAGGGTTTCCGATTCGAAATCTACTCTTCGGATCGCAAACCCTTAGCTAGCGAAGATGAGGCAAGTTTAACAAATTGAGAATAGTGATGATCAATTTTGATCTAATCATTAACTTTTTCTCAGGTTAAGTACCAAGATGCATGTAAGAATACAAAAGATATTATTATTTAGTGCGATATTTATAAGGATAATTATATATATTAAGAAACTTACTACTTCTGCGGAAGTAATTCGAGGAAGATCTGACTGCCTTGACACTTGCGTCGCTGTCATTGCTCCAGGAATCATTTCCAAAACTGAAAGGTCCGCGCTTCCCTGTCGTGTCCAAGCGTTTTGGCATTCCTTTTATTGATGAATGTATCAAAGAATCATCGGTACCACCGCTGTAATAAAAAAAAAAACATCAAATATATGAGGGGAAAATAATTTCTTTGATAAATCAATATTTCAACTGAAAAAAGACTGGAATTTCTATATTCCATTTAAATTTTTTATACTAGTGTATCTTTCAATCAACTTGTTGATAATAACCTTTTTGTCAATCTTTGTTTCCTGTAAGTTGTAAGGCAACTTATAAAAGGAGGTTGGCTATGAATTATTTAAAAACTCTTATAAGTAACCGTTTTCCCGGAAATATGCTCTTACCTTTTCACGGATCTATTATCATAGTCTGGAATAGGCTCCCTATCACTTGTATCACGTCTTCTCTTCAGGTAAACCAAGACGATGACAAGAGTCAAAAGAACGATAACTCCAAACGAAATACCTATTCCAAGTCCCATTATCAACTTGTATGTTTCTAAAATTGGTCAAATGATAAGAAAAAATATTTTGATGTGGGTAAAAAAAACTTTTGCGATCCCTTTCTTGTAAAAAAAAAAAATTAAAATTAAAAATAAAACTTAAAATCCTGTTTAGTTTTAAAAATTGTTTAATTTCCTTTCGTTTTTAGAAAATATGCAAAAATTGCATTTAAATTTCCAACCAACATAGTCAGGCTTTAAAAATGTTTATTAAAAAATAACAAAACAATTATTTTATAAGCAGTCATGATTATTTTTCTTACCAGATATGGGCAATGGGCTGTAATGCAAAGAGTGAATTTTATTTCAGGGTAATTCATTGATACGTTATCAAATAAGATACAAAAACAGATTGCTTTTCGTTGTTGTTTTAAAATAAATAAAACCATATACCTGCAGGCGATATTTCCGTTTGTTTCCAAGCATGCATGGTTCTTGGGACATGGGTGTACCGCTTGATAGATATCGCACAAATCCAGGGAGCTGACATTAACTGTCGCGAAAAATTAAATCTTAAGAACCAATTTTACGAAAAAATTGTACATTACAAGGAAATCTTCATCATTATAATCTGATGTATGCATAATTTAGGTATATTTGATTAATTTTACGACCTCAAAGATTTTGAAACTGTACATACGAAATTTGTTTGTTACGGCATTTTTAAATTCAAGTGACAGTATTGTTTGTTCTCGGCCCCCATAAACAATCTTGACGTCTCCATTGGATAGACGTTGTAAGGCTTTTGTAATGTCCGTCTCTGGTACATTGGAGATTGCCTTTTCTGTTATTAATTCGTGATCAACTATAAGACTTCCAATTCTACAGAACAAACAGATTATCGATTTCGTTATTTGGTCTTTCTAGAAGTAAACCTTAAGTACAGGTAAATAAACTTTTTAATTGGTTTTGAATATATTATGGCAACGGAAAACTCATTTTACGTTATGTGCAGAATAACCACTCTCTCAAATCCAGTGATGGTTGCTTGATAGAACGAGGTAAGCTGAAAAAAATATTTAGAGACTGATTCAAAACGATAATATAATATTTAAGTGCCAGAAACTCCGCTTTTTCGAAGTAAATGTATTTAATAAATCCTTGTTGAGACTTACCGCAGTGGTCATTTGTTGGTATACCTGGACGTACTGACTCTCCAGGGTAATCAGGTCTGTCTGTATATCAAACCTTACTTTTATCCTGTATTTCTCTTCCTGAGCATCTAGTTATCAGAAAATTATTGGATTAATTATTGTCCTGGAATTATTTTAGAGTTTGCAAAAAAATGGTCTGGAATTATTTCAGTTTGGGAAAAAAGCTTTCTGTTTAATCATATATTACTTATTTACAGTGTCGGTTTAAAATACAATGTATTGTTCTACGAGTTTTAATATATACCTGTGATGCTAGGTTCCTTAGGTATTGCTGAAAAGGAATAAAGAAACTTTAAAATTTATTATGATCACAGAAAGTCAACTCAATTCTTTTTGCCGATATACTATTATACATAATATATACTATGATTTTTAATTTTTTAAGTACGAGGGCCGTTCAAAAATTACGCGGACTTCTTGCACAGAAAAATTATTTGACGACATAATCGGGCAAAATGTCACACATAATATAAAAGAATCTTTACTTATATGGTTTTCAAAATTTCCTATCAAAATGTTGTAAATTAATATCAATTTTGGTTGATTTATCAGGACATATTAAGTCACGGAGCAGCAAAACCTTAGACGTCACGGACATTCTAAAAATAATGTGAGCTTTCATTTTCTCAAAATTTCCCAAAGAGTTCCTATACAGTTTAAGTTACCTTATCTACTCAACATCCATACATTTCCTGTCAAGCTTAAACTCTATAAAACAAGTAAAGCATATCCTTTTTTGTTTTGAAACTAAAAACTTCAGGTATTTATGAGATATTGTGTGACATTGGTCACTCTCAATCACGTTCTTTACAGTCCGGATGAAGTTTTCGTCAATAATCTTCCTCCCGCTCTCCTGTATAGCATTTTAACAGAGGTCTAACGATCTAAAATTCTAATTTGCTATTTGTAGACAAATGTCTCAAATACCCTAGTTTACCATGTTTTATTATGCACATTTTGGATCTATGCTGGCGATATCTCGAGCATTACACATAATTTAACAAAAGTGTGGTGCTCCGTCAATTCAGGAGACATCATTTTCACAGTCGTTTTCAAAGGAATCGCACCAGAGAAAAATCACTATATATGTATTTCTGTTAGTACTTCAAATATCACGTCAGAAATCTAAATACATAATGATAGAACAATATAAAGATACGTTTGAAAAAATTGTCGAAAAATATCGCGAATGATAGAAAATTTGGATTCCGCATGCCTTTGTTTCATATTTTTTGTCGTGTTCCGTACCTCTCCATCAGGGATATCAACACAGCGATAATTTTTTAAAACACAGAAATTTTGCCCAAAATTTATTGGAATCTTTAAGATACATATTTCTGTGAAATTTCATAACTATAAGACGTAAAAGTAAACAAATATCAGAGTCCGCTTAATTTTTGAATGGCCCTCGTAACTTAAAGCAGATTAAAAACAAACATACATCTGCAAAACGTTCCATTTCCGACAAAGCCTGGCTTACAAGTGCAAATAAAATGCCCATCAGTATCGTTGCACTGAGCATTGGCGTGGCAGTTATGTTGCTGGGTACTACATTCATTTATATCTAAAAGTTAAAAAAAAGAACATGGGTTCCATTGTAAATGTTTTGGTTTCTACAATTACTAAAATGGTGTTGATGTATCAAGGAATTTAAGATACGAAAACTTCAGTCTTTACTTTCACAGAGACTATTCGGCATCATTTGATATCCCTCCAGGCATGAGCAGTTGAAGTGTCCGGGTAATTCTGTACATACGGCGTTTGGTCCACACCTTTCTGGTCTCTCTGTGCATTCAAAGATGTCTTCATCACAAGTCTCTCCTTGCCAACCATCTTTACATAAACACGTTCCTGTCACTTTATTGCATGTCCTAGTGTTGCTGATGTTACACAGGCACTGGTTTTTGCAGCTAACACCAAACGTCATATCAAGGCATTCTGATATAAAACAACACTTTCAATTATTTTAAGGACAGCATTGATAAACTACAATTAAAACAACCTGGTAATAGACCCTTTTCCTATTTTGTATTTTGCAAGATTTTTCCTAGGAGTTATTCCCCTTAGCCGCCATCTTGTAGGGTGAATTTATCTCTGAGCAACCAATTTTAAACATGCAGTCAAGAAAGATATGGGGGAAAATATTTACAATCTTAAATTATGAACTAGTGCTAATTGTAACGGGGACCGTTACAGATGTTCCCCAAACGCTCCCCAACTCCCTTTTGGTGCCATATTCCCTGTAATCTCTATTAAAGAAGAAATACTTTATGGAATTTAGACTTAATCAAGGTCTTCCCGGAAAAAAACAAAATATATTTTAAAATAGGCATTTCACGCGTGTACATGTGCGTAACGACCATATTATCTTGTCTACACTATCTAAAATTTTAATATACTTAATATCAAAGCATTTAATCCAAATGCATTAAAAATGCACTCATTCGAGTGTATTTTTAATTTTACTTATTTCACATGCACGGACTTGCACGCACGTGCAAGCACGTGCATAATGATTCACCTTCTTGTAAATATTTATCTATGTTCTAAATCCCATCCTGTTTGGTTGAAAAACAAGGGAGTTATAGCCATTTGAAGTTCCAGCCAATCAGATAGCAGCACACATGCATGCGCGTGATTTCATAATTTTTTTATCTTTATCGTATTGAAGGATATCAAAATGAATGACTATATTTTAAAATTCCAAATATTTCGTCAAAAAACAAAGGAGATATAGCCATTTAAAGTTTCAGCCAATCAGATTGCAGCACACGTGAATGCGCGTGATTTCATGATTTTTTTTCTATATCATATTTTAGTATATCCTAATGCATGACTATGTTTTAAATTTCAAAGCATTTCGTCAAAAAATAAAGGAGATATAGCCATTTAAAGTTTCAGCCAATCAGATTACAGCACACGCGCATGCGCATGCTTTCATGAAAATTTTTATATATCATGCTGTAGATCTTCATAATATAGGACTATGTTCAAAATTTCAAAAGATTATGATAAGAAACAAGAAAGATATTGAGACTTTAGTTTCAGCCAATCAGAGGGAAGCGCACGTGCATGCGCGTGAGATCTTGCCATATTGACCACGTCATCTTATTTATACTACTAATATATCCTCATATTATGAGTTTCAAAACATTTCATCAAAAAATAGAAAAGTTACAAGGTCATTTCACGTGTTGCAGAAGCACGTGCGCGCAAAATGACCTTCGTTCGGCAACTCTACATAACATGCCTACTAACCCTAAAAACATTTTATTTACAAGATCACTCGTGGAAAAATTTTCCCAGGAAGAAGAAAAATAATAATAATAATAAGAAACAGAGTTTCGTTTGGGGAACATAATTAATAGAGACTTTAACAAACGTACGAGGGCTGTTCAATAAATAATGTCCTCGGTGCTCAGAAAGAAGCAAAAGACGCTTTTCAATGATTTAGTTAATCTCTTTTAATTAAATCACATGTCCGTAACAGTTTTTATCCAATTTCTGATTGTTTTTAGAACTCATTTTTGGGTATGACCCCTAGTATACTGGAAAATTGCAGATCCAATGATTTCCTGGACTTGTTTTTTCCTTCTGAAAGGTGTTTTTTCAAGTTTGGAAATAGAAACAAGTCAAAAGGTCAAAGATCTGGCGAATATTGTTAATGTGAAAAAATATTTACTATCTGTTTATCCCGAATACCCCTTTACTCTTCAGGGCGTGCGGGATTGGACGCTGTCATGAAGAAATTTAATGTGGCAGATTCCTGATTCTGGGTCCCTCCTCTAATAAACCTTTCGATTTTTTTGCAAACAATTTGCTTTTTACACTTCTCTAGAAATTAAGCTGTCTCCCCGAATACGAATTTTAACAACAATACCACTAATATTTAAGAAAATTGCATATAAATCTGTCTTTGTGCTCTTGCAATTCTTTGCTCTCACCAGACCTTCACTTTTTTTGTCAAGTACATCTTATGGTAAATTTTGTTTTGAGGATTTTAAGCAATAGATTCAAGTTCCATTATCTATTTGAATATCAAACAAACATGGATAACTACAGTTACTGATATTTTAAAATAATTGTTAAAACATTCGTACACGCTGTCATTTTCTCTCATTTTTCAAAATATAGGGTGACCTTTGAGTACTAAGCTTTTTTACCGTCAAACGTTTCCTTAAAACAGTGTAAACTACCCCCAAAATGATGTCTATCAAATTTGCCATGTGTCCCGAAGTCAATCATACATCATCAAATATTATTTGTTGAAATTTGACAAACAGTACATAAATTGTTATAATTTTTTGTTGGCAAGGACGGTACCCATTTTTGATGCCCATTATAAAAAAATTTATCATCGAAATCCACCTGCTCATTTGTCTATAAAACAGGCATTGGTTACTGTAAATGTCACATATTTCAGTGAATATTTCTTTGGGATTTTTAAGAAGTTTTAGAGCAGCTTTGATGAAGCTTTTATTTTCACTCTAGTTTACCGATTCTTTACCATTCATTTATAATGCAGTGTCTCGAATAGCCCTTGTTTCCCAGCTTCTCACAATGAAACTATGTGATGAAAAGTGGTCACATAAACTGTTATAAATTCATTAAAGATTCAATTATGAGAGAAAGTCAAGTTTAATATTATATGATATCTGTATTGTATGTCATACAGTTCAGGACATTATTTATTGAACAGCCCTCGTATATTCATAAGAAAAATAGTGTTATCTTTACCTCAGTAAGCAGTATAACAAATTGAACTTGGTTGAATAATGAAGGGATCTGCGAATGTTGAACTACAATATGGTGGCCATGGAGAATAACTCTTGCTTAAATCACCTCAATGGAAAATACTCTGTATGCTTATCTCAGATTTTTAATGTACCGTTTGGCAGTAAAATAAAGAAGCTCTAATCTTGAAAGCTGTAGGAGTTATCCTATAGTTGTTTAAAGACGTGGTATTTTCATACAAATTATTGAAATTTAAAAACACTAAAATCCAGAAATATACATATCTCTTATACAGGTATATGTTTAATAACTTTGTCAAAGAAAAATATTATCTTGAAAACTGTAGACATTTTCCAGACAAATAGGGAACCCCATATGCAGTTTTTTTTTTTTTGCAAAAAGGTTGGTATAAAAAAATAATAAAAATTTAAAATCGAAACAATAAGCACATCTCTGATACAGTGTATTTGTACAAATGTAATGCAACAACATATCATATGTTAATCATATGTTAAATAAATGATGTACATATTCGACAGCCACCAATCCGACATTTTTATCGTTTCCTGACGTATCCTGATTTTTAAAACACAAATCCGTTTAAAATGAATACTGACCCGTACAGTTGAATCCATCACCAAAGAAACCACTGTCACAAGTACAGGAGAAGTTCCCGACAGTGTTCTGACAAGAAGCGTTTAGATGACAACCACTGGTTCCATCACTGCATTCATTGACATCTATGTTAAAAATTTATTTTGCCAAAATAAAAATTAAGACAACAAAAACAGCACTCTTTCTACATTAAATAGGAAAAAGTCTTAAAAATAATTTTACCGCTACAGGTTCTGCCGCTACCAAAGAAACCAGGTTTACATTCGCAGTAGTAGTTCCCAAATGTGTTTATACAAGAGGCATTAGGATGACAGCTGTGAGTCTTCTCCTCACACTCATCATTTTCTGTGTTAAAATTTAAACCAAAGGAAGTATGAAGGAGGTAAAATCAATAGTCAAAAATAAAATAAAATGGTTAGGTTAATACCTGTTCATGTATTACATGTAGAGACATTATATGATACCTAAGCAGGTAATTCCATTGCCATAAAAACCTGGTCGACAGGTACATGTGTGACCCCCAATTGTGTTGTTACAGAACGCATGCGTATCACATAAAGGCGTGTTCCTTGAACATTCGTCGATATCTAGTAAGCAACAAAAATTCGACAAAAGAATAATCAAGATGAATTGATTTAAGGTAAAACGTAATTTAAGCTAGTGGTTTACCTTTGCATGTTTGTCCATCGCCTTCGAAACCGTCATTGCATTGACAGAGAAAACTTCCCATTGTGTTCTTACAAACTGCATTTGAGTGACAATTCGATATACCATCCAGACACTCGTCTATGTCTGCGTGAAATTAAAACAAATTTGAAGAATATCAATGCTACATGTATAAAATTGTTAAAAATGGCAAATACACCATGTACATTGAAATTGTGTTTCAACGTAAAAAAAAACAACCCTTATCATTTCCAGGGTCTATTACGGTCAACGTTATTGAATTTATATTTTGTTTCATTTCAATATGTTGTCAGTGATGAATTTTTTTTGTTTATACTTTTGGTATTTTTTCCTTAAAAAAATTGGTTAATATTTGAAAAATAGAATAATTCTGAGTATGTCTAAAAAAAGCAAATGATTAAATCGATTGTACATGTACTCGTATTAATAAAATGAAGAGGAAATACAAACCTGAGCAATTCTTTCCATTTGCAGTAAACCCGGGATCACATATACATTCGAAGCTGCCAATGGTATTGTTACATTTGGAATTTGGATCACAAACGCTCGGCGATGAACATTCATTCAAATCTAATAAAAAGTGAAAAGTTCACTTCAATAATTTTTAAACCTTACTATTTGTGCATATGAAAGAAAAATTCGGATTACTCAATTTGAAGCAAAAGAACACAATAAAGACATCTTACCCGAGCAAGCATGTCCATCTCCTGTAAATCCAGAATCACATGTACATAAATAACCACCTATGGTATCTGTACAGCGGGCGTTTGGGTCACATGTATGGGTACCTATTGCACACTCATCAATATCTGTTTTCAAAAAACAAATGAAAAAATATTTTCTTAAATTTCAAAATTAAGAAAAATCTACCACGTTATTCATCTTTAACTATTCAAAAATGCAAAAATCTCCATAGCATTTTTCCAGTGCTTATTTCACTGGTCAAATATTAATTAAAGATAGAGAATTTTTATTATAAACAAATGTTCATATTGTCATCAAGTTGCAAAAGAAACTAAACATTACATAATTATTCGCAATACATAAAATTAGTGTAGTAGTTATCATACTTGAACAACTTCTAGAGGAGGTTTTTTCGAAGCCTGGTTTACACTGACAGCTGAAAGAACCCGACTGTTCAATACAGATTGCATTCCCACCGCAGATATTCGGAGTCAGAGTACATTCCTGTACATCAGTAGAACAATTAAGTCCGGTCCAGCCTTCTCGACAATAGCAGGTACCGTTTCTTTTATCACATGATATTGTGTTTCTTTGATCACATTGGCACTGGAATCCACAATTCCGACCGTAACTGTTTCCAGAACATTCTAAAGACACATTAAATATAGCTTAAACATTCATTATGCTAAAAAAGCCAAATAAAATATTCCATCTTAATAATAGAACCAACTTTTAAAAAATCAGTTTTACTTTAAAAGGACAACCATTTTGTTATCAAGGCTTTCAATTTATATCATAAAATACATTCCACCTTTTGTGTATATACATGTATTAATATTGATAAACATACCAATACAGAGTCCACCCGCCATGGCTGTTCCTTCATCACATAAACAAGTATAAGAGCCCATGGAATTAACACAAGAGGAAGACCGAGGACAGGGATCAAACTGCCTACATTCGTCGATATCACTCTCACAGTTTGTTCCATTCCACCCCGGTCTGCATGTACAAGTACCAGTAACACGATCACAGGACACAGAATTCTGGATGTTGCAGGGACATTGATTTGCACAATTGGGACCAAAACTCCACTTTGTACAATCTAAATATGCAAAACAATTAAATGTTTAATTAAGATTTCACGAACGCATTCATTTAAATTCAAACTTTGAAAAACTATATTTCAAGTTCTATATCTAAAATAACTTAATTTCATTTTACCTGTGCAGGTGCGTTTGTCTTGATCTAACATTTTGCCCACTACACAGGTACATAAATAACCCTGACCAGGTGCATTCTGAACGCACGTTTGACTACAAGGATTAGGTGAACAGTCATCTTGATCTGGAAATAATTGCCATGAAATGCATTTAACATTAGAACATGCAAAACATGTGTCTTTATAGTAAGTACACTCAAAATAGAGAATCCGTAATGAAAGATCTTAGAAAATCACAAAGTCTATCTACCGATGCATGTTCGGTTGTCTGTTACGTCTAATATGTAGCCATTTTCACAAAAGCAGTACTCTGACCCATCAGCTTTAACTCCACACTTCTGAGAACATGATGCAGACGCATTTGAACACTCGGTCTTTGCTGCAAAATGTTAAAGAGTTTTTGAAAAACAAAGTTATATTTCCAAGGTATTAATAAGAGTTTTCAAAGGTTTTTGAAATTTACCATAACAATCTCTTCTGTTTGTTGTGTTCAACAGATACCCGTCATGACAGCTACATTTGAAGCTACCCAGTGTATTTGTACAGACTTGATCACATGGCTTGACTGGTGAGCTGCATTCATCAATATCAATACACTGGCTTTCACCAACGAGTTGAAATCCATTGAAGCAACCACAGGAGTAACCTCCAATAGTGTTGTTGCACAGCTGAGAACAAGGGCGGCTCACGCATTCATCAATATCTGCATGATATATCAATATAGGATATACTGTATGTAAAAGCAATGAAGAATGAATGAATGAATGAAAGGATAGCAGTGAAAACAAATTTGATCAGAAAATTGAAATATAACCCATTGTAAAATCAAAGCTGCTAAATGAATTAGAATTTTACCTTCACAATTCCCTGATCTATCTTCGAATCCTTTCTGACAGACGCATTGATAGGAACCAGGAGTGTTGATACATTCCTGGTTAGCCAGGGTACAGGGATTTTCCATGAAACACTCATCTACATCAGCATTGCATTTGGCACCAATCCAACCATTCTTGCACCGACAACCAATCACAGGGTCACAATGAGAAGCACCTGCTCTGCACTCACAAGGAGTCTTGCAGTTCCAACCATATGAAAAGCCATCACACACTGAAAGAAATACATAATGACCGAAAAATATTTTATGTACGCTTGCAAATGGAATTTATAATGAATAATTGAAAAAAAATCTGTTTGCCACTAACAAGGAACATAAAGGAGAAGTTATCTCTAGAGAATGAGAAAAAGTTATCTTAAACTAAATGTTTACCACTACAAGTCCTTCCATCGTTTTCTAAGTATCTGCCTTCAGGACAAGAACAGTTGAAAGAGCCTGGCGTATTTACACACGTTTCTCTCATGGAGCATTTATTTAAAGTGATATTTGCACATTCGTTTACATCTAGAATAAAACAAATTTAAAAGAACAGTCAAAACAAATTACAGAGACTCTGCAAAAAATGAAGAAATTTAAATCATATCTTTGAAGAGTTTCAAACCTATGCATGATGATTTGTCAGACTTGTTGAGTATGTATCCCTCTGGACAAAAACATTTCCCCTGTGTTTGATTATTTGAGTCTTGTTTGCACCCATAGCTGCAGTTTAAGCCAGGAAAGAGAAGACAGATATCTTGAACTGTAAATTGCAGAATAAAAGAAAATTACAACAATAGGCTCTTTGATAAGTCGCTCATCTGCGCACTTCGGCTAGAGATAAAAGTTAAAGTTCAAAAATAAAAAAAAATATAAAAATACATAATATAGTAAGTAGCACCATATAAACCTTAATTGACAATCAGGTTTCTATGTTAATGGGGCTAATTAAGTAAATGAGGGCTCATACGGAGGAGATTCAAACTGCCTACTCTGCAAATCTAGGGTACATACTCTAACCATTGGTCATGATTTTAACATAATAGTTCTTGACTCTGTATACCATCCTTAATGATTTCTCTGTAAATATATTACTTTCTAGTATTATGTTTTTACTTTTCTTAAGAACAGTTTTAAGGATATTTGCTGTACGTTCCTGTTCTCTGTTTTGGTCCTTCCCTATTCCCGGGGGTTATTATTATTTGAACAGACTTGAATCGGCATTTTTGCATGTAATAAAACCTTCTAAGATGTGTAATTGACTACTTCCATTGAAAAGGGTATGTCCGTTCATGTGTTAAAACTTTAATCTTCATCAACAAAAGCTTTGTGGCAAGTTTGGTTAAAATCAGTGTTGTGGATCTTAAGAAGATGAGCACATGCAGAGTTTTCGAAAATGACAACAGAAAAGGGACATTTTGATCAGAAAAGCTTTTAAAGCCTTCAGCTCAAGTTAGCTTAAGCACGAGCAAATAAGGAACATTAAATATCAAATATTTAATCAGTATATTGATTCAGTAAATCACCTTTTGAGCATGTTTGTCTGTCATCGTTCAGGGAGAATCCAAAATGACAATCACAATCATAACTTCCATTTACGTTGTTACAGATCTGAGTACAACCATCAATATTGGCTTCGCATTCATCAAAGTCTACAATAGAACCATTACTTCAATTTACAGTAAAACTCGGTTGTAGCGAAGTCCTAGGGACCTGTGACTTTAATTCGCTATATCCTTAATTCGTTATATCCGTATAACGAATTCGTATAACCATTATAGCGAATTCGCAATATGGATGTTTTCCTTCAAGTATTACTACAAAATATATTAGGGAAATTATATTACAAAAATATCTTCGATAACTAAGGTTTTATTATGAGTTGGAATTTATATAAAAATTCTTGAAGGAAATAAAGTCAGTTCTATTTATTAATTTTTTATAATCTTTGAAAGTTTGTTATAAAAGATGTAAATTTCATTATATTTAACCTCTACGGCACTCAAAATCAGTTCGCTATATCAGTAAATTCGTTATATATCAGAGTTCGTTATAACCGTAAAATTTTACAAAGATTTTCTAAGAATTTTGCCGGGGACCCACAAAAACCTCGCTATATCCGTGAATTCGCTATATCTGTGTTCGTACTAAACGAGTTTGTATGTACAATGCATTGAAGCAAGCATTATCCGAGTTATTAGAAAATAAAAACATCTTTCTGTTACTCAAATTTTGCAGATAAGGTAAATAAAATATAATAGCTGACCTTCACACTCGAATGTATTTTTCTGGATGTATCCAGCCTTGCATCGACAGCTAAATCCACCATCTTTATTTTCGCAGACAGATGTAAGAGACGAGCAGTTGTTAGATCCAGCATTTGCACATTCATCCACATCTAAAATTATTACAAAAAGTTGTTATCTTGCAAAACAAAAAACAAAAAACATGTATTGACAACAATAACAAGAGGCCCATGGGCCACATCGCTCACCTGAGCACTAAGGGTAGGAAAAAGTAGAAAATGGCTTTTTATTGTAAAGTTTAAATCCAAAAGTAGTCCCATGACCAATCATGGATTTGCTATTTTTTAGAAAATGATTTTTAAAGAATTTTCCTATACATATCTTTAAAAACTTTGGACGGCCATTTTGTTCCCGCCCTACCCCGGGGGTCATGATTTGAACAAACTTGAATCTACACTACCTGAGCATGCTTCCATATAAATATGATAAATTATGGCTTTGTCATTCTTGAGAAGAAGATTTTTAAAGAATTTTCCTATATATTTCTATGTAAAAGTTTGGTCGGCCATTTTGGCCCCGCCCTACCCCCGGGGGTCATGATTTGAACAAACTTGAATCTACACTACCTGAGCATGCTTCCCCATAAGTTTCATCTTTCCTGGCACAGTGGTTCTTGAGAAGAAGATTTTTAAAATATGCCACCAAATTTTCATTAATTCCCAATTATCTCCCCTTGAATGAGGGCGTGGCCCTTCATTTGAACAAACTTGAATCCCCTTTACCCAAGGATACTTTGTGGCATGTTTGGTTGAAATTGGCCCAGCGGTTCTTGAGAAGAAGTCGAAAATGTGAAAAGTTTACAGACAGACAGACGGACAGACAACAAGACAGACGCCGGACAAAATGTGATCAGAAAAGCTCACTTGAGCCTTAGGCTCAGGTGAGCTAAAAACATTTAATTGTTTCCTATTGATGTTCTTATAATGTATAACCAAACCTCTTTCCAAATAACATGAAATTGCTTTGGATCACATTAGATTGAAGGACACATAGAAAATCATTACAAACCGACACATCTGTCTGCATCTTTTCTGTATCCCTGGCGACAGTCACATCTATAACCTCCTTGTAAATTGTGACATATTTTATCTGTACCACAGATAGTTTGGTTAACGATGCACTCGTTGACATCATGGCTGCAGTCTGACCCCGTCCATCCAGTTAAACACACACATCCTTGTACTGGATCACATCGGTCCATTCCAGCACCACATTGACACATCTGACTGCAACCCTCTCCGTAGTATGGAGCATCACATTCTGAAAATATTATATAATTCTCATTTTCTTTCTGTATTTTGATTCAATTTATTTCTGTGTTCTCATTGTGTATACTCTCGTTTGTAAGCTAAAAACCAGTCTGGTACTGTGCAATCCAACTGCAATATTGTAATCGGGGTTCTTACAGAATACTTCTGAACACGATTACTCATATAAAATACTTCAACATAATTTGAGCACCTTTGGATTTCCTAACAGCGTGATATTTTTTTTCGCACAAAACTGTATTACATTTATTCGCCGCTTTATTCATATTAGTTAACCAAACAAAAAGCTGTGTTAAAATAAAAAAAATACATAAACATTGATGGTTTTAAACAGTGAGAACACATATAAGAGAAGGTTAAACATAATTACCAGAACAGGTTGTCTGATCCTCGTTCAGCCGGTATCCAACATAACATGAACATCGATAGGATCCCTCAGTATCCAAACAGTGTTGTGAACAAATGCCGCGTTCACACTCATTGATATCTGATAATAAAAAGATATTAAAATAGAATGCCATGCTTCTATTTATAACTGGATGATTCAAAATAATTAAATTATTCTCAGACAATACATACTGGTGCAATTTCTGTTATTGTTTGTAAGCTCATAACCAGCAGGACAAATACATCTATAGACACCAGTAGCATTATCACAGGCATATTGACAGGAAAGCCCAGCAAGCTTACAAATGTCCGTTTCTGAAATCAAAATAAAGGGAATGTAATTGAATGATATTTGATTCACTGCTACCGAACATGATAAAAAAAGATCTTGAAAAAAGTCTTTAAAATGATATGCAAGTAAGAAACCTGTTTGCAGACATGATCTGTTATCTCCTTTCAGTTCAAAACCTGTGACGCAGGAACATACAAACAAACCAGCAGTGTTGTCACACTTCTGCTCACATCCTGAAGTTCCCTCAGTACACTCATCAATATCTGAAATAAATATACTGAGAACTCTGTCTACCTATATTGACAAATATCTGTTGTCCGGGTGACGAAGTTGTTACATCATCTGCTGTAGGGTAGGGAGTTTGGAGTTAATCGTTAAGACGAGGGTTCGAATCCAAATTCATGTGGAATACTGGCAAGTGGTGGCGACTCCACATGAGAGAAACAATCTCGACAGGAAAGTTAAATTTGAAGAAACAAAACAAATATCGATTTATTTTAGGTACCGGTAAGATGGAAGATGTTATATAGTATTCAGTTTATTGAAGAAAAAAGTCTCATACCTTGACAGGATCCATCACTCATTCGGTAGCCATTAAAACAATGACATTCGAAACTTCCTTCTGTGTTTTCGCACACTTGTCCACATTGGTTGGATGAAGTGGAGTTGCACTCATTGATATCTGAAAAGAAAGTGCCATTAAATTAGATACTCAATGCTTAAATGGAATAAAATTTAGATAATGCTAAAACAAACCATACCTTGACACTTATTGTCAACATCTGCATATCCTCTAGGACAATCTGAGCAGTTGTATCCTCTGCCAATCCTCAATTCCTCCTCAGCTGGAAGGTCCGTACAGTTACGTCCAAGAGGACAAGGATTATCTGTACAGGCGTCAGAGTCAAGTTCACAATCGTCACCTGCAAAATCGATATATTAGAGGACAAGAATAGAACTAAATTTATTCAGATTTTTTTTATATCGTTGCATACATTCAATATGTACATCAATTTTTTTTGATACAAATGATAATAAAATTTTATCCGTTCTTGCATACCTGTGTATCCTTTGTTACATACACAGCTTGCAAGCCTGAATGTACTATTTGAAATGTCACGTGTTCTGTTGTAATCACACTTGCCATGATGACTACATGCACTACACAGTATCAGGATGATATCCATTGCCGGGGCGGATACTCCATCACTGTCAATGACGGTTATACTGAAAGGAAAAGTACCCGTGTACGTTAGAAAATAAAAATTTTCAATATGATCATTTATACACTCGTTTATGTAAAAAATACTTTGAATTTGCAAGAAAATGCATATGATTTACTTTTCATTGCAAATGATATAAAGTGATATTTAGAAGGAAGCATTCACAAAATCATTAACTTTGAAAAACAATTTCCTGAAACATTTTTTTTTAAATTAACAATTAATTTATAATGTCCAACTGAATTGTTTTGAACATCTCATTTTACTTAAAATCGTGCATGAAAATTTCTGTTGTTATTTCAGTCATAAACAGGAATCATACCTTATGCTTGTGAAGTCAGTATTTGATGGTGTCCAAGAAGCTATACCTGTCACATTGTCAAAAGAGAAGCCAGTGGAAGGTTGTTTTAGCACCTGATAGGTATAGCTCTTATCGTCAGAGGCATTAAAACTAATCCTTACACTTTTGTTTACTTCTGCATGAATAACTTCGTCACCATCAATAAAAGGAGGTTGATTTTCTATCATCAAAAGGAAAATGTTATAATCATTAGACTGTGGATGTGCAACAAAAATTCTCTCGAAACAATTAATCACATACTGTGGTTTCATTAATAATCGTTGAAGATCGATTTTCGAGGATTTCGTTGTTGGGCAGATCCACGAATTAAAATGTTCACTGAATTAAGAAATATGCTATCAATTTGTACAGCCAATTTTTTTGTCTATGAAATTACGAATCCTCGAAAACGTCTGGTTTTACATAATCCACAAAAATTGATGCCAACGAAAATTAATGAAACCACAGTAGTTACAGAAAAATGTCAAGAAGGTGAAAACAAAATTCATATACCAATATTGACAAGGTCCTTTTTGTTGGAGCTATCTGTGTTTCCTGATGAGAGAGCAAGAGCTTTATCTCCTGTTGCCAAATAGTCAAAAATACACGCCTGTGAAGCCAATTCCCCGCCGCAGGCCTCTCGAGCTGCGCTTCTCTGATCCTCTGGATACTCATCAACAAAGAAGGGCACGAAGTCAGGATGAGAATAGTCAGTATGCGATAGTCCTGAACCGTAATGGAAGATAGACGTAGACTCGTTTACAGCCCCTGGAAATAAATTTAATCATTGGTGGTATGCAATGGTATATCAATAACTATTATCTTGACAAAATGATATAGAATACTATGATACATGCACAGTAAATAATCATAGTTTCATAGTTATTTTTCATTAAAAAGTAAACGTGTAAATATGTCGTTATATTAATTCAAAGTTTCAAATGTCATTTTAGCTACTATGTTGTTATAATAATTCAAAATGTCAGATATTTTGCCATAAAAAAAATAAATTTTCAGTTTTTCTACATTCAAATTTTCTTATGAATTTAACGTTCAAAGAAAAGTATTAAACTATCATATGTTTATGAAAAAACCATATAAATGCAAATATAAAGAAGGACATCATAAAATCGTACACAACTGTCCAAATCTGTGGTAAATTTTTCTTTCCGTGTTGACTTCCTCTTGTTGTAAGATAGTTCCGTTAGGGAGAATGAAGTCATTGGATCTATCTCCATCAAAGTTGCCCATCAGTCCAGTAACACTGCCATTGTATTTGGAATCCACTACTGCCTCAATTGTCAGAAACCGTACTCCTAATGTTCCCTTTATTGTTATGGCTAAAAGACGAAAAATATTTACTTTTCATGGATGTTAAACAACTCGAAGAAACAACACTCATTATGAGCTTTATAAGATCAACTGCAAATATAATCAGCTACTTACAGGAATTAAGGAAGGTGGCCATGTATGTTTGGTTTTCTTTTGTAATGGCCAAATATCTTGTGAAATATCTGTATGAACTATCATCTTCAAAATTGTTAGTAATATCCTGATCATTTCCTCGAATGTACATTTCTAAATGAAAACAACAAATATATATATTAAAAAGGTTGCACAAATATATATTTGAAACCGCTCACTTGCACAATATACTTAAGAAATTAGATCTGCATTTTCAAATTTATATTCCCTGTGAATTTATTTAATAAAAAACGTCTTAGTTGACTTTCTTAATAGAATATTACTCACTGTCTTTATGTCTGGAGAGTTCCACTTGAACAAAGGCGCCCGTGTCATCCCTGGCAGCAAATGCACTAAATATGGTAGCATTGATTGTTGTACCATTGGCGCCCTCTGCCAAGTCTGTTCTGGCTTGAAGCTCAAATTGTTTCTCGTTCGTGTTTATCCTCATCAGAACGTATTCGTCATATCCATTGAAAGTATATTGGTGTCCATCAAGAGTATTAATATGAGGGTCTCCAAATAACCAAGCTTTGGAGTAAAGCATCACAATTAGTTATGACTGAGGTCTACAGGTTTGCAAACTGTGGTAAACATTGTTTCAATTCGTGGAGATAAAAAATGCAAGATTAAGACGAAAAGGATTAACATACAATCAATTTATGTCAACCGTATTTTGTAACTATAGTGTGGTTCTCGATTTAATTATTTGGTGTAAATCATCTTGTTTATTATTAAGTTTTATGCAGTGAAAATATCATGCACAACCGTATCTTGTAACTATGGTGTGGATCTCGAATTAATTATTTAGTGTAAATCATCTTGTTTATTATTAAGTTTTATGCAGTGAAATATCATGCACAACCGTATCTTGTAACTATAGTGTGGTTCTCGAATTAATTATTTAGTGTAAATCATCTTGTTTATTATTAAGTTTTATGCAGTGAAAATATCATGCGCAATTCACTTACAGATCCAAAAGCTGGATACCCTATAACACCATGTTCTTGGTCGAACTTCGTAGTACCAGTCACAATGCCCAGAACTACAACAATGATCTTTAGGTAGAAGATCCTCGTTATAATGTTGCGACGGATCAAAAAACGGGCTGTACTCCAGGAGGGTTCCAGCTGCTGGTCTTGTCCAAGTACGAGTGGTGGATCCAAACCATCCAATGGACCACCAAGACCATCCGAACCAACCGAACCAAGAGTTACGGATTGGGTAACAACATTCCTAGAAAAATACACATGATTCTTTGACAGACGAAGACAAAAATTGTTCAGAAAAGCTTACTTCAGCTTTAAGCTCATGAGAGCTAAAAACACATCGTTCTTACCGCACTTCCTATGAAAGACATCATAGAGGCATAACATATTACACCATTTGTTATATCGGTTCTTGAATATTGGAATCCACCATCAAAAACAAGCCAATCGATTTGACAGGGACAAATGTTAGACCACCACTGTCTTCGATTGCGAAGAATTGTGTTCATTTGCTGGTTCCTATTTCTTATGTACCAATTAAAGCACGAAAGTTCATTGCCTGAATATTGTATGTCTGTTGTTAATTTGTATATCCAAAATCCAGGAGTTCCTTCAAAAAGAGTTGTATACATATATGTAGAAAATCAGCATAAAGATTCCTCTGGGCAAAAAGGAAAATCCCAATTACATGATACTCAGTAAATGATTAACGTTCACATTACGGCTTCGAAAATAATTTCGAATTCAAGTTAACTTCAACTTACAATACTCAAAAAAAGATAAGTCAACCAACCTAGGCGCAGCATTTGGCACTGTAAAATCACATTTTTCTTGGGGTTAGATTCTCTTGGATTGAAAAAAAAAATCATACATGGAAGGGGGTTGGATTTCATGGATGAGCTATTGTTGATTAGTTATGTATAAGGAATTTTATATTTCGTGTTGGAAATTAATTTGCCGGTCTCTTCAAACCTCAAAAAACAGCAAAAACTAACCCCATAAGAAAAAAGTGAATTAACAGTAATTGTCTTTCACGAAAAAGATAATGAAATTTACCTCTGTTGCCGGGTATTTGACTGAGACGGAAGGCTCCTCTCTGACAAGAGTATGGATTGCTAGTGAAGAAACTCCTATATCTATATCCCACGGATATATCAAGTCCATTGACGAACAATAGGTTTACATCAATGTAATAAAACATTGTAAATGTGTTCATTCCATCCGTTACTAAAATAGCTTGTACCGTTACATTCTGAAAAAAGTTATTGCAGGGTTCCTAACCAACATCAATAAATGTAATTATAAGCCTTTTGTAAAATCATATTTTCGTTTAAAATATATATCAAATCAAATTATAATTATGCTTTTCTTATTAACTACCTGCGTCCTGTTTGAAAACAAGGCCATGTCTTTCCACGTTACTTTCAGCATCCATATCGCTTCGAAACTCGGGTAATCATCACTGTAATGCGTTCTGATTACACGGTTTGCTTTATCCAGTGTTAACTGATCGCTCCAATGTCCTCTGTGGATAGAAAGGAAGGTGAAATGAAAGTTTGCTATTAATCTTGCCTCTTTTTAAGTATTTTTTTTTTTTGAATAGATATCATTAGACTATGCATGATTGATTTATAGTATCATAAAACAAGTCTGTGTCCGATAGGTAGCTGTCAAAACTGATTTTCTTGTTGTTTAATAACTTGATTGTAAATATAATATAATTAGATTTTTAAATGATAAAATAATTATCTTTCCCTACATTTACATATTGGTAAAAAAAAAATAAACGATTGAAAAAATAATGAGCAAGAAAGGGGAAAAATAAAAGCAATATATCAAATTTTGGCAGTCTGAATATTCGATAAAATAAACATAATTACAAATTGATAATGGAGTTAATGATTTATATACTCTACAATTCTGAAAAAAAAACTGAAAGAGCACCTTGTATATGTATTATAGTAGACTTTACTTCCAGATATAAGGTCCGTCCAAAACGGACAGATAAATCTCCTCTGGCTCACGAATGAGGAAGTGATTTCATATATAGAGAAACTATTGTATCTCTCATTCAGACTTATGATTCCATTACTTCCAACCTGAAAATTGTGAAAAGTATATTTATTTATTGAAGGATAACATTTTTATTCCTTATATAACTAATACTTGTAGGCTGTTAGCGATATAAAATTTTCTCATACATAAACGGTGTCAAAAGTTCCTTCTGTTCTATCCCCAATGTAAATATGTGTTGGAACATTCAAAGCTGGACTTGTTACATCATCTCCTCTCAAACTTGAATCTGATACTTCCTCGCCAAACGTAAAACTCTCTGTAAAAAAGGATGGATTATGTAAATTTAAATACAATTTCCTTCATGTTTAAAAGTATCTGAAGAGACTGTGTAAACTACCTAGTGATTGGTATGAAGAAATCGTTGTTGTAGCTTGAGTGGTGGTTGTTGTAGTCGGAGCCGGTGAGGTGGTTGTGGTTGTTGGAGCTTGTGTGGGGGTTGTCGTTGTAGGAGCTTGTGTCGTTGTAGTCGGAGCTTGTGTGGTGGTTGTCATTGTTGAAGCCTGTGTGGTGGTTGTCGTTGTATGAGCTTGTGTCGTTGTAGTCGGAGCCTGTGTGGTGGTTGTCGTTGTAGGAGCTTGTGTGGTAATTGTTGAAGTCGGAGCTTGTGTGATGGTTGTCGATGTAGGAGCTTGTGTCGTTGTAGTCGGAGCCTGTGTGGTGGTTGTCGTTGTAGGAGCTTGTGTGGTAGTTGTTGTAGTCGGAGCTTGTGTGGTGGTTGTCGTTGTAGGAGCCTGTGTGGTGGTTGTTGAAGTTGGAGCTTGTGTGGTGGTTGTCGTTGTAGGAGCTTGTGTCGTTGTAGTCGGAGCCTGTGTGGTGGTTGTCGTTGTAGGAGCTTGTGTGGTAGTTGTTGAAGTCGGAGCTTGTGTGGTGGTTGTCGTTGTAGGAGCTTGTGTCGTTGTAGTCGGAGCCTGTGTGGTGGTTGTCGTTGTAGGAGCTTGTGTGGTAGTTGTTGAAGTCGGAGCTTGTGTGGTGGTTGTCGTTGTAGGAGCTTGTGTCGTTGTAGTCGGAGCCTGTGTGGTGGTTGTCGTTGTAGGAGCCTGTGTGGTGGTTGTCATTGTAGGAGCCTGTGTGGTGGTTGTTGTAGTCGGAGCGTGTGTGGTGGTTGTCGTTGTAGGAGCCTGTGTGGTGGTTGTTGTTGTCGGAGCGTGTGTGGTGGTTGTCGTTGTAGGAGCTTGCGTCGTTGTAGTCGGAGCCTGTGTGGTGGTTGTCGTTGTAGGAGCTTGTGTGGTGGTTGTTGTAGTCGGAGCCTGTGTGGTGGTTGTCGTTGTAGGAGCATGTGTGGTGGTTGTTGTAGTCGGAGCGTGTGTGGTGGTTGTCGTTGTAGGAGGCTGTGTGGTGGTTGTTGTAATCGGAGCTTGTGTTGTGGTTGTCGTTGTAGGAGGCTGTGTGGTGGTTGTTGTAATCGGAGCCTGTGTGGTGGTTGTCGTTGTTGGAGCTTGTGTTGTGGTTGTCGTTGTAGGAGACTGTGTGGTGGTTGTCGTTGTTGGAGCTTGTGTGGTGGTTGTCGTTGTTGGAGCTTGTGTGGATGTTGTTGTAGTTGGAGCTTGTTTGGTGGTTGTCGTTAATGGAGCTGGTGTCGTGGTTGTCGTTGTTGGAGCTTGTTTTGTTGTAGGGGATGGTGTCTTGGTTGGAGCTTGTGTGATGGTTGTCATTGTTGGAACTTGTGTCGTTGTTGGAGCTTGTGTGGTGATTGTCGTTTTTGGAGCTTGAATGATAGTTGTTGTTATTGGAGCTTGTGTCGATGTAGGAAGTGCTGTCGTGGTTGGAGCTTGTATCATGGTTGTCGTTGTTGGAGCTTGTCTCGTGGTTGGAGCCTGTGTAGTTGTTGTCGTTGATGGAGCTTGTGTCGTGATTGTTGTTGTTTGAGCTTGTGTTTTGGTTGTTGTTATTGGAGTTTGTGTCGTGGTTGTCGTTTTTGGAGCTTGTGTCGTGGTTTGAGCTTGTGTAGTTGTTGTCGTTGTTGCAGCTTGTGTGGTTGTTGTTGGTGTCGGAGCTTGTGTTTTGGTTGAAGTTTGTGTGGTGATTTTCGTTGAAAAAGCTTCTGTCGTTGTTGGTGCTTTTATCGTTGTTGGAGCTTGTGTGGTAGTTGTCATTGTTGGAACTTGAGTGGTGGTTGTTGTTGTAGGAGCTTGTGTCGTTGTCGGAGCTTGTGTCGTGGTCGTCGTTCTTTGAGCTTGTGTCGTTGTAGCAGCTGGTGTCGTTTTTGAAGTTTGTGTCGTTGTTGTCAATGTTGAAGCTTGTGTCCTGGTTGTCGGAGCTTGTTTCACAATTGTCGTTGTTGGAGCCTTTGTCGTGGTTGTCGTTGTTGGAGCTTGCGGTGTTGGGGTCAATGGTGCTTGTGTTGTTGTTGATGATGTAGTCGCAGCAGGCGTTGTTGTTGGAGCTTGTGTTCTGGTTGTTGTTGCTCTAGCGTCTGTTGTTGTTGTTTGTGCTGCAGCTTGTGTTGTAGTTGTCATTGATGGAGCTTTTGCTGTGATTTCGGGTGTTTGGGATTGTGTTGTGGTTGTTACTGATTGAGCTTGTGGTGTGTTTTTCGAAGTAGGACCTTGTGTTGTGGATGTTGATTCATGAGCATGCGTTGTAGGTGTTGTCGGAATTTGTGTTATGGTCGTTTTTTGGGATTGCAAGATATTGGTTACTGTCGGTCGATCATTGATTGATATTGTCGTTAGATTTTGTGGCGTCGCTGGTGTCGTTGTAGGAGCATGAGTCATGGGAATAGTTTGTGTTATGGCAGTCATTTTTTGGGTTGCCGTTGATGTTGAGGCTTGATTCGTTGTAGATGTTTGAGGAAGTGAAAACGGTGATGGTGTTGGAATATATGTTGTATGTGTGGCTGTCGTAACTTGTTTTGTAGAAAAAAAAATAAAATTAATGTCTTTTATATAGACTCATTGAATGAAAACTTCTGGAGAGGGACGTGAACTTACAAAAAAGCAATATATAATTATCGCATACAAAAATGACGTAGAACTCCGTGCACTTGAAATGCTTCAATAAAAAAATTCTTCTGATGTGTTTAATTATGGAAAATATACTTAAGGATTAAATTTGATGCCATTGATTTAAAATAATTCAAGTTGCATGACGCTCAAAGTACCGTATAAGTAGAATTTTTAGCGAGGATTTAATTTTGCATTACTAGCGAGGGTGCTGAGATCGCTAAATATGAATACCGCTATAAATTAATTGATTTGTAAACGCGTCTTAAGTTAGCATTTTTATACCGCTAAAATTACATCTTGCTAAAAATATAATACAAGATTTTAAGGACAAATTGCTAAATTTGCATGTTGCTAAAATTTTCACTCATACGGAATAAAGTAAATGCGGCAACGAAACATATTCAATATTTACCCTCTAAACACCTGACGGAGGCGTCTTCTTGATGGACACAATTATGAGATTGCCATCCATTATGTGAACACTCTTCAATATGGGTTTCTGATCCACGGCAGTTAACATTGTCTAACAGAATAGGACCTGATCCTTGACCGAAGAAAGCAGACTGAAAGCTTCTAGCGTCCTCTCTGAAATTCAATACAAGACAAAAAAATATATTAGGTCACATGACCCCACTGGTCCAGGTGAGCTAAGAATAGAAAACAAGAGCGATAACTCATTAGTAACACCCCCGCTATGATGTGAATATTTACCCTCTGATGTTAATTGCCAATTCATTGAAAAAAGAATTCCACCATATGATTTGTCTTAAGAAAATGTGCTTAAATTTCAAGCATCAGCGCACGGATATACCGGAAGTTGACATGGGATTCGAACAAAAAATAAATCACAACACATGGCATGGCATACAGAGGATGTGCTAAAATTTCAATAATCCGTAATGAACAGTTGCAGTTAAAACGGCGACGCCAATTTGGTACGGACAAACACAGACTAAAAAACAGACACACAAGGGTAAATAGTATATGCTCTTCTCTCTTTGAGCGAAGATGTAAAACGAGATAATACGTACGTTGGATATCCTAGAGACCTACAGACCACCATGCTATCCAAATCATCCCAAGAATCATCACAAACTGTCCCCCATACACCATTACGGTATATCTCTACTCTACCCTCGTATGGAGTCTGTCCTCCCACAAGCCGCACTGGACTGACTGTGTGACGGTAAAAAATAAATGCATGGATTAATACCGAATTTGTTAATATCTGATTGGTCATATCCCCTATAAAAGAAAATAACATTTTTGAAATCTGAACGTTCATAAGAGGATTACAATTCTAGATATATTTAAGCGTTTAACACGAATGAGGGCCCATCATTGAGATAATCACTAATGATTTAACGGAGTTGATTATTGGAAAAAAATAATCGTACAAGATCCAGCTTGGCATCGGACGGACGCATCTTCGTAATGGCGACAATTTTGTTGTCCCCATCCGATATGACGGCAATGTTCAATTCTTGACTCGTTTCCAGAGCAATAAACATCATCCATCCAAATAGAGCCGTTACCCTCACCAAAATATGCCCTTTCAAGTGCCATCGAGCCATTTCTGTAATCAATCAATGAACAAATTATAAAATTTCGATCTGATTATATCTTAGAACAGAAATATATATTTTTAAAAACTTTACAATGTATTGACGGTATCTTTTTTGGGTGAATTTATTTTGCTTATCCAACTTGTTTAAGAGGTTTACATTTATGAGGCTTGTCAGGCAAATATACATGTTATTATTTCAACTCTCAGAGGAAGCAAATACCGGTATAAACGATGAATTATATCTCATACGGTTATTTTCTGTATAAATGAGCGAGACATATATTTATGTAGCCCTGATTTAGCAGATATACCTGAATACTTAGAATGAGAACACTTGATATCGGCTTCCAAAAATAATCGCAGTCACCAAAGGCTTTAACGAGAGAGACTTCTGAAGTTGACTTGATAAAGGCTTCAAAACCCTCTCTAGTTTTAGTTTTACACAAGGAAGATAAAGGCGCCCTTACTGTAAGGAAGGGAATATGTTGGAATACCTGACCTTGGACTCCTGTACTATGGGTGTTGACTGTTGACTTAGAGTCCATATGTTCCCCCAAGGCTAAACTCGGAGTCACAAACAAAAAAGGAAAGGGGTTTGAGCCTCTTACCTGCCGTTTAGAGCATTGAGATTCTTAGTTTCAGAGAGAGAGAGAGAGATAGAGAGAGAGAGATTTAGCCGAAAATAGAAACGTAGTCAGGCCCTGAGTTTTTTGAAGATACAAGTAATAAAAAAAAACTGTCTTAAAATTTACATACGCTGAAAATCCAAGGGATCGACAGACCACTGTAGCATCCAGGTTATCCCAGAAGTCGTCACAAATAGTCCCCCATTCTCCGTTGTGATAAACCTCTACTCTTCCTTCGTATGGCGTTTCTCCACCAACAAGACGAATAGGAGTGACTGAACAAACACATATTTGTACAACAACTGAAAATGTTCGTAACAAATTGATATGTTTTTATCAATATTATCCATCTGAAATTCTTCGATAAAAATATGTTGATATTATTCATTTTTTTTAATATGCACATTAACCGCCCGTGCTCTGATGTCATACAAGGTAGTCGTCAATTCGTATAAAGCAAGAAGGAAGGCGGGGAAATCTGCTTCATCTCAAAAAAGGGATTGTTTAGCATATATTTCCACCCAGAAATGTTCTGTATTTAAAATTATTATATAGTCTATTTATAGTCCCTATATAATCTATACAAACGCAAACAGTTCATAACACTACATATTCACCGGATTTTAGGCCGTATTCACCGGAGGGTCAAGGCGCGTGCAACGGCATTGTGACGTCACAATCAAAACATCGAACAACATCGTAAACATGCAATGGTTGCAACGGCCGCAGTGAGCTACGTATCTGAGCAGGAAAACAATTATTCAAACCTATTTCAGGATTATTTTTTTAACATCTGGACATCTTACACATAGCGAAACTCGGAAAGGAAAACACGGAAGTTACAAACAGTAATCTGGAGATTTTTTTAATTTTCAACAATGGAAGATCGCAAATGAAAATGGTGTCGTCATACAGCTTTCAATGTCTTATCTATTCAAATCCCGACTATATAATAAAACAATTCGCCTCGGTCAATATGAATATTTTTTTTGGTGATTAACAAACCATATTCAACACCAAAAAGTCCATAATTGTATATCATTCCTTATAAAGTTCCAGTTGTGTTTTGTGGAAACTTAATTTACATGCACTGAGAAGACGTACAAAGTAAGTATGTCATTCCTACATCGATGAATAAGTCACCATTTTAGTACATTACATTGACACCTTATAGGGATACAATGTAACTAAAAGGAAAAGATTATTCTGTCTTTCTTAAATATCAATTATGCTTAATTATTTAAAAATTTTAATTGCTCATATTGCTTTAAGATGAATTAAAGCAATAGATCTTTTCCTTAAGTTATCTATTTCATGTTCAAATCTATTCGAAATTTTCGGCATTAGAGTTGTTAGCTACATGTACCCTTGACTACAAAAAAGATAATCATATGACCCATTATCTACTAAATATATCAGCTGCATTTTTCTTGTAAGCTACCTGTGATTTGAATGATTTGAATACAGTTTTTGTGTATACTCACGCGCAGAAATCTACACGGAGAAACTCGTGTAAACGTGACGTTACAATGAGGCTACAGCGACGAAAGTAAAAAATAAAGATATGGCAGCGAGATTTTCAGACATTGTGTACAGTTTTGGTGCTTTTAGACGTGAAATGTAAATATGAGGAATGTTTTTAAGTTAAGTGTGAGTTATTGGTGTGTACATGTAAATCACATAAGACCTGAATGTAGGCATATTTTTCATGATGCGCTCTCGCGCGTCATGAAATATGCCTTCGTGACAAGTCGAGCTTTACACACCAATAACTCACATAAAACTTTAAAACATTGTTTTAATAATATATATATCAACTGTGATGACATTAGAGTGATGTTTTTTTTAACATTTTCATGCCATGTTCTAACTAAATTACATAGAACAACAATAATAAAAAATTATAACAGAACTGAATTCATTTTACCTAAATATCCCTGTTTAACTTTTTAACGCATAGTGACCCCTTTGAGGTCATGGAATATACTTACCACTACAAAACCTTAGACTTCTTCATTATCAATATAACTGAAAAGGTATTATCTATTATAGGGAGAAATATTTTAAAAGATTGTTCATGAAAATGTAAAACTTTTATCCCAGCTGTAACTCCACTCTGCGAATTTGAACAACCCCTATTAAAGCCCAAACTAACCCCGGGGTCTTGACTTGACAGACTTGAATCAACACTACTTGAGGATGCTTCCATATAAATATAATTACAAGAAAAAGTCAAGACTTTGCTGTTCTTGGTAAGGCTTGAAGTTTTTTTTTTTACTGTAAAACCTCGACTCCCATTATTGCCTTATTCTTTCCGGAAGGGTAATTATTTGAACAAACGAAAATCTACACTGTTTAATGCAGGTTTCATAGAAGATTTTACTTTTTCTGTACAGTGATTAAAGTTTTAAATATCCTTCATTATACATTTATTTATGTTTCTACCCTTGAAAACAGCGAAAACCTTCATATGAACAAACCTTATTAATTACTTATCACCCAAGAATGCGTCCAGGCAGATTTAGTTGAAACTTTCCCAGTTGTTTTGGAGAATTCGATAAAGTGATGGGTTTATAATTATCTTGAAACAATTAGACTGAGATTGAACAAAATTTGAACAGGAAAAAAAATCGTCAAAATATGTTATGATTTAAAATTATCATTCCATAAAGTTCAGACACCCCTTTCAAAAAGAATCTTAAATATATTTATATGCTATGTCAATGTTCAATTTAACGTGTACTTTTGATTTTTATCGGTCATATTCTTTCAATGAAGTCGGTTTCAAAATACTTAAGAGAGGGCTAGGGCTCTCGTATAAAGGTATTTATTTTACACGAACATGTACATGTACGAATCTCAGTGAAAAAGAATAAACTAATTCTAACGATGGAAATAAAGTTAAAAAACAATTTGTTAAAAGGGCTTTTATACAGTGTACTGTAAACAAACTTTTATTCGCGACGACTTTATTTCGCGATTTACCAGGGATAAATTAGTTCGCGACGATTAATTTTCTCGATCAAGCCTATTTTGGATCTGTTGTTAATAGACATATAAACTTTAAGGATTGGTTCGCGGCGGGAAAAATTGCGATGATGGAGCTCTCGCGAACTTCGCGAAAATTTCTCACACGCGAATAAATGTTGGTTTACAGTATAAGATCAATACAGATTATTTTAATTAAATATTACTCAATATTGTTATTACCGGTATATTTCTTATTGCACCTTACTGAGTAAAATTATAGGAAAAATACTACATGTAAGATATCATAAAATAAAATTAGTAATTTTAGTGCTTTCTTATAACATACCCTCCTCTGGTAGACAGTCGACAGACAAATCCTCATGATGTCCACAATCATGGCTGCCCCAATCAGCATGTTGACATTCTGAGACATTTGTTTCATTTCCACTACATCGTACATTGTCTAGCCAAATAGGACCAGTTCCTTGACCATAATGTGCACAGCATTGGCTCACAGACGTACGCCTAAGTATTTTAATGAAAAAAATTGAATCATTTTTTTATTACATGAATAGTTCTTGATATTATCTTCGTTCTTTAGTTACTGATAAAGTATTTTGTTTTTAACCAGAGCTTGCAAACATGAACGATAAAAGTTGCATCTACGTATAACACAACGTCGCAAACCACGGCCAAAATGCACGATCCTTTTACAATCTGGCCGTGGTTAAATGAGAAGAGAACATTTTCGAAATATTTTTATGTTCTGTTGATTTCAATTGCGATGGAAATAAATTTTATCATTGGCTCAACATGACGTCACAGCATAGAGGCGTCAAGATCATATTATAATTCTTATATTACTTGAAGTGATCAAATTGATACAAATCTATGATTTTATAAATAAAATCACTATTTTATACCAACTTGTGTTTAGCTATAATTCAAACCAAGTGAAATACGTTCATGAATTTATGTCAGGCAAAACATGAAGCAGTTAAAATGTTTAAAATAACGAATAACATACCAAGGATAGCCCAACGTTCGGCATATTACTTCAGAGAATCTATTTATCGTTCCATCTGCATTATGTAAATGGTAATCATCACAAACTGTCCCCCATACTCCATTATGATAAACCTCTACTCTGCCCTGATATGGAGTACTTCCACCAACCAGTCGGACTGTAGTGTATAAAAATAAAATGTTCATTATTTATTTAGTGAATAGTTGATTCAATATCCATGTAGAGCTCAAGATCGTCATTATCGTTTTGTCATGAATCTTAATTCCATTACTCAAAAATGATAATTTTTTTATGCATCTAAAACTTGGAAGTTTATTTACTGTTATTTACTGTAAACCAACTTTTATTCGCGTGCGAGAAATTTTCGCGATGTTCGTGAGAGCCTTGTCATCGCGAATATTTCTCGCCGCGAACCGGTCCTTAAAGTCTCTCTGTCAATTAACAACTGATCCAAACTACTCTTGATCGCGAAAATTAATTGTCGCAAACTAGTTTTCGCCTGGTAAATCGCGAAATAAAGTCGTCGCGAATAAAAGTTGGTTTACATTATTTCATCAATTCATTAGGTCACAAGTGAACCTTGATCGTTATAACTATATTAGATCAATGATCAGTTTCTCGAGATATGGCACTTAGAAATGTTTTATAGTTTATATTTTTTATATTCTCGATATATTTCTTGCATGATGTTTAGTTAATTGGTATAAAACCTGAGGATCTTAAAACATATCATTTTAGAAAAAATATTAAAGGTATTCTAATCTTGATTTCTAGAATGCATTTTAAGATTTTTTAAACAAATGAAAAAAAAATTAAGACTTATTCTCATTTATTCGCTTCTCTGAATCATTATCACTTATTGTTCATATTTCATGTGTGCATATTTTATTCCAATACAAAAAAAAAAAAAAAAACGTCACGGTAGCTCGATCAGTCAGTAAAGCATTCGCTCTTTGATAGCAAGGTCGTGTGTTCGAATCAATCCAAAGTTAAAAATAAAATTTTGATTATATTGATTTTTAATATGGTTATTTTGTCAATTTAAAATTTCTATTTTAAGATATTGCGCTTTCTAGCATTCCGTCCTTGTCAAACAAACACTGAATAGAAGCCTTTAAATCTGTACAACATCATAGCTAATAGTAGGGGGCTGTCTTGTTGATGTCTCTGTGAAAAAATATAAGAAAATGTTTGTTATTTTATATTGGGAAACAAATTAAAACAAGAGGCGAGGCCCAGGGGCCACATCGCGCACCTGAGCAACTAGCTAGGTAAAAGCAAAAATCAGTTCAGTATTGAAAAGTTTAAATATATAAAAGTGGGTTCGAGGGAGAAGGGGTGGGGAGGGGATGGGGGTATTTAAACAAATTTAAATCTACGCTTCCTAAGAATGCTTTTGAATTAATATGACACATAATGCCTTTGTTGTTTATTGTTATAATCCATTTTAATGATGATTTTAAATTGATGATCAATCAAGGCTTTGTGAAGAACTTGACAATTTTTTCCCATATACTCCTTTGTAAAACTCTAATACCCCATTTTGGCCCATCTCTACCCCCGGGGTCATGATTTGAACAAACTTGAACCTACACTGCCAGAGGATGCTCCCATATAACAATGACCAATCACAACTTTGCTGTTCTCAAGAATAAGAATTTTAAAAAAAATTATGCGTAATCCTACTTTTATCACCCGTAATGTCCCCGACCTTGCCCCAGGGGTCATAATTTGAATTAAATTGAATCTCAATACCAGATGATGCTTCCATATAATTATGACTAATCATAGCTTTGCAATTTTTAAAGATTTTTCCTATGTATTTCTATGTTAAACTTTGATCCCCGTTTGTGTCCCCATCCCGAGGGTCATGGTTTGAACCAACTTGATTCTACACTTTCAGACGATGCTTTTATATAACTGACCAATGAAGGTTTTGCTGACTTTGAGGAAAAGATTTTTCCTAAGCATATCTACGTCAAACTTTAATACCCTAATGTGACCCCATCCTACCCCAGGGGTCATTATTTGAACAAAATTGAATCTTCACTACAAGAGAATGCTTCTACATGAGTTTCATCTTTACTGCCCCAATGGTTCTTGAGAAGATTTTTAAAGATTTATTATATGTATTCCTATGCTAAACTTTGATACCCCATTGTGGCCCCGCCCTACACCGGGGGTCATGATTTGAACAAACTTTAATCAATACTTCCATATGAGTTTCAGCTTTCCTTGTACACTGGTTGTTGAGAAGAAGATTTTAAAAGAAACCATTAATTTATCACTAATTCCTCATTATCTCTCCTTGGAGGAGTGCATAGCCCTTCATTTGAACAATCGTGAATCCCTTCACCCAAGGATACTTTGTTACAGGTTTGAATGAAATTGGGCCAGTGGTTCTTGAGAGGAAGATAAAAATATTAAAAATTAAGGACAACGAAGACAACAACACCAACGACGACGACGACAGACAACGGACAAATTTTGATCAGAAAAGCTCACTTCAGCCTTCAGGTGTAAATCGGTAGCATTGTTATTATACACTGTGTTTCTCTTTAGGAAGAGGAAATATAAGTAGTTACGTCTTTAACTTGATTTTCTTTAGATATTTCATTATCATTTTCCAATATCTTCATAATAGTTCAAAAGACAAAGCGTCCATATTCATGTGAGACAAAGTTCTTTTAAATGAAATATGTCTTAAAATTCAAAATACATAAAATCACTTCGTCTTTGTTATTCCTGACTTTCCTTTAAGAGGCCAGAGTAAAGATTTGCAGTCATTTTTTCTTTAATTTTTTTTAATAATATCATGAATTATATACAGCTATACAGTAGTATTTCACACGGAAATACAATCAAAAAAACTTATTTTATCTGGATATTATTTAAACTATGAATATCGGGACGGGTTTGATTAACACATCTTCGCACCTTCACACAAATACTTATGAAAATTAGAAAAAATGTTATATGTAAATGAAAAAATTAAAACAATTCAGAAATTTCATGGTAGAAATATGAAAGAAAACAAAACCAACTCTACAATATTGTAATTTAGTGCTCTTGATGTGTGCAGAATTTAACAAAATGACAATACTGGTTTAAAAAATGAAGACACTCGGTGAAACGTAAACATTAACTACTGTAAATCAGTTTTTATTCTCGAGAACTTTATTTTCGTGTAATTACGCGAGACGGTATGCTCGCAAAAATTTGATTCTCGCGTATAATAGAATTTCTTAAGATTATATAGAGTACTGACCACAATTCGTGAACTTTTGCGAGAAGTGATTCGAGCCCGCGGAAGTTTCTGTTGTAAATGATGTTACTGATGGCGTTAATTCTATCAACACCGTAAATTTTATGTACACCAAATACTCAGATATACAAGTACCTGCACGAGAACTTTACTTTGCATTTAATCAAAATACTAATCGGAGAAGAATAAAAATTTAATTTTTGTTTCCTTTTGTTATTGCGACTTTCATTTATCCGAAGTATTATTGAATAAGATAGCGGAGTTTTTTCTTCTACACAAGTTATAAACTAAAAGTTTGACCTTTTAAACATACGATAATATTAGTAAATCATGCTTCCTTATATCATACCCTCCTCTGGTAGACAGTTGACAGATAAGTCCTCGTGATGTCCACAACCATGGCTGCCCCAGCCAGCATGTATACACTCTGAGATATTTGTTTCATTTCCACTACATTGTACTTTGTTTAGCCAAATAGGACCAGTTCCTCGACCGTAAGGTGTACAACAATAGCTCAAAGGTGTTTGCCTTTCAATTGTTTGAGTTATAATCGAATTAACGTAATACAATGTTATAGTCAACCATTGATAGTTTAATTGACAGAAGTGTTGCTTAATCTAAAAGATGCATTTTGGATAAAAACTTCAAAGAATTCATCTCCTCTTTTTAGTGCATGCTGATATATCTTTGATTAATGAATTGCCATTTTTTCTCTGCTTACTTTTTTTTCTTTTTTTGCATAAAATATAAACTCAAATTCAGTATTCATTACTGAGGTAAACATGATGCATTATCAGAATTTTGTGCATTTAAAGAGAAAAACATAGATGAAAAACATACCAGGGAAAGCCTAAAACTCGGCAGAGTACTTCAGAGAATCTGTTTCTCGATCCATCAGCATTAAATGAATAAAAATCAGTACAAACTGTCCCCCATACTCCATTATGATACACCTCCACTCTACCCTCATGTGAAGTATTTCCACCAACCAGTCGAACTGTAGTGTCTAGATAAATTGAGAGTGAGAAAGAAACAAGAGACCCGTTAGCCACAGAGCTCACCTAAGTAACTTTGGTGATGCAGTTCTTTACCAGATTTCCCCTCTTCTTATATCTATTGTGCCCCCTTCCCGTTTTGATTTTAACAATTTAGAATCTACACTACCCCAGGATGCTCCCAACTAGTTTCAGTTTTCCTGGCCAACTGGTTCTTGAGAAGATATATATATATATATATATATATATATATATATATATATATATATATATATATATATATATATATATATATATATATATATATATATATATATGTCTCTATAAAACTTGGAATCCCTACTGTGGCCCCGCCCTACCCCCGAGGGGTCATGATTTTAACAATTTAGAATCTACACTACCCCAGGATGATTCCACATAAGTGTCAATTTTTATGGCCCTGTGGGTCATTAGAAGATTTTTAAAGATTTCTCCTATGTATTTCCATGTAAATTTTGGATCCCCTATTGTGGCCCCGCCCTACCCCTGGGGGTCATGATCTTAACAATTTAGAATCTAGACTATCCCAGGATCTTTTCACATAAGTTTCAGTTATCCTGGTCTACTAGTTCTTGAGAAACAGATTTTAAAAGATTTCTCCTATATATTTCTATGTAAAACTTGGAATCCCTATTGTGGCCCTGCTCTACCCCCAGGGGTCAATAATTTTTAAAATTTAGCATCTAACCTACCCCAGGATGCTTCCAAATAACTTTTAGCTTTCCTAGCCCACTGGTTCTTGAGAAGAAGACTTTTTGATGACCCCACCCTATTTTTGTCTAGTCTCGATTATCTCCCCATGGAAGGGCCCTTTATTTTAACAATTTAAACTCTCCATCACTCAAGGATGCTTTGTACCAAGTTTGGTTAAAATCGGCCCAGTGGTTCTTGAGAAGAAGTTGAAAATGTGAAAAGTTTAAAGACGGACGGACCACGGACAAACTGTGATCAGAAAGGCTCCTTTGAGCCTTCGACAAGGTGAGCTAAAAAAGGAAATGCCCATTTAATCATGTCAGTAAAATTTCTTGTAAAACGTATTGGCTTACTTGGTATTAAGGTATCAGTCGTGACTTCTTCAACAGGGGACATTTCTGTTGTAAAAGATGCTCTTAATGTTGTTGTTTCTACAGAGTATATTAAATATGGTAAATTTTATGAAGGCCAAATACTTTGATATACCTTAACGAGAGCTCTACTTTGCTTTAGATTGATACATTGTCAGAGAAGAATAGAAATTTGATCACTGTTTTTATTGATCACAATAGAATTTATCCAAATTGTTCTATAAAAGGTAAATAAATCTAGGTTTTGTTCTATATGTATAAAACATACAATGACATTAAGTAGTTTGTGCTTTGTTAGGTCTTACCTTCCTCTGGTAAGCAATTGACAGATATATCCTCGTAATGTTGACAGTCATGGTTACCCCAACCATTATGTTGACATTCCAAGATATTTGTTTCATTTCCACTACATTGTACACTGTCAAGCCAAATAGGACCTACTCCTTTACCATATCGTTTACAACAATAACTGACAGATGTACGCCTGAATAAATAAAAAAAATGACTTTTTCACATGAATAATTTTACATTATCATTTTCAACTTATTTATCAGGGTATTTTTTAAAACCAAAATATACTTTCTAATCATTAAATCATAATTTCCTTGCATCTCTCATTTCTGAAGATGTGTTTTTAGACATTATTCATACAATTTTATATGATTCAAGTAGCCATGTCAGGTACATTGTATGAGAAGCAATAGATTGTATTTGAAATAACGAACATCATACCAAGGATAGCCTAAAAATCGGCAGACTACTTCAGAGAATCTGTTCTTCGATCCATCCGCATTTTGTAAATGGTAATCATCACAAACTGTTCCCCATACTCCATTATGATAAATCTCCACTCTACCCTGATATGGAGTATTGCCATCAACCAGTCGAACTGTAGTGTCTTTGTATAAGCACAGGAAATTAAAAGTAAACAAAAATAAAATTCATATTAAGTCTCTGAATTCTGTTTTAAGTTTTCATGCAGTTAATATAAAACCACGAAAAGCTCAATATGGTCATTATTATCATATTTTCGCCATTAACAACAGCCCTATATTGAACTAAAAAAATGGCTATTTTCCATCGGACATTTGTTTTAAACAGATTTAGTTTTAGAGGTAGGAGAATAATAAGTTCTCCGTATCTTTATATGTATTTTCAATATGAAATTTGCTAATCAAAATATTAAAAAAACAAAACAAAAATATTTTTCCATCTGAAAACATTTATAAGATTTTAACATTCAGAAGAAATTTAAAGAGAAAATGCTTCGTACAAAAATGAAAAATATGGTCCTACTTTTTTTCATTCTCATGAACTTCTTATTATTCGTGCATATTTTCTTCCAATGGTAAAATATAACCTTTTTTCATATTTATTTTAAACTTCCTTGTTTCATAGATTAAAAAGAATTATTCATCTGACGTCTGATGTTTCATAGCAACCAATGATTGATTGATTGTATACTGTTTAACTTCACTCTCCAGAATATTTCACTGATATGGAGACGTCATAGCAACCAATGTTTGTCCAATAAATCCATAAGTAAAGGCCAACCTAACAATGATATGATTCTTTACAACGTCATAGCTTACTTGGCATAAACGTTTCATTTGTAAGTCTCCGAGTTGTGGAAGTTTCTGTTGTAGGTGGCTGTCTTGTTGTTGATGACTCGAGCTCTGTTTAGAAATTTCAAAAAATGTATGCAATTTTATCAAGTAAGTCTCTTCTAAAAACATATCTGCACACCGCAATAGTTTACTTGTTAGAAGGGTACCATTCGTTACTCTCTTAGTTGTGAAAGTTTCTGTTGCATTTGAAATTCTTGTTGTTGCTGTATCTGTATACGTAATTAATCATCAGAGAATTATGTAAATTTAATTTCAGTTATTTTATAGATACGAAAGAAAGGAAATAAAATTGTAATGCCATCCTGTTGTGCCTCTATTGGCATTTTAATAATAATATTAATCAATTTTCAATAATACTAAATGTAAAAAGAAATGCTTATGAAATACAAAATATTTAGCATCATTAAGCCTTATTTATTACTAGACATGTTTTTTTTTCAAATGATGATACCTTGCTCTGGTAAGCAGTTGACAGACACATCCTCGTAATGTCGACAGTTATGATTGCCCCAACCGATATGTACACACTCTGAGATATTTGTTTCATTTCCACTACATCGTACATCATCTAGCCAAATAGGACCTGATCCTTGACCATAACGTGCACAACAATAGCTCACAGATGTATGCCTGAGTAATATAATGTAAAATTTGACTTTTTCACATGAAAAGTTTTGACATTATCTTTTTCGACTTATTCATCAGGGTATATTTCTTCAACCAGAATATCCGTAAGTTTCTAATCATGAGCAACAAATGTTGCGTCTCGCTTTGATAATGTCTTAAAAGTTGTTTTCATTAATGACTGATAAGTTCATTTTATGCTAATTTTTTGCGGTGAAATTCTGTTTTTAGAAAAATATCACTGTTTTCGATCTATTTATTTTTAGACATTAATTATTCATAAAATGTAAAACTAATTCAAGTATCCATGTCAGATAGGAATATTAGGCAATAAATTTTATTTGAAATAACGAACGTCATACCAAGGAAAGCCTAAAACTCGACAAACTACTTCAGAGAATCTGTTCTTCGATCCATCAACATTATGTATATAGTAATCATCACATACTGTCCCCCATACTCCATTATGATAAACCTCCACTCTACCCTCATGCGAAGTATTACCACCAACCAGTCGAACTGTAGTGTCTATATGAAATAGAGGGAATGGAAAGTAAATAGAGAAATAAAATTCAATTTATGTTTCTAAATTCTGTTCTTAACTTTTCATGTAGTTAATATTTGTATAAAACTACGCAAATCTCTATATGGTCCTTAGCGGTTTATGTACATCAATGCGATCAACCTCAGCCCTATTAAACTGAAAAGATGGATTTTGCATAGGACTTTTTATTCAACAATTCTATACTGACACGCAAAAGAAACGCAACACCCTTCTTTATGCGGAAATAATTATGTAAAGTAAAGAATTTTGTATCTTAAAATTATATATATATCTTTAATTTGGTAAACATCGGTAATTTAACGGTTAAACGATTTCTATACCATAACCGGAAGTTATGTTTGAGTCTGCTGAACAGAAATCAAAAATTGCATGTTTAACAAAACGTTTGGCAATATTATGGAGTTTTAAGGGCTTTTTACTGTTTATCATAAGTAATGCAGCAATATTTCAAAAAATAAACTCTCCTTTCGTTTCCCGTAATTACTTAAAAATGGCTTATGTAAGCATTTCCATTGCTCTAGCTGGAAAATTGCAATGTAAAGGTGATGGAGAGTTGCTGATGCGAAATTTCATTTCCTTACGCCTCAACAGAGTCTTAACAAACCATTTGCATTAAGGACAGTCCTTGTACCGGACGTCCAAGGGTGGCAACATTGCCCTAAGTTAAAGAAAATTCGACCTAATCATCTAAACAACGGGCATTTAAAAATCCCAAAGAATAATTCCGTCGCTCAGATCTCGATATTAATGAACCTATTGTTTCGTAGAAATTAAGCTGCAATTGTTGTATAGGGCAGTCTTACACGTTTTACTTGAATGACTGGGAGGGGGCGTTTTAACAGTCATATTTTACTTAGTAAAGTAAACAGATAAACATTTAACATTTTTATCAAATCTCTGATGTTCTGAAAAGTGAGTTTAGCCTTACTTTATTCGCTTTTGAAAATCATAAGATAAAAAAATCAAACATTTGTAGATTACTGCTTGTTGCATTTCTTTTGCGTATCAGTATAGTTTGAAAATGAAAGGAATTGTCAATTTTTCCGTATCTTTAAGTAGTGTGCTTTGGATCAGAAATTTGGCTTTATTCAAAATCATTAAACAATTCAAGAGGTTCATAGTCCCCATCGCTCACCTGAGCACAGGGATAGGTAAACACACATAAGCTCAGTAGTGAAAAGTTTACGGAGAAGGGTATTGTGGCCCTATCCGACCCCCAGGAGTCGTGATTGTACATTTTTGAATCTACACCACCTGAAGATAATTCTACATGCGTTTCATTTTTCCTGGCCCATTAATTCTTGAGAATGAGATTTTTAAAAATTATTCCTTTATATTCTAATGTAAATCTTCCATCGTCTGCTGTAGCCCCATCTTACCCCCAAGCGTCACGACTGAACAAATTTGAATCTACACCACCTGAGGATGTTTCACATGAGTTTCATTTTTCCTGGCCCATTAGTTTTAGAGAAGAAGAAAACTTAAAGATTTTGCTATATATTTCTATGAAAAACTTTGATCATCCATTATGGACCCAACCTAGCCTGAGGGTCATAATTTGAAAAAAAAACTTGAATTTGCACCAACGCAGGATAATTCTACATGAGTTTAATTTTTCTTGCCCCAATAGTTCTTGAGAAGAAGCTCATTAAAGATTTTTCCTACGTATTCTTATTTAAAACTTTGATCGTCCATTGTGCCCCCCCCCTTTCCCTAAGAGTCATGATTTAAACAACCCGAGAATTATAGCACATCAGTTTTTTTTCCTTGCCCAGTGGTTCTTGAGAAGATTTTTAAGAGATGCCATTAATTATTCATCAATTCATTATCATAACCAATTAAAAGAGGGTGTATTCTTCGATTAAAATTGAATCTCTTTTACCAAAGGATATTTTAGTTGAAATTGGCCCAAGGATTCTTGAGAAGAAGATGAAAATGTGAAAAATGTACAACGACGATAACGCCAACGATAACAGACAACGGACAAGTTTTGATCTGAAAAGCTCACTTAAGTTTGCGGCTCAGGTGAGCTAAAAAGGAACAAGAGGCCCAGGGGCCACATCGCTCACCTGAGCAATTGGCTAGGAAAAAACACAGATCAGATCAGAACTGAAAGTAAACTGGGGGGGGGGGGGCTTGAATTTTACACCCCCAGAGGATCATGATTTGAACAAACTTGAATCTACACTACCTGAGGATGATCCCACATAAATATAACGAAGCCTGGCTTTGAAGTACTTGAAAAGAAGATTTTAAAAGGTTACCCTATATGTTCCTATGTAAAACTTTGATCCGCCATTTTGGCCCCACCCTACCCCCGGGGGTCATGATTTGAAAAACTTGAATCTACACTACCTGAGGATGATTCCACATGGGTTTAATCTTTCCTGGCCCAGTGGTTCTTGAGAAGAAGATTTTTAAAGATTTTTCCTATATATTCCTATGTAAAACTTTGATCGGCCATTTTGGCCCAACCCTACCCCCGGGAGTCATGATTTGAACAAACTTGAATCTACACTACCTGAGGATGATTCCACATGAGTTTCATCTTTCCTGGCCCAGTGGTTCTTGAGAAGAAGATTTTTAAAGATTTTTCTTATATATTCCTTTGTAAAACTTTGATCGGCCATTTTGGCCCAACCCTACCCCCGGGGTCATGATTTGAGCAAACTTGAATCTACACTACCTGAGGATGATCCCACATGAGTTTCATCTTTCCTGACCCAAAGGTTCTTGAGAAGATTTTTGAAGATTTTCCCTATATATTCCTATGTAAAACTTTGATCGGCCATTTTGGCCCCACCCTACCCCCGGGGGTCATGATTTGAACAAACTTGAATCTACACTACCTGAGGATGATCCCACATGAGTATCATCTTCCCTGGCCCAGTGGTTCTTGAGAAGAAGATTTTTTAAGATTTTTTCTATATATTCTTATGTAAAACTTTGATCGGCCATTTTGGCCCCTCCCTTCCCCTGGGGGTCATGATTTGAACAAACTTGAATCTACACTACCTGGTGATGATTCCACATGAGTTTCATCTTTCCTGGCCCAATGGTTCTTGAGAAGAAGATTTTTAAAGATTTTTCTTATATATTCCTTTGTAAAACTTTGATCGGCCATTTTGGCCCAACCCTACCCCCGGGGTCATGATTTGAGCAAACTTGAATCTACACTACCTGAGGATGATCCCACATGAGTTTCATCTTTCCTGACCCAAAGGTTCTTGAGAAGATTTTTGAAGATTTTCCCTATATATTCCTATGTAAAACTTTGATCGGCCATTTTGGCCCCACCCTACCCCCGGGGGTCATGATTTGAACAAACTTGAATCTACACTACCTGAGGATGATCCCACATGAGTTTCATCTTCCCTGGCCCAGTGGTTCTTGAGAAGAAGATTTTTTAAGATTTTTTCTATATATTCCTATGTAAAACTTTGATCGGCCATTTTGGCCCCTCCCTTCCCCTGGGGGTCATGATTTGAACAAATTTGAATCTACACTACCTGGTGATGATTTCACATGAGTTTCATCTTTCCTGGCCCAGTGGTTCTTGAGAAGAAGATTTTTTTTAAAATGCCATTTCTCTAAGTCATAATTATCTCCCCTTGGAAAAGGGCCTGGCCCTTCATTTGAACAAACTTGAATTCCCTTCACCCAAGGATACTTTGTTCCAAGTTTGGTTGAAATTGGCCCAGTGGTTCTTGAGAAGGAGATGAAAATGTGAAAAGTTTATGACGACAACAACGACAACGACGACGACAGACAACGGACAAATTTTGATCAGAAAAGCTCACTTGAGCCTTCGGCTCAGGTGAGCTAAAAAACGTTTCGCCGTGTTTAAAGATACAAGTATTTATAAAACCTTAACTTCCAGAAGTAGATCTTTTGAAAAAAATACTTCATGTAAAAATGGAAAAAATAAGTCTTTCTTTTCATCATCATTTTGTTCTTACTCATGCATATTTTCTTTTAATAGTAAAACATAAATTCTTCATTTTCATATTAATTGTTGACACGGTTGTTTTATCAATTTAGAAGAATTATTCATCTGACTTTCGTTACTTCATAGCAACCAATTGCAATCTTTGTCGAATGAATCCATTAGTAAAGGACAACCTTAACAATGATATGATTCTTCACAACATCATATCTTACTTGACATAGATGTTTCATTGGTAAGTCTCCCAGTTGTGGAAGTTTCTATTGTGGGCGACTGTAATGTTGTTGAGGTTTCTTGTTCTGTTTAGAGATTTCAGAAAATTTTGTAATTTTATGTAATTTTATGAAGTAAACTTCTTTTAAGAATAAAATATATCTGCACATTACAATGACTTACTTGGTGGAAGCGTATCATTTACAAGTCTCTCAGCTGTGAAAGTTTCTGTTGTAGTTGACAATCTTGTTGTTGATGTATCTGTATGCGAAATATATATCAGGAATTCATGTAAATATATTAAGCTATTTTAGCTACACAAGAAGGGAAACAAATGTTAATGTCTTAATTTTGTGCATGTATTGGCGCTTTAATAACACAATCTCCTAAAGCTGAACACGATTCGTAAAAGGAATGTTACTGCCATTTTTGTTTGGATTCTCTCTATATTTACAGTTCCATATATAAAGGGCAGGACTTAGTCACTGTTCAGTATAATCAGGTGTAGAAGGACGTATGCTATACAGCACTCGGTAGCGACATTTATAACTTAATACTTCCGCTAATGCAGAAAACTAAAGTAACAAAGAAACTTACAATTATCTAAATGTATAGGTCAGTGTAGTGTACAAACAAACATAGCTACACGTAACTGCAATAAAATGTTAACAAAGGTAATGCAAAATAACCAGCACGAACACGTGTCGCCATTTCACGCCGATATCCGTGACAATAAAGCATTCAAGTGTAACGAATCTGAAGAGTATACCCTGGTGTTGGTGTGTCATAGATAATGAAATCGAAAATGGTGTATTTACGAGCCGTTTTCAGATTTAACTTAAATAAAATCAAATTGAAATAGAAATATGTTTGAAATTCAAAATAACTTAGTCGTATTTGTTACTAGACATGTTTTTTTTTTTTTCAAATGATGATACCTTCCTCTGGTAAGCAGTTGACAGACACATCCTCGTAATTCAAAAGTTAAATTAATGAACAATTTCAAAAAGCTTTCAATGTTGATCTGCTTTTCTTATCAGCAATTTTTTTTCTCTTCAATATAATTTTCTACGTAAAACATATATCTCTTTTAAGTCCCAAATTAACTAAGGTTTCACGATTAAATGTGAATCTTCCTGATGATGCTTCCTTATCAATATAAATAATCAATGCTTTTTGGTAGGGATGTCAACGAATATTCGAATATTCGAATATTCATTCGATGAGTTGATATTCGAATATAAAATTCATGATTCGAATATTCGGATTTAAGTATACAAGCATCAAAAAGAAAAAAAATCTGCCAAAAACTGAAGTTTTATTAGAAATTGAATCAAATTCTCATCGTTGAGACCAATAATAAGATTTAATTTAAAACAAAATCAAAATACATTTCTCTTGGATTACTTTAAAGGTGTGAAGAATGTGTCTATTAAAATGATATAAATTATTTATTTGATCATTTAATTAGAGATATAACAGTGTGCAGTACTTATAATTAGTTTGTATTGTTGAAAGGACACATTTTTGTTTATGCATACATCATTTAAAATCATTATCAGGAAATTAATTAGCTAAAAGTAATTGCTTTTAATGTTTCTCCATTAGATAGTTGTTCTGTGTGGTATAAATCTGTGTAATCAATGTACACTTTGGTAAGATGATTAATTAATCTGGAACTTATTAAAAGAATCTTTTGAATTTTTTGGGGTTAATTTTTTTTATTACATTTTGGACATAAACTCTTCATATATTCTGTAAAATATTTTATGAATATAATTAAAGTGCATTTACAGAACTCTACATGAAATTTTATTCCAAAATAATGACATAAAACATATATATTGCTTTACAAAAGAGTGAAGATATATACATATTATAATGCAAGATGTATTTATTTTATCGAATATTCGAATATATTCGAATACTACTATCGAATATTCGAATACCAATTTATTGACAATTTTGACATCCCTACTTTTTGGTTCTTGAGAAGATTTTTTGTCCCCCAAATCCCCGTGTTAAAATCTCATAATCCATTGTGGCCCTGATCTATCGGTACTGTTGGGGTCATAGAACAAACTTAAAGATACATAACCTTAGGATGCGTCAACGTCAATTTGAGGAATAATAGATTTTCATACTCTTCATTAAAATATTTTATTTTTTTTCATTATTTCCCTCTGCAACCCAATTCGACGCATTCCCTTTCCATAGCAGAATTTGATTGATTGATTAATTAATTATATATTGTTTAACGACCCTCTCGAGAATTTGTTGTTTTAAAGTGAAGTTTTAAAATTTGCCATCGAAGTTCTCCTCAACCTTAATAATATCTATCTCCTCTTGAAAGGGACTATGTCTTTTAATTGGTAAAAACATGAACCCTCTTCATGCTTTCTAGCAAGTTTAGTTGAAATTGGCCCGGTGGTTCTGGAGAAGTCGAAAATATAAATGTTTTACTAAAAAAAAGGACTCACAAGGGACAAAACGTGAACAAATTCTCCGGGGAATTAAGCTCAAATAAGCTAAAAATGATAATTTTATAAAAGAAAAAAGTATGATTACGTTATAATCTAACAGACTTCTTTTATATATGGTCCTTATATAATTTTGTAGTTTAATGTGATTGAATCTTGTTAAACTGTTTCATTTTGATAAAATTGAAGAATATTTACTGTGTACTCATATATCATATAAAAAGGATCATAAATCATACTCCTTTGTACTGTACCTACCTTCTTCTGGTAGACAGTTGACAGACAAATCCTCGTGATGTCCACAGTTATGGTTGCCCCAACCGATATGTGTACACTCTGAGATATTTGTTTCATTTCCACTACATCGTACATCATCTAGCCAGATAGGACCCGTTCCTTGACCATAACGTGCACAACAATAACTTACAGATGTTAGCCTGAGTAATAAAATGAAAAGTTTGATTTTGTTTTACATGAATAGTCTTTATATTATAATCTTAAACTTATTCATCAGGGTATTTTTTATAACCAGAATATCCTTTCTAATCATAGCTGTGGCCAGTCTTACCTTTTACAATTTGTTTCACGTATGACTGACAAATTCATTCTATATTAAGTTTTTTTTGCAGTGAAGAAAATTTTGGAAAAAAATCACTTGTATTAAGATATAATTCAAACAAAGTAAAATTAATTCAAGTGGTCATGTCAGGTAAGAACATAAAGCAATAAATCTTATTTTAAATAACAAACATCATACCACGGGAGGCCTAAATCTCGACAGACTACTTCAGAAAATCTGTTCTTCGATCCATCAGCATTATGTATATAGTAATCATCACAAACTGCCCCCCATACTCCATTATGATAAACCTCCACTCTACCCTCATGTGAAGTATTTCCACCAACCAGTCGAATTGTTGTGTCTATATGAAACAGAGGAAATGGAAAGTAAATAGAAAAATAAAATTCAAATTAAGTTTCCGAATTCCGTTCTAGGCTTTTCATGTAGTGATTATTTGTATGAAACTACGCAAAGCTCAATGTGGTCCTTATCGGTATATCATCGCGATTAACCTCTGCCCTATGAATTTGAAAAGATGGGTATTTTGTTTTGGACTTTTTTATGAAACAGATTTAGTTTTAAAATGTATAAGATTTGTCAATTTTTCCATATCTTTAAGAATATTTTGGATTAGAGATTTGTTTTTTTTCAAAATAAATTTTGAAAAAATAATTAAACAAGAGGTCCATAGACCCCATCGGTAATCTGAGCAAACGGGCTAAGTAAACATTCAAATCAGCTCAGTATTGAAAGGTTTACATATTGTACATATTTGAATCTACGCCTTCTGAGGATGATTTCACATGATTTTCGTCTTTCCTGGCCCACTGATTCTTGGGAAGAAGATTTTTAAAGATTTTTCCAATGTAAATCTTCCATCGTCCTCTGTGGCTCCATCCTATCCCAAAGCGCCACGATTGAACAAATCTGAATTTACATCACCTGAGGATGATTCCACATGGGTTTCAAGAAGCCCATTTAAGATTTTACTTTATGTTCCTATTTAAAACTTTCATCGTCCATTGTGGCCCCATCCTATCCCTGGATGTTGTGATTTGTACAACCTGAGAATGATGTCACATGAGTTTTATTTTTCCTGGCCCTGTGGGTCTTGAAAAGATTTTTAAGAGATGCCATTCCTTTTTCATATATTCATTATTATTTCCCCTTAGAACAGGATGCGACCCTTGGATTGAAGAAATTTGAATATCCTTTACCCAAAGATCATTGTGATAATTTTGGTTGACATTGGCCCATGGGTTCTTGAGAAGAAGATGAAAATGTGAAAAGTGTACAACGACGAAAACGACAACGACGACAGAAAACTAACAAGTTTTGATCAGAAAAGCTCAATTTAGCCTTCAGCTCAGGTGAGCTAAAAAGGAAAAGAAAAAAAGTTTAGCCGTTGTTTAAGATTTTTTTTATATAAAATCTTAACTTTCAGAAGTATTTCATATAAAAATGAAAAAAAAGTAGTCTTATTTTTCTTCTTATCATCATTACTTTGTTATTATTCGTGAATATTGTCTTTTAATTGTAAAAATTAATTTTTTTTATTCTCATATTAAATTTTAACATTGTTGTTTTAACAATTTAAAAGAATTATTCATCTGACGTCTGATATTTAATTGTTACTCGTCTTTTTCAAACATATCCATGATTAAAGGCCATCCTAACAATGATATGATTCTGCACAACGTCATAGCTTACTTGGCATAAATGTTTTATTTGCAAGTATCCCAGTCGTGGAAGTTTCTATTGTAGGTGGCTGTCTCGTTGGTGAGGTCACAATCTCTGTTTAGAAATTTTAAAAAAAGTATGCAATTTTATTTCGTAAGTCTTCCCTAAAATATATCTAAACACCAAAATAGTTTACTTGTTAGAAGCGTATAATTTGTTACTCTCTCAGTTGTGAAAACTTCAGTTGTGTTTGAAATTCTCGTTCTTGATGTATCTGTTTACGTTATAAATCATCAGCAAATTATGCAACATTAATTTGAGTTATTCTAGCTACGAAAGAAAGGGAAGCAAATTATGAAGCCATCATTTTGGGCCTCTATTGGCACTTTAATAATATTACTTAAATTTCAATAATAATAAATTTTAAAAAAAATGCTTCTGAAGTAATAAATATTTAGCATCACAATCCTTATTTATTACTAGACATGTTGTTTTCAAGTGATCATACCTTGCTCTGGTAAGCAATTGACAGACAAATCCTCGTGATGTCGACAGTCATGGATGCCCCAACCATTATGTTGACATTCTAAGATATTTGTTTCATTTCCACTACATCGTACATTGTCTAACCAAATAGGACCTGATCCGTGACCATAACGTGCACAACAATAGCTGACAGATGTACGCCTGAGTAATGTAATGTAAAAGTTGACTTATTGAAGTCCATACATTATTATTTTCAACTTATTATGAAAAGTTTTTTTGGCAAGCAGAACAGCTTTCCAATCATGAACAACAAAAGTTGCGTCTAACTCTAGCAATGTCTTACATCTTTTTTCAATACTAACTGATAAGATCACGTCATACTTTACTTGTTGCATCACAAAAAATAATTTTTTTATGACAAATTTACTGTTTTTAACCCATTTATATTAGTTAATATATAAACAATGTAAAATTAAATCCAGTAGTCATGCGAGGTATGAACATCAAGGAATAAATCTTATTTTAAAAGAAACAAACATCATACCAAGGAAAGCCTAAAGCTCGACAGACTACTTCAGAAAATCTGTTTTTCGACCCATCAGCTTTATGTATATAGTCATCATCACATACTGTCCCCCATACTCCATTATGATAAACCTCCACTCTACCCTCATGTGAAGTATTTCCACCAACTAGTCGAACTGTTGTGTCTATATGAAATAGAGGGAATGGAAAGTAAAAAGAGAAATAAAATTCAAATTATGTTTCGGAAGTCTGTTCTTACTTTTTCATGTAGTAATTATTTGTAATAAACCACGAAAAGCTCAATATGGTCCTTATCAATATCACTGCGATCAACCTCAGCCCTATTAAACTGAGAGGATGGGTATTTTGCATTGGTTGGACTTTATATCAAACAGATTTAGTTTTAGATTTTGAAAATTATCAGTTTTTCTAAATCTTTTAGTGTATTTTAGATCAGACAAATCTTTATTCAGAATATTAAAAATGTTGTTAGATGTTTCAGTTGTGAGTCCCCCAGTTATAAACGTTTCTATTGTGGGCGACTGTCTTGTTGTTGGTGTTTCGAGCTCTGTTTTTAAATTTCAGAAAATGGATGTAATTTTATGAAGTAAATTTCTTCCAAAAATGATACATATCTGCACAACACAATAGCTTACTTGGTGGAAGCGTATCATTTACAACGCTCTCTGTTGTGAAAGTTTCTGTTGTGGTTGATGATCTTGTTGTTGCTGTATCTGTAAACATTCAGAAATAACGTAAATTTTATTTAAGCTACTTAAGCTTCATAAGAAGGTAAAACAAACTGTAATATCATCATTTTGTGCATCTATTGGCACTTTGATAATACTAGACTTTGTATCTCTTAAAGCTAAACGCGATTCGTAAAAGGATTGTACCCGCCATTTTTGTTCGGATTCTCGCCATATCTGCTGACCCCTATATAAATGGCAGGACTTAGTCACTGTTCAGGTTAATCAGTTGACACTGGTGTAGACGGACGTTTGCTATACAGCACTCGGTAGCGACAATTATAACGTAATATTTCGGCTAATCCAGTAACATAAGATATCAAACAAACTTACAATTATTTTGTTGTACAGGTCAGTGCAGTGTACAACCACAGATACGCGTAACTGCAATAAAATATAAACAAAAGTAATACACGATAAGCAGCATGAATACGGGTCGCCATTCCACGCCGATACCCGTGACAATGAAGCAGTCAGGTGTTACAAATCTGAAGAGTATACCCTGGTGTTTATGTATCGTAGAAAAAATAATGATATAATAAATGGCGTATGCATATTTACGAGCCGTGTTTAGCTTTATCTTGCAATAAAATCAAATTCAAAACAGAAATATGTTTGAAATTCAAAACAACTAGCAAAATAAGTCGTATTTGTTACTCGATATGTTTTTCAAATGATTATACCCTCCTCTGGTAAGCAATTGATAGACACGTCCTCGTAATGTCCACAGTTATGGTTGCCCCAACCGATATGTACACACTCTGAGATATCTGTTTCATTTCCACTACATCGTACATCATCTAGCCAAATGGGGCCAGTTCCTTGTCCATAACGTGCACAGCAATAGCTCAAAGATGTTTGCCTTCCAATTTTTAAAGTTAGAATTGAATTAAGGTTATCTTATTTATAGTCAATATGTATCATCTTTTGTTCTACAGAATTCGAAAGGTTGTTTAATTTTATCGACCTACATGTATTTTAGACATGAACATAGAAGAATTCATCATATCTCATATATCTTACATGTCGACATGACATCGATTGATAAATTGACATATTTCTTATGCTTACTTTTGTAAAAGACACGATGTAAATGAGGATTACGATATAAGATTTCATAAATGAATTAAATTATATTCTTGTACTTGAACATCTTCACTTATTAAATTGAACGTCAATCAGAAATTGAGGTTTTACTACGTCCAACCATTTGCAAATGACCAGAAAAAAAATAGAAGAGAAATAAGACTATAATTCCAATATAATCTAGATATTTTCTTGTAATTTATTTGTTTAAAAATAAGCTTTATCAACTTAAGTATTCATGCCTGAAAACATGAAATAATCAACTTATTTGTATTTATAAATAATTACATAATAACATATAAAACATACCAAGGGAAGCCTAAAGATCGGCATACTACTTCAGAGAATCTGTTCTTTGATCCATCAGAATTAAATGAGTAAAAATCATCACAAACTGTTCCCCATACTCCGTTGTAATACACTTCCAATCTACCCTGATATGGAGAATTTCCTCCGACAAGTCGAACTCTAGTGTCTAGATACATACAAAATGTAAAAGAGAGGGCCTTATCTTCCTGCATTTGAGGACAGGATACCAATTCTTTTTTATTTTGTTAAAGGGGTTCATATATACATGTACTGAATAAACCAACCAACTTTTATTCGCGTGTGAGAAATTTTAGCGAGGTTCGCGAGAGCCTCGTCACCCCTACTAATGTTATTGTGATTTAAATTCAAGACACGTGGTTTAGGTTTATCTATTCAAAGGTTATAGGGTAGAACCGGTTTTATAGATAAAATTGGCAGTAAACATGATGTTGCTATAGCCTGTTTCTTTTGAAAACATGTCCTGTAATAAATGGTTCCAGACCTTTCTGAAAGACTTTCATGATTTTCAACTGACAAATTAGTGGCTAAAGGAGGTGGTGTTAAAAAAACAATATATCTTATACTTTTCAGCGAAAATTAATGCTCACTAGTGACCGATTCGCTGGTAAAAAAAAATGTACATTATCATCTACAATGACAAAACTTTGTTTGCCTTATATGGCCATTGTTATAAATGCGCACAGAGGATCTTACCACGAGCAACTGACCAATCGTTGAATGAATAGCAACGTTTACGCCAAATACATGTTTACATTTTACTTCGAACACGTAGTTCAGGTCAATCTACGATCATGTAATGGACTACAAAATAAAAAAATAAATGTTCTTACGAACAAAATACAAAGATAAGAAACTATGAAAGATGTTACGGACGTTTTTAATTTGTTGTTAAATAGAAAAAAATGTTTGATAAAATGTAGTTTGTGTCTAGTTTAGAACACCAGCGCTTCAAGAGTAAGGCAAACGAGCAGCATCTCTTCTGCATTTAAATGGACAAAACTTTGTTTATGTATTCTTATGCTTATATGCAGGTTCACCGCACTTGTTTTTGCTAATTTTGTATAAGTCAAATAAAACACTTTCATAGAGATGAATAATGTCATTTATTAAAATGACGGTATAAATGTGAACAATTTAACAAACAAGATGGGGATCAGATTCACAAGCTTTGATTATCAGTTACGTAAAATATGATAATGTCTGATCCCCCAAAACTGACTAGAAAAAAGTATCTGTAAGACAAAACAATGAAAACATCATATGAAAAAGTTAGCAAAAAGATAAAACTTTGTTTACGTTCGTGATCACGTGTTCCACCAGGGAATTCACCTGGGGCTCGTAACATAAAGGTTACTTAAGTCTAAGACCATGCTTAAGTAGGACGTAAGTACATTCTTAGCCTTAAGACCGTAACTAGAAGCGTGCTAAGATTTCACAATTTAAGCAAGACTTAGGCGGCCGGTAGAGGTGACTTAAGTATGTCTTAAGTACCACCTACAAACATTTAGAATTAGATATCGTTAAATACCGGCATTAAACATCCTTGAAAATTTTATTTTCAATAAACATGATTAATATATACATGTTAAAATACAGCAAAGTATATAAATTATAATAATTTGTTCATTAGAATAATTTTGATAAACATTATTAATCGTACAAAAGAAGACTGTGGTACATACATTCAAAAGTTGATTTCATTGGGATGATGCTTACACGTCATAAACACTACTCACTAAAGTAAACAATTGTACGAGTCCGGCGGCCTTATACGTGCACCTGAGAAATATTAGAAAGAACAGGACATTCCAAGACAGGGTGTTTCTGGGGGAGACAGAGGACGATGAGTATTTAATTTCGAGATATCGCCTCGACAGAGACTTGATAGAGAGAGTTTGTGAGTTTGTTAGATGCGACGTGGAACGTCAGACAAAAAGAAACCACGCATTGAGTGTCTCTACTCAGGTTCTCACGGCTCTGCGACACTATGCAACCGGTAGTCTGTTTAGTGTTTTAGGAGATGCTCAGGGTATGTCAAGAATGACAGTGTCACGGGTAATTTCAGATGTATCAACGAGTATTGCAAATCATGCAAACGAGTATATAATATTTCCAAACTCCAATGCAGAAAAAATCGCAGTAATGCAAAATTATTACGAGTTATCAAGGTTTCCCAATATTTTGGGTTGCATTGATGGAACTCATATTCCTATTAGAACGCCTAAACAAGATGAACATTTGAATGTCAACAGAAAGAACTTCCATTCTATAAATGTACAAGGTGTGTGTGACTCCGACCTCAGATTTACAAATTTAGTGGCCAAGTGGCCAGGGAGTTCACATGATTCCTTTATATGGACAGACTCTGCTCTTTCGTTGAAATTTGAAAGTGGTAAGTATTAGTATTGAATACAATAATTTATAAGCATAATTTTAAATGCTATGTGAATGTGGTAATTATTAGTATTGAATATAATGACTTTTAAGCATACTTTTAAATGCTATCTGATATACATAAAACTGATATTTAGAAATCCTTTAGCGCACAATAAATTTTACTGCTCAGGGGCTCTTGTGCCAAAGGCGCTAAAATTAGTAGTGCGCCAAATATTCTCGTTTTACAGTATATGAAACGAGCTCAAATTTGATATGACATATGAAATATATTAATATTTGTATTTAGGTGAAATAGGCGAAGGGTGGCTTCTGGGAGATTCGGCATACCCCCTCAGACCCTGGATGCTGACCCCATATCTACACCTTCCACACCTAGTGCATTTCGATACAATACACGTCACATGAAAGCGAGGAACACAATCGAGCGCTGTTTTGGAGTGTGGAAAGGTCGTTTCTGATGCCTCGATAAAAGTGGTGGACCTATATTATTTGATCCCACGAAAGCCTGCAAGGTACACTTTATTGTAATTGAATTATTTATTTGTCTTTAAAACACCGCAACGTTAATGAAATAAAGCTCAATTTCAGGTTATTGTTGCAACAGCTGTGTTGCACAATATGTGCATAAACAAAACAATTCCTCTGCCAGAAAACGAGATACCTATCGATTTAATGACAATCTTATCTACGATGGAAATGTGAATGACGGAAGAGAGACAAGACAGCATCTTGCACTAAGACTTACATAATTTTATTGGAAATCATTGAACTCTGCAGATAAAATAAAGTATTTTACATTTCTGTTTTCGTTACAAACGAGAAATCCCCTTCTATTTCTTTCTTCCTCTAACTGGCATCTTCTTTCCTCTATCTTCAGTCTTTCTTCATCTATCTCCAACCTCTTCTTCTCTATCTACAATGGATAGTGACACTTTAATTGTGTTTGAGTGTTATTTCTTAGAACAAACACATAGCATAATAAATTCATGATATCGTAAATTAATTTTTTTGTACCTCTAATCTCTCCTTTTCTATTTCAATAAGATCCTGCTCTCCATCAAAGGCTGAGGGTCTCTTTCTTTTGGAGCTCTTGTGGATACCATTGGATGAGGATTCCCTACTACATTCACCGTGACTGCAAGTTGATTGGCTGGATGTACTTTGACTTTGATCTTGTAATTCACTGTTCATTAACAAGTTTTACTAATTTGTCAAAAAATTCAAAAGTATGTATCTCAATAATATCTTATTAAAAATGAAAATATTATAAACAACAATGAATGTGATTTACCTGTCTTCTTCGTTGACAATATCAACAGACTGAGGGGTGCTGCAAGCAGCTGTGTCATATCCCCCGGGAATTCCCTCAACGGCGGTTTGGCCCATTGTTTCAGCAATCTTTATCTCAGTGTTGGTGAGCGCTTCCGCTGATGACACTCCTCCGCCAGTCTTCCTTGCTTCCCTCCGAGCCATTGACAATTTCTTCTTAGTATCACTAGATACATTTCTCCATTTTTTCCGAACATCTTCCGATGTCCTTTCAACGCCGCTGACAGCGCTCACCTTTAAGTGTTATGTTGTAAATATTATAAAGTGTAATACTGCATTATCTACTAGTATTAAAAGTCCCTTATTAAAAAAATTCATTTGGTACAGATATATGTTGTACAATATATCACACAGCTTCTGTATGCAAATTAAACGCAAGACATTATGTATCATGGCATTATATCCCCGGGGGTGGTACTGGGGGAGGTGGGCTCCACCAATAATTAATTTTTTGAGAATATTAATTACATGAGATGACATATTTTTCTCTTCAATTACATCTGCTTGGTAGTACCCACCAAAACTAAAATTATTTCGTTGACACCCCCCCCGCCTGAAATTGATTAAAACTGGTGTATAAAAAAGACGTGTTGGTATTCAAAAAGAAATACAGAAGGGGAAAATGTTTATTCTAGACTTCATAATTTTTATTCTTTTGTTATAATCCCTATGTTGAATAAAATAAAATAAATATCCTTTACCTTTGATGCAATGCCACTCCATAGTCTTTGCTTACTTGCATTCGTCGATACGTTTGAAAAGGAAGAATTTATGATATCACTATTGTTTTGGACTTCCTCAATAATAGTTTCGATTTCAAGTTGGGAGAAATTCGGTTTCCGTGCCATGTCTGCGACCTGCGACAACGACGAAACCAGCGCATGCAGTGAACACTTCTCAAAACGATATGTAATTGTTTAACAATATATAAACTGAACACGGCAAGGGCGGATTCAGGATTTTTTTCAGAGCTTGATCCATTATGTCAAGTAAAATAAATCGTATTAGATGCATCATTACTACTGATTATAACTGCACATACGCAGTGTTTAACTTTATAAGAATGAAAATCTGCCCCCCCGCATCATTTGATCCACCGAGTGGTCCGTCACTTCCTGTTTTAAAAAAAAAACCCTGTCCTTTCCAAATCCCTATCTTAAGCATTTCATAGAAGTAATTTAGTACTAAATACATTATTACCTAATTGCCAATTAATTTTATCTCTACTTTAAAAAATCAAATTCAATTGATTCATGTTTCATTTATAATTTATAGTCAATTGATATACATATACATGCATCTAAACTCTAATTTAAAAGTTATTCCCAACATATATTTTCGACTTAAGTCTGACTTAGCTAAGACCTTGCTTAGTCTGTTTTATGTTACGGTATAAGACTGACTTAAGTAGTACTTAGGAACGTCTTAAGAATGTGCCTAAGTCCTACTTATGACCCTACTTAAGTCAAAATCTTAGCAAGCTTTATGTTACGAGCCCCTGGCAACTGTATTCACCGATAGTACAACAAAGGAATTAATACAGACGCAAAGCGCTTTTGCAGTATGACTTTCAGAAACCTAGACTTCCGTTTATTTAGCAAATGAATTGTTTGTCATTATAAGCATGAAAATAATATTTTTAAAAATGCTTTTCATTTACCATAAGATTTTCCTTTTTTTCAAGCGTAAAATTCCTGTAGTATTCGTAGTAACCCATAATGCAATACTCATTCAGCTGATTGGTCAGTTAAAATCATGCTGGTGCCTCATTTGCTAATCTGACGCCAAAAAATATAGTCCCGGTTCCCATGCAAAAAATATTTCTCCAAAAAGAAATTTTAATTCATGACTGCAGAAAATTGTGCATGCATTATAGAGAATACTTGTGTTAAGTCTAAATGAATGTAAAAGAGATCGATTGATTGAAGTACATTTCCACATATATTATCAGCTGATTCTAGGGTGGTGAAAACTGAAACGCAACAGAACTTTTCTGTTTACCATGCTTCCACGTGCTAGTCACTTCCTAGCCACATTCCCGTGAATAATTTACCCAATCTCGCTGAAGTCTCGCTTACTCTCGCCAGAGCCACTGCCAGAGCTACTCTGAACTCATCGGGTTTTATAATTTGCAGCACACCGAAAAATAAAAGGTTCCGAACACATTAGTAGGGGTGCTCGTCAATGCGAATATTTCTCACGAACCAGTCCTTCAGGTCTCTTTGTCAATTAATAACAGATCAAAAAGGCTTGATCGCGAAAAATAATCGTCGCAAGCTACATGTAGTATAATCCCGGTAAATCGCGAAATAAAGTAGTCGCGAATAAAAGTTGGTTTACAGTATATGTTTCAATACATAACATTTTTGCGCATTCTTTGCATTTTTTAATGTCAAAATAGTTTGTTGATTTTAACATACACGTTTAGATTGCCTGCAATTTTTCTTTTTAACTTAAGAAATTTGTATAATATTAAATGATCGAAAAAATTGGTTCAAACAGTTGTCTTGATTTACAATAAAATATTTAAATTTTACAGGCATTTTTGTATAGATTAAACAGAAAAATTAGTGCTCAATATATAATTATTTCTGCTTTGATGTCAATAGATGATGAAGCCAAATAAGTAATGCAGTATTTACTGAGCCCAAGAATTTAAATAACTTTCTCATATTTAAGTCTTTACATACATGTTTTACTTAAAATGAATATGTCTCAATGTTTTGCTTAAAAATACGTTGGATCAGTTATGCTAATTTAAGTTTGTATAAGGCTTGAATAAAGTTGCTAAGTGTCAGTGCTAAGCAGTGATGGGAGATTTGAAATGATGGAAAACCCTGGATTATGATTTTATTTTAAAGAGCAAGAGCCATCTTATGCATAAAATGGTCCTGTACTTATATCAATTAATAAACTATCACCCTGTTTCCATTTCATATATTAAAATGAAGTAGACACTTGGTGCTTTCATTTTCTATAACAAAATTTCGTTTTGAGAATCCGCACATTGGAAAGCAGGCTTTGAGAAATTGCAATGTTCTTGAACTTTGCAGAAAATACGGGTATTTGACTACCTTCAGCAAAGAATTAAAATATGAGCACACCCCACGATCCAAAAAAAAACAACATGTTTTTTGATCTTCAGAAACAGAGCTTTCATGATGTATTTGCATATTTTGGATCAGAGGTTGTGCTCTATATGAAAAAAGTACTTCAACTTTAGGCCATATTTGAAGGAAATTACAGGATTTGAGGAAAATGACGCATTTTATGACGTCATAATGCATTTACTACATATAAAATTACGTCACAATTAATAGAAACGTGGTCACCACCACTCCAAGTGATAAATACTGCATTTGCAACCTAAACTGAGCAGTTCTGATTTTTCAGAAATTCTCAGGGCCAAATAAGGCCGAACGTGGCTCTTGCTCTTTGTAAATGTAAATGTTTTTTTTTTCTTCAAAGTTATCAAACACACCCCTACTAATGTTATTGTGATTTAAATTCAAGACACGTGGTTTAGGTTTATCTATTCAAAGGTTATAGGGTAGAACCGGTTTTATAAATAGAATTGGCAGTAAACATGATATTGCTATAACCTGTTTCTTTTGAAAACATGTCCTGTAATAAATGTTCCCAGACCTTTCTGAACGACTTTCATGATTTTCAACATAAAAAGGGTGGCTAAAGGAGGGGGTGTTAAAATAACAATATATATCTTATACTTTTCGGCGAAAATTAGAGCTCACTAGTGACCGATTCGCTGGCAAAAAAAAGTGTATTATCATCTACACTGACGAACTTTTGTTTGCCTTATATGGCTATTGTTATAAATGCGCACAGAGGATCTCACCACAAGCAACTGAACAATCGTTGAATGAATAGCAACGTTTACATGTTTACATTTTACTTCGAACACGTAGTTCAGGTCAATCTAGGATCATGTCAATGGACTGCAAAATAACAAAAATATTCCTACGAACAAAATACAAAGATAAAAAAACTATGAAAGATGTACGGGCGTTTTTAATTTGTTGTTAACTGAAAAGAAATGTTCAAGAAAACGTTGTTTGTGTCTAGTTCAGAACCAGCGCTTCAAGGGTAAGGAAAACGAGAAGCATCTTCTATGCATTTAAATGGACAAAACTTTGTTTACGTTGTGATCACGTGTTCGGTCAGGGAATTCACCTGGCAATTGTATTTACCGATAGTACAACAGAGAAAATAATACAGACGCAAATCGCTTTTGCAGTGCGACTTTCAGAAAACTAGACTTCCACCGTTTATTTAACAAATGAATTGTTTGTCATTATGAGCTAGCATGAAAATAATATTTTTAAAAATGCTTTTCATTTACCATAAGATTTTCCTTTTTTTTTTTTCAAGCGTAAAATTTCTGTAGTATTCGTAGTAACCCATAATGCAATACTCATTCAGCTGATTGGTCAGTTAAAATCATGCTGGTGCCTCATTTGCTAATCTGACGCCAAAAAATATAGTCCCGGTTCCCATGCAAAAATATTTGTCCAAAAAGAAATCTTAATTAATGACTGCCGAAGATTGCATTATAGAGAAAACTTATTTAAGTTTGAATGAATGAAAGAGAGATCGCTTGATTGAAGTACATTTTTACAGATATTATCAGATTCTAGGGTGGTGAAAACTGAAACGCAACATAACTTTTCTGTTTACCATGCCTCCACGTGCTAGTCACTTCCTAGCCACATTTCCGTGAATAATTTACCCTATCTCGCTGAAGTCTCGCTAACTCTCGCCAGTTCCACTGCCAGAGCTACTCTGAACTCATCGGGTTTTATAATTTACAGAACACCGAAAAATAAAAGGTTCCGAACACATTAGTAGGGGTGAAACATTTCAATTGAACTTTTCTTTTGTGAAAGTAATTGTTTTCTTTAAAGCTTATTAAACCATTTCAAACAATAAAGATTAACATCACAGCTTACTTGCAATAGGTATAGTTGTTGACGTTTGAACTTTTGTCATTGTTGTTGTCATTCGGGCCTCTGTCAACGTCGTCGTTGTTGGTGATTGTGTTGTGGAAGCAATCATTGTTGGAGCTCGTGTTGTGGTTGTTGGAGCTTGTGTGGTGCTTGTGATTGTTGGAGCTTGTGTCGTTGTTGGAGCTGTTGGAGCTTGTGTGGTGGTTGTCGTTGTTGGAACTTGTGTGGTGGTTGTGGAAGCTTGTGTCGTTGTAGTAGTCTTTAGATTTTGTGTATGTGTTGCCCTTGCAGTCGGGAATATGGTGGTCGTTGTTGGAGATTGTGTTGGGAGATTTTGTCTTGTGATTGTTGATATGGGGTCTTCTGTGATTGTTTCAGATTGTGTTGTGGTTGCTGTTGAAACAGATGTTTTAATCATTGTCGTTGGTGCTCTCGATGTGAAAGGTGCTGTTTGAGTTCGTGTCCCCTCATTTGTTTGGACGGGTGTAATCGGTGTTTGTATCGTTGTAGCCGTTTCTTGTGCATGTGTTAAATTTTCTGTTGTGGGGGGATCTGCTGTTGTCAGTGCTTCTGTAGTAAGTAACAATCGAAGTCATAATTTACCATAACTTTCAGAAAATGAAAATTAAAGAAGATTACAGTGCCATGAAACTTATGAAAACATTGTAAGAGCTAAACATATTAATAAGATGTGATATTTTGATTCAACAGAAAGGTATTTTTCTAAATTTTAAAAGAAAAGTTTAATTTTTGCTCTGTTGCCATACGGGGGCATCAGTGTTTCACAAACACATCTTGTTATTCTGTGACTTGATAATTGTATAAATATCAAAAAATCGAATTAAAAATATTTTTACCCTCTGAACATCTAACAGAGGCATCTTCATGATGACCACAGTTATGAGATTGCCATCCATTATGTGGACACTCCTCAATATTGGTCTCTGATCCACGACAGTTTACATCGTCTAACAAAATAGGACCTGATCCTTGACCGAAGAAAGCATATTTAAAGCTCTTAGCGTTTTGTCTGAAATATAATTTATTTACCAATATAAAAAAATAAATCTATAAACCAAACATTGAAAAATTATCTCAAGAAATATTTTATAATATTCATTTATGTAGCATTTATAATGTTTAATTGTGAAAAATTTCAATAGAATAATAAATAAAAGAGAGAGAGAGAGAGAGAGAGTTAAAAATATAGTTTCAAAATGGAACAAATTTGCTGTTACGCATAAAAGATAATACGCACGTTGGATATCCCAGCGACCTACAGATCACCACGGCATCCAAATCATCCCAAGAATCATCACAAACTGTCCCCCATACACCATTACGGTATACCTCTACTCTACCCTCGTATGGAGTCTGTCCTCCCACAAGCCGCACTGGACTGACTGTGTTTAAAAACAAGAGGCCCATGGGCAACATCGCTCACCTGAGCACATGGGCTAGTTAAAAACATAAATTAGCTAAGTATTGAAAAGCTCACTTGTTGGAGGTGGGGGATTTGATTTTTTTATTACTTGAGAATGTCACTATATCAATAAAGCATAAATGTATAATCTTGCCATGCTTGAATAGAATATTTTTAAAGATTTTTCCAAAACATATTACTCGATCGCCCATTGTGACCCCTCGCTAATCCCCCCGGATATTATCTAAATAAATTCAAATCTTCACTCCTTGCAGATGCTTACATGTCAATTTGACCGAACAAAACTTATCTGTTCTGGAGAAGAGTTTTTCCGATATATTCTTATGCAAAATTTTGAATCCTCATTGTGGCCACATCCTACCCCTGGGGGTCATGATTTGTAATCAGTTTCATTTTCCCCGGCCCAATGCTTCTGGAAAAGAAGATTTTTAAAAGATTTTCCCTATATATATTCCTATGTAAAACTTTAACCAGCCATTGTGGCCCCGCCTATCCTCGGGGTCATGATTTGAACAAACTTAAATCTACTCTACCTGAGGATGCTTCCACATAAGTTTCATCTTTCCTCGTCCAATGGTTCTGGAGAAGAAGATTTTTAAACGATTTTCTCTATATATTCCTATGTAAAACTTTGATCACCCATTTTGGCTCCGCCCTACCCCCGGGGGTCATGATTTGAACAAACTTGAATCTACACTACCTGAGAATGCTTCCTTATTAGTTTCATCTTTCTTGGCCCAATGGAGAAGAAGATTTTTAAAAGAAACCACTAATTTTTCATCAATTCATAATTATTTCCATTTGGAAGAGGGATTGGCCCTTCATTTGAACAAACTTGAATCCCTTTCACCCAAAGATGCTTTGTGGGAAGTTTGGTTAAAATTGGCCCAGTGGTTCTTAAGAAGAAGTCGAAAATGTGAAAAGTTGACAGACAGATAGCTAAACGGACAGACGGACTACAGACAAAATGTGATCAGAAAATCTCACTTGAGCCTTCAGCTCAAATGAGGTAAAAAAACCACAAAAAGCAAACTTCATTTATTAAATATTTCCTTATTAAAGAAATTAAGAATCCATTTTATTTAGGGATGAAATTTAAAGCTCTATCTTAAGAAGACTGACAAGGAAAGTGTCACAAAAACATTATAGAAATATAATCTTAGAAATGATCCTACATAATCCAGTCTGGCATCTGACGGATGCATCTTCATGATGCCCACAGTTATGTCTTCCCCATCCGTTATGACTGCAATATTCAATTCTTGTCTCGGTTCCAGCACAAACAACATCATCCATCCAAATAGAACCGTTTCCCGGACCAAAAGATGCACTACCTAATGCTGTTGAACCAGATCTGTCAAGAATAAATGATTTATTTTAGTATGATGTCTGCTTAAAACCGACAGTTTTAGTGATTAAATTCATAGATAATAACGTGAATCAAGAGGGTTAAATGGCCTCGCAATGTATCAAACACTTCTCAGGTTATGAACCCCGTTTTTTTTAGTCAGAGTGAATAAAATTTATTAGATAATGGTTTGAAGAAATATAATTATGTCTTTCACACTTATAAAGTGTATAAGGAGGTTTCAATTGAGTTTTGGCTTTTCTGGTCTGATGCTTACGTAATTTTTAAATGATTCTGCCATATTATATTTCTCTTTAACTGCTCTTTAAAGCTTATTTTTGTTAAAACAACATGGGTTCCCATAATTAAGTTGGTTTAGGTGGAGAATTTTGTTGAAATTTTAGGTAGTTCAAAGAAGGAAAATATATAAAAAAAATTAAATACTGCTTGCAATATACACCTTTTGATCAGGAGATGCAATTTTAAGGGTTTTGCATGTGATAGCCTCAATATTGCTTAAAAATTTAATACATACGCAGAAAATCCGAGAGATCGACAAACCACTGTAGCATCTTGGTAACCCCAGTAGTCGTCACAAACAGTTCCCCATTCTCTGTTGTGATAAACCTCCACTCTTCCTTCATAAGGGGTGTTTCCGTTAACAAGACGAATGGGAGTGACTTTAAAAAAATTAAAGGAGTGTTTAAAAGATAAGATTTCAAACTGAGGAAATATCAATTTTATGTTTTCGATGAAGATATTTGCTGTAAATAATACTTTCTAATCTACCGGAATTACAAAGCAAAACAAATGTATTTCTTCAATCAGAATGTAAACCATGATTACTACATGTAAATGTACTCTTAAATAAAGAGAAAAACACAAAAAGAGTTTTATCTTCAGATTTGGAGATATATGACAAGAAAAGACTTTGTTAAACTGAAAACAAAACAGTTTAAATATTTTCATTTTTGTTTCTTAAAGAATACTGTATACAGGGGAATTTTCCCTCCTCTTTATTTTCGCCCCTTTCGCCCTTCTTACAGTTGGGCGAATTTAAAACGGGTCGAATTAAAGGAAAACAGCATAATTTCTTATACTGTCTCTGTGACTGGGCGAATTTAAAATGGGGCAAAATTATTTGCTAGTGTGAAAGGGCGAAAAAAACAAGAGGCGACAATAACCTTGTTTACAGTATTTCGTCAAGAAATGATTTATTTAAAATAAAAACTATCATAATTAATCTTAACAGTACTTCTGAGTACTTACATGGCATCAGCCGTTCGATTGTAGTCGTCTGTGTGGTAGTTGTTTCTGTTGTGACATGTGCTGTTGGTACGGATGTAGAGATATCTATATAATCAAAATTATACCAGTAATCATAAATCTAGATTTAAAAAATTGAAAGAAATATTTTTAAAAAAAATACCAAATGGCATTTGGAGAGCGTCAGCCCTATCCAATCCTTGAAATATGTCATTTATCAAAATGATTTCTTCTGGAAATGTCATTTTAATTAGAGGATTTAGGTTATCAGAAGGACATCATATACATTTCGAACTGAAATAAGAGATAAATATTTTTACAAATCAAATGCAGATTTCAGATTCGTGGAGAGAGAGTTTACGAATAAAAACCAGAAGTCTCTGTGAAGACTGAAGCTCTACTGGTTTGCACTTATAGCAAAGGAAGAGAAAAAGTACTTAAGCAGTTGCGTATTGAAACTTCACAAAAGCAATAAATAAAATACATGTAATGATCCTTGATTAAGCATCTTAATGTTCTTAGTGTAGTCTACTTGCATGCCATATTATATTATAATCAGAATAAAACTGTATTTGGAGTAGCATTTTGAGAGTATTTAACAGAAATTTCTATTCTTAGTGACCAAGGCAATAATGTTCATCGAAGTCATAAACTGAAATACAGAATTGTGTATCTTAGTAAAGTCTACTTGTGTGCCAACTGCCAAGTTAGTGAAATCAGACCAAAACTGTAGGAGGAGTAGCATTTTGAAAGAATTTCACAGAAATTTATTTTTAGTAACCACAGCAACACCATTCATTGAAATCGAAAACTGATATATAGAATTATGCATCTTGGTGTAGTCTATTTGTGTGTCAAGTTATATTGAAATCAGACCAAAACTGTAGGAGGAGTAGCACTTTGAAAGAAATTTACAGAAATTTCTATTTTTTAGTAACCACGGCAACACCGTTCATCGAAATCCAAAACCGATAAATAGAATTATGTATCTTAGTGTAGTCTACTTGTGTGCCAAGTTATATTGAAATCAAACCAAAACTGTAGGAGGAGTACCAATTTGAAAAATTGTTGACAGACAGACAGACGGACGGACACCGGACGCATTACTATCGCATAAGCTCTTCTGGTCTCTGACCAGTAGAGTTAATAAGCAATACAAAGGTTGCTTTGTAGATTTATTTGTCTATTGCTAAAATATACAAGATAATATTGCATAAGTTCTGATGGTTTTCTTTCCCACTAATTTTGTTCAGTAAGGAAAGATCATGAACTTCACAATAATTTTCCCCCCGTATTCGAAAAATTGGATAAGAAAAGCTTTTGCCCTGTCCGTCCGTTGTTTGTCTGCTTTTTTGGCCGCAAAACTTCAACCTTCCCCATAACTTTCGGGTATGGCTTTCATAATCCACAGGTGCATTTCTTGCAATTTGACAAGACCTTACTTTGGGTACCGCAAAATTTGACCACCTCTCCTTGACCTTAGAGTTTTGACTCACTTTTAAAAAAAATTATCACACTTTAATCTGGACGATAATTTTTGAACAGTTTGGATTAGAGCTGTCAAACTTCACATGTGTTTCTATTGTGACAAATCTTTTGCAAAACTTTAATCTTGGCCATAACTTTTGAACAGTTAGTATTGGGGATTTTATATACCACAGGTTTATTTCTTTTGACGAGACCTTCCTTTGCATACAATCAATTTTGTCCTTTTGACCTTGAAGTTTGACATGCATTTGAGAATCTTCAATCCTCGCAATAAGCTTCCATTCGGGGGCATCAGTGTTTCACAAACACATTTTGTTACGACTTAACTCGTAAATGCTAAATACCAAAGAATTCAGAATGTGTTTAAAAGATAATGTTTATTACGACTTAACTCGTAAATGCTAAATACCAAAGAAGTTGGAATATGTTTAAAAGATGTTTGATGCAAATCGCATGACATTGGAGAAAAATAGATTGTGGTAACTCGTGTGTCTCTTTTATTGTGGATGCAAATACTTTAAAATCACAAATTTTTGTGGGGTCAAATTTTCGTGGTTTGAGGAAAATCTCTTGGCTTGTAGGGATTTGATTTCATGGATGAAGAATTGTTGAGTAGTTATGTATGTAACATTTATTTCGTGGTGGACATGAATTCGTTGGTCTCGTCATACCTCGAAAACAACGAAAATTAAACCCCCACAAAAATTTGCGATTTCACAGTACATGAACTTGTATGTACATGTTTAAGTTTTTATTTTGTTATACCTATTTATTGCATACAAGTGAATGATATATACATATATATTGAATTAAAAGTCCTTTACCCTCTGAACACCTGACGGAAGCATCTTCTTGATGGACGCAATTATGAGATTGCCATCCATTATGTGGACACTCCTCTATATGGGTTTCTGATCCACGGCAGTTAACATTGTCCAACATAATAGGACCTGATCCTTGACCGAAGAAAGCAGATTGAAAGCTCCTAGCATTTTGTCTGAAATTCAATTTATTAGCTATATATTGCAAGGTTTTTTTTCATAAAAAGTACTGGAACCATATGAAATTTTTTCTTTTACAAGGAATTTAAAAAAAGCATATGAGAATTAAAATACATTCAAAAATAAATTTTCACGTCATAAATATTTGTGGATTTTTTGTTTCATTTGTTTAAAATCCAAATTGCAATAGTCAAACAGAGAATAAAATTTTGCAAGTTTCTATACCAAATCGTTTATTTGCTTTTTTAGAGCTAGGTTATGAAAGTAAGAAAAGAGGCCCAGGGGCTACATCGCTCACCTGAGCACATCGGCTAGGAAAAAGCACAGATCAGGTCAGAACTGAAAAGTTTACTGAGGGAGGATGGGGGATTGTGTCCTACCCTCCCTATCCCAAAAGGCCATGATTTGAACAAATTTAAATCTTCAATACATGAGGATGCTACATGTCAATATGACTAAACATTGCTTTTCTGTTCTTTGGATCTTTCCTTTATATTTCCATGTTAAACTATGATCGACCTTTGTGGCCCCACCCTATCCCTGTGGGAGGTGTTATGATTGGAACAAACTAAAATCTACACTAAGGAGGATGATTCCATATAGATATCACTAATAGTTGATTTGAAGTACAGAAGAAGATTTAAAAAGATTCCCCTATATATTCCTATGTAAAACTTTCATGCCATTGTGGCCCCGCCCTATCCCCGGGGATCATGGTTTGAACAAACTTGAATCTACACTACCTGAGGATGATTCCACATGAGTTTCATCTTTCCTGACCCAGTGGTTCTTGAGAAGAAGATTTTTAAATATTTTTCCTACATATTCCTATGTAAAACTTTGATCACCAATTGTGGCCCTACCCTACACCCCGGGGTCACGATTTGAACAAACTTGAATCTACGATACCTTAGGATGATTCCACATGAGTTTCATTTTTCCTGGGCCAGTGGTTCTTGAGAAGATTTTTAAAGATTTTTCCTATATACTCCTATGTAAAACTTTGATCGGCCGTTGTGGTCCAACCCTCCACCCCCACGGGTGATGATTTGAATAAACTTGAATCTACACTACCTGAGGATGATTCCACATGAGTTTCATCTTTCCTGACCCAGTGGTTCTTGAGAAGATTTTTTAAAAATTCCATTAATTTTTCACTAATTAGTAATTATCTCCCCTTGAGAGAGGGCGTGGCCCTTCATTTGAACAAACTTGAATCCCCTTTACCCAAGGATACTTTGTAGCAAGTTTGGTTGAAATTGGCCGAGTTGTTCTTGAGAAGAAGATGAAAATGTAAAAAGTTTACGACGACAACGACAACATCAGAAAAGCTCACTTGAGCCTTCGGCTCAGGTGAGCTAAAAATGGTTATATTTATAATTTACTGAAACATAAAAAGGACACGGAACGAAATCCGCTATTTCTTGTCAGCTTTAATGGCCAAAATAAAGCAATAAAAATACGGGGTTTTTTTTTTTTTTGAAAGTTAATAATGAAATATCTCAATATTAAACGAGAGGGAGAGAGACTCAAAAATATAGTTACAAATGTGCTCAATGTGACAGTTACTCCTTAACAGAAAATACGCACGTTGGATATCCTAAAGACCTACAGACCACCACGCTATCCAAATCATCCCAAGCATCATCACAAACTGTCCCCCACACACCATTACGATATATCTCTACTCTACCCTCGTATGGAGTCTGCCCTCCCACAAGCCGCACTGTACTGACTGTGATTTTTAAAAAAATTTCAATTACTCACTAAACATTTCTAACAGATGGGAAATCTGAGATCGTTGCATTGAAAGAAGTATTGTAGGCCTTACAGAAATACAATGAAGTGTATTGAAGTGGTAAAATTTTTCGTTTGGATAGAACGTACTGAGTCATGTTTTGAACGTCAATTATAACATAATGACACGCCAATGTCTTTAGGAACGAAAAAGAGATATATTTATTTCATGTTTTAGGACATCCCACTTTTCGCTACAAGCAACATGAGTTCCATCGAACTGGAGATTTTTAAAGTTATAAGAGAGAGAGTTAGAGATTTCCAGCTTCTGTAAAACACGTTTTGCTACGAATTTGTACTTAATTATGAATTTATTATGCTTATTGGAGTTACGAATAACAAATGTATCGGTTGAACACGTGCTTGCTCTGTGGTTATGTAGATCGTCAATTTGATTGGCTATTATATTTATGGAATACCTGTTATTCTAACGAATCATTCGTCCGAGGTTTTCCTTTCTTATGAAATGGGTGTGTCATTTAATGACAATCAACTTCTAGATAACGTTCCATCCAAACGGATAATTTTACCACTTCAATGTGCTTCATAGTACCAATAAGCATTCTAGAAATATGAATTTGGAAATGATCCTACATAATCCTGCCAGGCATCGGACGGATGCATCTTCATGATGACCACAGTTATGTCTTCCCCAGCCGTAATGATTACAGTACTCAATTCTTGTTTCTGTTCCAGAACAACGAACATCATCCATCCAAATAGAACCGTTTCCTTGACCAAAATAAGCACTACGTAAAGCTGTTGAACTGTTCCTGTCCAGAATAAATAATTTATTAAATTTTGACATTTATTTCAGACCAAAAGTATTTGTGAATGAATTCATATATATGTAGATAATAACGCGAATCATAAGTGCTAATTATAAAGGCCTCAGCATCGTACATGTATCACACATTACTGAGGTTACGAGTCCTGTCTCCCTAATATTTTAAGACGAAAATAATTTTTGATCAAAGTTTGAAATTTTATTGTGCCTTATACACTTATAAAGTGTATAAGAAGCTTTCAATTTAGATTTTTCTGGTCTGATGCTTGTGTTACTTTTAAATGATTCCGCTATGTTTTGTGTATTTCTGCTTCCTTTAATTCAGGTGGCTTTGGGGCAACATTTGGCTGAAAATTATAAATAGTTTAAAAATATATATATCGGGGGAAATTCAATACTGCTCACAACACCTTTGATAAAATAAAGAAAATATATGCATTTTGTTTACGTAAGATTCAGTATTGCTTTATGATACGTACATAGAAAATCCAAGCGATCGACAGACCACTGTAGCATCTGGTGTATCCCAGGAGTCGTCACAAACAGTTCCCCATTCTCCATTGTGATATACCTCCACTCTCCCTTCATAAGGGGTATTTCCATTAACGAGACGAATGGGAGTGACTGAACAGAAATAAAATGAGTGTACAAAAGATAAGACTTCAAACTGAGGAAGAAATCAAACAGTTTATAAAATTTTCTACATGTACCAGAATTTCAAAACTAAACATATGTATTTTCCTACTCGGAATGTAAACCATTAATACTACATATAAATGTTAACTTAAATGGAACGAGAAAAACATAAAAAAGAGAATTGTCTTCACTTTTGCAGATTTATGTCAAGAATGGACTTTTATGACACAGATGTCAAAACAAGACATATATTTTCTTTTCTGTCAAAAAAAAAACAAGTATGTCGTCAAAAGAAAATATAAATTAACCCAAACTAATACAAATCTTTACAAACACTATGTACTTACATGGCATCCACTGTTCGGTTGTAGCCGTCTCTGTTGTTGTTGTGTCTGATGTGACATATGCTGTTGGTATGGATGTTGAAATTTCTATCAAATCAAAATCACACCAGTAATCATTATTCTGCATAAAATTAGAGATACTGCGGTAATGAACTCACAAAATGATAATGTATTCCCTTGCTTTTCTTATCCCATTATAAACGCAAAACCTATGTTTTGTTCTGGGGGACAAGAAAAAATTGTCAGATCAAAAAGTAAATTAGAAGATGTACAATGGATTATGCAATTTTATTCGACATGTTCAATAATATAGGAGGGGTTGCGATAAGAGATTTGTACCCTTCAATGATAGAAAGAATGGCAGTGTCCATGTTTTGCTCTGGGAAACGCAAAATATATGCACTCAAAAAATAAAATAGGAAGTGAACAATGGCAATATGTTTCCAAAATTCTGAGAAAATCACATAAAAATTCATATAGTGGTATAAAATTAGTTGTGGATAGGAGATGGATATCCCAAAGCGTACAGACGGGGACGAACAGACATACTGACATTCCGATCACTATTGTAATATAATCTCCCACTTTTCAAGCGGAGGGATAAAAATAATGAATATTTGTAAAAAGTACAATCTGAAAGCCGTATTTCATAAAATAAGAGGGTGTTTTGACGGCTTAAGACCAATATATCACCACGTACATTCGGAATTTTAATTACTAGTTAAAGCCGCTTCATCCGAAACAGGCACATATTATCTTAAACAATAAAAGTATGCCATTACATAGATAATATATAAAAATTAATTATAAGATTGATTTAATAGTTGATTACAACAATCCTTACATGGAAAACATAGACCAAAAACCTTGTTGACAAACAGCAGTTCCTGAGGGGAAGTTAAGATCTGTTTTGAAGTCACCTTTGAAAAAAATACTTTATCGGATATACCGGTATCTAATTATGAAGAGAATATCAAACCAGATTATTTTTTCAATTAGTAGAATCCTAAGTCATGATATATCTTTTAAAAATTAAGGAATTAATTGAATATAATCCATAGTAATTTTTATATTGATATGCATATATACAGGGGGTTTAGTAACGAGGGCTAGAATATTGCCCGTGTACACTTTGTTGTGGGAAAAATGCTCGGGTTTGTTCTTCATGAGTTATACATGTAAGCGATAAATTTAATTTTTCGAAGGTGACTTCACGCAATGTCAACAAATGTCAACAAAGGATTATTTATTGTGTGACCTAACAAAAATTATTTTTTTAACTTTTGAATTTTAATATCTTTAAAAAGAAAAAGACTTTGGGGATATAATTTGACAAAAGTTGAAATAATTTATGGACAATTATTTTTCAAGAAGAAAAACGATACATATTTTTTAGCTATTAGAATCGGACCAAGCGATTTCCGATTTCGTGGAGAGATTATACGAAAGAATAAACAATACAGAGATTCTACAACAATGATTATACTACATTTAAACATAAGCTTCAGTTGAGCTATAACAAATGAAAAGTAGTCGTTTCAAAACTGCATTTCTTTTCAGAAAAAAATCCTTTCATTATTATGTACATATTTAAGCTGAAAAAAAGCAAAACCAGGTACAAGGTTTATGGTTTTTGTCAATAAGTAGTACTCTCATTTCCTTCTTCCACTTTTTTTAGATTCAGAAACCTTTCGTTGCACAGAGAGCTTTTAAAGTTCCATTATACGTCAGTTTAAATAAAATTCGTGTTTATTTGAAGAACATAATCTAGTACTACTTTCATACCCTTCTCTGGTAGACAATCGACAGAAACATCCTCTTGATGTCCACAGTTATGGTTGCCCCAGCCGATATGTACACATTCCTCAATATTTGTTTCATTTCCACTACATTGTACATCATCTAGCCAGATAGGACCAGTTCCTTGTCCATGACGTGCACAACAATAGCTCACAGATGTTTGCCTAAGGATTGCAAGTCATATATATAAAAAATTACTTCAGTTTCATAATCTAGATATCACCAATTTCACGGAATGAATTTCTACTTGAAAGTTTCACCAAAAATATTTATTGCAGACCTAACTGGGCAAAGATCTATGCCTAGTTTTATGTTTCAACACACACAAAATATATTATTCCATGATGAATAAAAATAAATTATTACGTTTATAATCATAAATTTCAATACGACTTTAATTTCAATTTATAAAATGTAAAATTGATTAAAAAAAATTTTTAATTAAATTTGCGTTTGAAAACATATCCCTGAACACTTGTTACATACCAGGGGAAACCTAAAGATCGGCATATTACTTTGGAGAAACTGTTATTCGATCCACCAGCATTAAATAAATGATAGTCATCACAAATTGTCCCCCATGCTCCACTGTAATACACCTCCACTCTGCCCTCATAAGGACTGCTCCCCCCAACAAGACGAACCCTCGTGCCTGAAAAGCAAATTTAAAAAATAGAAATCAAATATTTCTTTGAACATGAATATGATCTTACAAGTGTTTCACGAGCCACGACACTCTTGTCTTGTTAGGCCAGATTATGCTGTGGAAAAAATGTTTAAGACACAGCTCTTGAATATGAATACTTTTTTATCTTGACCTTCGATTAAGTAGAACTGATTTTTTTAAATGCCTTCTAACCACAGTATTTGGGTGAGAAAAAAAGTGCAAAGGAGAAAAAAAGTGAGTTTGGACAGACAAAGGGACAGACAGACTGATCAGTAAATGGCATCAACAAAGTTTGGCCAACATTACTCGACCTAAATATAACATTAAATAAGTAAAGATTCATTACTTATCATCGGTGTGGTGGTCTCTGTTGTGATCTGTGTCGTTGGTAATTGTGTACATATTGATGATGTACCTAGACAATGACAAAATAAAATGAGAAATGTTTTAATGTTTTCTATGATTTCGTCTAAAACCAGAACTCTCTGAAGAGAAATTAGCTCTACTAGTAGAGAAAAGTAACACTTTGGCTTGAAAGTACTGCAACTCCCGCAAATTAAATAATGATCTTAAGTCTATGTCTGAGTCAAGTTTAACTAGTAAAACACAGAAGGAGTAGCATGTTATAAATTTTCACATATTTTTTATTCATAGGAACGATGGCAACCCGTCAACAAAATAAGAAACACATAAAAAACAATGAAAAGTAATATATCTAAATGTTTTCTCTTTGTGAACTGTTATTCAGAAATCGCACTGAAACTGTTGAAGGAGTTGCTGTTTGGAAGAATTTCACCAAAATACGTTTGTTTGTTTTTTTCAAGATGGCAAACTAATGAATATAATGAGAAAAAATGAAACATAGAATCATTTATTTTTTGTTTGTTGTGCCAAATTATGTTGAAATCAGACCAAAACTGGTCTGGTAGTATTATTTGTCAAAAAAAACTGTTTACAGAGAAGCGGACAGAGAGAGTTAATCAGACGGACGGACGACAAATTATTTACTACTGCAATAGCTGTCATCGTCTCTGGTCGGGCGAGCCAAAAATGACAAGATATCAAACAGTATCAATTATGAAAAAAACAAAATTGGAAGCTAATAATAATTCTGTTGTTATTATCATATAAAAAAGTAATTAGAACTTTTGCACAAAAGTAAGAAATAGAAGTTAATATAACATGCAAGATAAAAATAAATTGTCCAAATCCCCCACTTGACCTACTGCCAGGATGTAATCTGAACTGAAGCGTATAGTTTAGGTGATTTCTTTTAATATCATACCCTCTCGTGGAAAACAGTTGACAGCCATGTCTTCGTAATGTCCACAGTTATGACTGCCCCAACCAAGATGTGAACATTCCTCAACAGATGATTCGTTTCCATTGCAGCGAACGTTATCCAACCATATAGGACCTGTTCCTACTCCACAGCGAGCACAACAAAAACTCACTGTAGATCGCCTAAAACATCAATCGGGCTATAAAACTAAAACATTTATGTACATGTATTCACTGTAAACCAGCTTTCGTTTGTGACAACTTTATTTCGCGATTTACTGGGGTTAAACTAGTTCGCAACGATTCATTTTCGCGATCAAGCCTTTTTTGATCTATTGTAAATAGGCACAGAAAATTTAAGGACTGGTTCGCAGACGAGAAATATTCGCAATGCCGAGGCTCTCGAGAACTTCGTGAAAATTCCTCGCGAATAAAAGTTGGTTTACAGTATATATATATATATATATATATATATATATATATATATATATATATATATATATATATATATATATATATATATGCGCTATTTCAAGCAAACAAAATAAGTACATGTATAGAACGTTGTTATGACAATAAACCAGTAAATTATCTTTGTGTAATCTCTGTTGTCGTACATTGAATATGTCAGGTTACATGTATTTATAATGGGGGGTGGGGTGTTGATACGTCCAGGGAGGGGGTCTGGGGGCCCCCTGAAGCTCCTCATGGGGTCGCCAAACCCTGCAGGGACCCAGGAGCCAAGCCCCAGAAGCTCCTGGGTTTTCATGTATTAAGTTAGTACTAAAACCAGGCACAAAAATATTGGTATACGTTAGATACGTACACTATGATATTTCACTTTTTAAAAGAAAATAAATTGAATAATTAAGTATGCGATTATTCATATCTGAGGAAATGCAAGGTTTTCATCAGATTTTTAAGAAAACTGATACTTGGACATTGAAAAAAAATACAATTCATTAATAAACCACAAATGATAAAACCAAAAATTTTGCATTATTAATATTAGTCATGCCATACTTTAAAAATTTTAAAGAGATGCGCCCCCTCCCTCCCCTTTAATCCGTCATATTGTTGTCGATAAATCGATATCTTAATGACAAGTTGAGGCCACTATTGATAAATATGAATAAGACTGAAACAAATTTTTTATATAAAGTGCCATAGATAGAAGGTAACGTTTTTCCAAAAGATAGCAAAAAGGTACAATTTTGATATTTTTAAAGAATCTTTATTTGTATGTGCCATAGTGCATCTACTTTTTTATTCTTCAAATCGACATTTATTCTGGCTTTCTAATGGCAAATCAAAGGCAGTGCAATTTCATCAATTAAAAATCTAATGCTGATACAGAACCTGTTCATAAAATGCAAAAATGGGAGGCACTTCCTTCTCATATTGAGGTGATACATATTATGTAAAAAATAAGCCAAGATAAGGACAGATCTTCACAAACATATGCTTCAGGGATGAAAATCTTTGTTATTCAATAGAGGAATAAAAGTAAATTATTCATTGTATTGATTTTTAGTTCTTACGAGGAATATCCCAAAGATCGGCATATCACTTTAGAAAAAGAGTTATTCCAATTCCCTTGACCACTGTTTTCCAAACCGTCATCACAAACTGTTCCCCATTCCCCGTTGTAGTAAACTTCAACTCTGCCCTCATAGGGAGTAGCTCCTCCAACAAGTCGAATGGTTTTGTCTAAAAAACGAATTTCGTATACTACATAAAGAAAAATTTGTTTATATAAACAAGAGCAATATTTTTTTTTATTTAGATAAGATCATTATCTTAATTCAGATCATGAAAACTATTTTAAAATTAAATATAATGCCCTGAAAAAAATAACATACTGGAAATTTCGGTAATAGAAGTTGTATCAGTATCCTTTGTTGTTATCATTATTGGTGTTGTTGTTGTTGTTGTTGCAGGAGGAGTTGTTGACTGCAATGTTGATTCCCTTGGGTTTGTTGTCAGTGTCGTAGAAAAAATTGTTGATGGATCTATAAATTCGTATTAGAGACTCTTTTTATAGGAAAGCATAATCGGTGTTCAGAAATTATAAATTTGAAAGAAAAAACTTTTTCCAACCATGCTTTTTAAATCTTTTGTTTTCACACAGAGCCCTTTCTTTAGAAATATTAAATGCATTTAGTTTAAAATGACCATAAAAATCAGCCCAACGAAAAAAGATATTTAAATATTCATTTAAACAATTGAAATAAAAATTTTCTTTGCCCTTTAGCCACGGCTTTAAAACTAAATGTGAATCCCATTTTATAAATAATTAAGTTTTTGAGAAGTGTTTGTTTTATGAAGTATTATATAGCAAACTGATTCTTGGCAATTTCAAGATATCAGTCAGACCCAATAGACCATATGGATAAAGAATCAAACCACAACTCAGGTGAACCAAAATCTAATTTTCATGTAAAGCCTTTACCTTAAATTTTAAAGGTTCATTCTCTATAAGGCCATTTTCCGGCCTGCGATAAAATTACTTTAAAATGTGATTTTATATAACTGTAATCATTTTAGTTCATGATTTTGATGTTTGTTTTTCAACATCGATCATCTAAGTCACGTGATTTAGAGATAAAAAAAATGGCTGTCAGTTAAAGAAAAATTGAGGGTACGTCTATTTAAATCAAGTTTCTATGCATGTTTCTGAATGTAAATAATCAAAAATTGTTTATTTATGTCGAAAATACATCAGACCTTAGTAATAAATTCGAAGATTTTTTTTAAATTTAAGGTTCAAGATATTTTTATGATAAGAATTCCGATGCATCCATATTTTGGATATTTTGAACGTTAATCTTTACGAAATTCACTCTGTATGGTGCTGAAAAAAGTTTGATTTGCAATTTATTGAAAAATATTATATCATATGTAATTATATTTTAATTGTATATCATTTCTATAGATATGCTACTTATTTTACGCATAAAATAACTATGTTAAAAATGGGGTTTCTAAGTTTCTGTTGAACTCTAAAAGCTATGTATCAAATGTTGAAAGCACTGAATGGATTTTGATTGCGATTAAATCGATAAAACTGAAGTAGTAATTCAGAAAAAATTCAACTATTGCAAAAAAAATAAATAAATAAAGAATTTACAGCATAAGAATATCAATGCAAGTACATGTTGACTATCCATACACATGTAAATAGTCAATTCATTTAAATCAGAGAGGTTGCATTCAAATATACATCTCTAAGTAAAATGAGATGGCGTCGTAAAATGGCTTTGCTTTTATTTAATTACTCGTGTTGCACGATATATTCAATTAAAAATGCAATCTAAACTTTATGTATTTACACGTATAAAAGTTGAGACCCCCCCCTCCCCATCCCCCTTATCTAACGGCACAACATAAAATGAAGCAGAATTTTAACAGTTCCTTCAACTATGCATATCAGATTCTGAAATTATTTGTATATACTAGTCTACGGAATTAAGAGTTCTACAACATCCCAGGTACAAATTGGACCCTAAGGGTTTGATGCTCCTTTCCCTCTCTTGAAACCTGTAGGTTAAATTCAGTCTCTTTCCCAGTGCAGCATCAAAAACTTGTTTAACACGGATAGTGACAGTTCCTTACCTAAGTCTTTAGCATTTAAAGTAAATGTCATCGGTCTTTTGGATATTATCTTTTTTTTTTTAAGAGAAAAGGTCCCGTCCCGCGTTGGGCGTTGGTTAGTAATGCAACTATGCATAAACACTTGACCTTAAATGGATGATTTATTTATCTGGTTGAAAAAATCCTAAAATGGGTTAAACAACATCCAACTATCAATCACATATTACATTTAGGAATCCTTCTCCTCTTTACCAGATTATTTTCTAAGACAGGACTACTGTTCTCGTAACTTATATCGAATGCTATCAAAGAAGTGTGATGAATAGGTTGAGTCCTCTCGATATCACGTCCTAGTTAACAAAATATGGATCACATGATACTCGTACGGAAGTGTCCATATAAAAAATTATGAGTGTACCCATAGGAAAGAGTCTATAACACAAATAATAAATGCATGTTACCGCTTCAATAAAGATTGCTTTCATCATTTCTAGAACATATAAAGTACTCATAAGGAAAAACAAAGAATATATGCAGTACTCGTAACAAAATTCAAGGAAGTAGCTTATATAGATTTACTAAACTATCATTATAAATATAAAAGATAACTCATATTCACACTATATACTAGTATTCTATAAAAAGTTTTTATTTCTTAATTTTTATCAGACATTTCAAAGAAACGTCTCCACTTGAAATTTCATGACATCTAGTCCTTACAGTCCTTTGATTTTTAGATTTTTAATGAAAAAGTTCACATTTTTTTTTAGTAAATATGCATGGCTGATATAAATCTTAGTAAATCAACAGAAAATTGTACTCTAACCAAAAGTTTATAAAAAGAAATAATCTACATAAGCTGATATCCTTCATTGTGAGTAGTTAGCTTTTTCTGCAAATATCGTAAAAATGAAGTGAAAAGTTTTTATTTAGATGTCATAACAACCTTTAACCAAATTCATAATTTGGTAGTCACTTTTTTATATTTATAAGAAATTTACATGCAAATTTTGGTGTTGGTTAAAGGTGGTTATGACGTGCGTAGGAGTTATCTAACACAGCCACCCTCTTGAGTTTTCCCATTACTCTAATGCTAATACAGACCGATAGTACCTTACTTTGTGACACTATGTCATTAAAAATACTAATGTATCTTTAACCAACCAATATTTATCATTAAATTGGAACATAAGCCTAGTGATTCATGCAATTTTTAAGGGAAAAAATACTAACTGAAAATTTGAAGTCATTATAGGCCGCAAAACGGCCTTATAGAGAATGATCCTTTGAGTTTTTGAGTTATAATGTTTGCGTTTAAGTATCTTTATTCCCTATAAGACTAAATGAACTATTCATATGTTAATTGCAAATATTCAAACCTTCTTTAGGTGAACATCTAATAGACACATCTTCTAAATGTTGACAATTATGGACCTTCCATCCTCTGTGTTTGCATTGTCCGATATCTGTCTCACTTCCCAAGCAATCCACATCGTCCAAAAGTATGGGACCCGTTCCTTCTCCAAACTTAGCACAACACATACTAACTGCATTTTTTCTAAATGAAAACACATAGAATTTAATACATTCAATAATATTGAATTAAAAGAACAAATCTTAATTAAAAAGTTCATCTTTCCCTAGACCAATCATTCTTTCTCTCTTTAGTGTAGCTCTTGATCCATTTACTCACGATGAAAATCCCAGTGACTGACAGACCACGGCAGTATCTTTCTCATCCCAGTAGTCATCACAGACAGTACCCCATTCTCCATTGTAATAAATCTCAAGTCTTCCTTCATATTGACTTGGCCCGCCAACAAGTCTTATAGGCTTATCTAATGTAAATATAAAACAAAGAAACATTGTACAGAAATATCACATAAAAACAAGACAAAATCAGATGAACAATTCCATACCATTTGATGAGCATACAACCGCTGCATCTTCATGGTTATCACAGTTATGATTTCCCCATCCTATGTGTTGGCAGTGGAAAATATCTTGTTCAGTCCCCAGGCATTCGACGTTATCCAGCCATATCTGAGGCCCTCCTTTGCCATATACTTCACAACACAGTCCTTTTGCATTATTTCTACAAAATATTTTAATACCAGTATTTATGAATAATGTGAATTCACTTTAAGCGAACAGATAAACAATTTTAAAATTCTTTTTCAATTTTAGATAGAATTTAAAATGATCACAAATATTTTTATCTCTTGAAATAATACGGGAAAACCTAAAAATTAAGAAGCATTTTAATTTTTAATATCTCTCTAATATGATTATATCATATCATTGACATTTATCTTTTTGTAACATTGTGTAACCTGGAGTATCCCAGCATTCCACAAACAACCGCCGCGTCTTTGTCATCCCAGTGATCGTCACACACGGTTCCCCAGACTCCATCATTGAAGATCTCCACGCGCCCTTCATACGGAGTACTCCCATCCATTAGTCTCACCAAATTCCCTTCAAAAGCAAAAAAAAATTCTGTTCTTTACCAGATTTCTTTAAAGCCTTCATAATTTAGACATTTTGAAATATACACTACCCCATGATAAATTGTCCTTTTTTGGTCCAGTGGTTCCTGATTTTCAAAGATTTTTCCTATATATTTCTATGTAAAACTCTCATTCAGGCCCCGCCCTTCCCCCGGGGGTCATGATTCCTACAATTTAGAATTTACACTACCCCAGAATGCTTCCACATAAGCTTCACTTTTTCTGGCCGAGTGGTTCTTGAGAAGAAGATTTTCAAAGATTTTTCCTATATATTTCTATATTAAACTTTGATTTCCATTGTGGCCCCGCCCTTCCCCCTGGTGTCATGATTCCTACAATTTAGAATCTACATTATACCAGGATGCTTCCACATAAGTTTCAGCTTTTCTGGCCCAGTGGTTCTTGAGAAGAAGATTTTCAAAGATTTTTCCTATATATTTCTATGTAAAACTTTGATACCCTATTGTGGCCCCGCCCTTCCCCCGGGGGTCATGATTTGAACAATTTAGAATCTACACTATACCAGGATGCTTCCACATAAGTTTCATTTTCTGGCCCAGTGGTTCCTGAGAAGAAGATTTTCAAAGATTTTTCCTATATATTTCTATGTAAAACTCTGATTCCCTATAATGGCCCCGCCCTTCCCCCGGGGGTCATGATTCCTACAATTTAGAATTTACACTACCCCAGAATGCTTCCACATAAGCTTCACTTTTTCTGGCCCAGGGGTTCTTGAGAATAAGATTTTCAAAGATTTTTCCTATATATTTCTATATAAAACTTTTGATTCCCCATTGTGGCCCCGCCCTTCCCCCGGGGGTCATTATTTGAACAATTTAGAATCTACATTATTCCAGGATGCTTCCACATAAGTTTCAGCTTTACTGGCCCAGTGGTTCTGGAGAAGAAGATTTTCAAAGATTTTTCCTATATATTTCTATGTAAAACTTTGATTCCCCATTGTGGCCCCGCCCTTCCCCCGGGGGTCATGATGTGAACAATTTAGAATCTACACTATACCAGGATGCTTCCACATAAGTTTCAGCTTTTCTGGCCCAGTGGTTCTTGAGAAGAAGATTTTCAAAGATTTTTCCTATATATTTCTATATAATACTTTGATTCCCCATTGTGGCCCCGCCCTTCCCCCGGGGGTCATGATTTGAACAATTTAGAATCTACACTACCCCAGGATGCTTCCACATACGTTTCAGCTTTACTGGCCCAGTGGTTCTTGAGAAGAAGATTTTTTAATGACCCAACCCTATTTTTGTCTTTTCTTGATTATCTCCCCTTGCGAGGGGATATGTCCCTCCATTTTAACAATTTAAATTCCCCTTCACCCAAGAATGCTTTGTACGAAGTTTGGTCAAAATTGGCCCAGTGGTTCTTGAGAAGAAGTCGAGAATGTGAAAAGTTTACAGACGGACAGACAGACGGACAGACGGACGGACGGACGGACGACGGACAAAATGTGATCAGAAAAGCTCACTTGAGCCTTCGGCTCAGGTGAGCTAAAAAACTTAAAAGCCAATCAGGAAGATTTCGTCTATAAATTTCCATATAAATAGTTTCAGTTTTAAAGAAACCAAGAGTCTCTCTGTTGTAACACTTTATACCATCATTGTCAATACAAATTTCTATTAAATTTATTTCTTTCAGGCATAATTTTTTTATTACTTTAAGTACACTAACTGTAGAATTTTAAGTTCTGTTGAATGTGCTTACTTTCCGTGCAGTTTTCCCCATAAAATCCCGGATAACATTGACATTTGTAGGAATCTATTCCGTCTAAACAAGATGCATTGTTCTTACAAGGACCAGTTTCACATTCGTCGATATCTGAAAGTAAGCCTTCGTTAGGAAAATAGTTTAAAGGAAGAATAATATATATGTTTTGTTCAGTAAAGGATGGGTTTTGCTCGTATTTATTATTTTAAAAATGATAAAAATTATATTGTTTCACAATCACGTAGGTAATATCATTAATCGATATTTTCGATACCTGCATTGCGTATAAAATTGACCATCTTATTTAGTATATTGTAAGCCGGGCAAATGTAATTGTTTTTCCTTGATAATTTTTCAATCGATTTATGATATCCCCTTTTTAAAACTTCATATGTTCAACGTTTTGCTAGAAAGATCTATTATATAAAGTCTTTCTCAATGAAACTGAAATAAGTTGCTAAAATGACCATACGTAAACAAGTTCGAATTAAATTTAATTTTTAATTTTTTAAAGAAGTACAGTATTACATTTATTCTTTCTTAGCCTTTTAATTAAGTTTGAGGAATTATTCTGGTCAAAGTCGGGGAGGTTTTTTCTTTGTGAAACGGGCCCTAGGGCTTTTATTGTTTAAATCTTAACTTCATTAACTGACTATTAAATTCATTATTATTTTTTTCTGTAGTATATTGTCGCCCGTGTGACGCAGTGGTTAGAGCGTCTGCTCTAGAGTCGCGAAGTAAGGAGTTAATCCTTACGTCGCGAGTTTGAATCCCACTGTGGGACGTGGAGACCGGTACTTCGGATGAGACCGTATAAACCGAAGTCCTGTGTCGCAATAGGTGCTGGCATGAAGAAGATCCCTCCCTGCTCAATGGCCTTGAGTGCCGAGTATAGGACAAAATTTGCAGCTATCCACCGGCAAGTGGTGGCGTCTCCATATGAGTGAAAAAATTTCGAAAGGGACGTTAAACAATATACAATCAATCAATCTGTAGTATATTTGAAAACGCAAACACACATCAAAGCACAAAAGAGAGAAAGAGAGAGAGAAAGAGAGAAAGAGATTAATGAGATAATTAATGAAGAATAAGAACAAACCAGTAGAACAGTTCACGCCTGTGAACCCTCTCGGACAATTACAGCTGTACCCGCTCACTTCGTCAGAACATGTGGCATTGTTTTCACAGGGATGGTCTCGACATCTTATGTAACCTTAAATTGTGAAGTTGCTTCGAAATGTTTAATTATTTAAATAAATTTCTTAAATGTATAGAATTTATCTTCAACATTGAGTTCGCTTAAAAAAAATTTGAATGAAAAATACATTGCAAAATTACATATGTACATGTACATTCACTGCAAGGTATATAATTATAAACGCACGTTCGCTGCAAATGGATCCATAGTGATCAGGATCACAAAGACAGGAGAAAGAATCAATTCTGTCAACACAAGTTCCACCATTTTGACAAGGGTTCGAGACACATTCGTCAGTGTCTAAAATATGTAAATAATTTTATAAAAATGACTTTTTTGTTAATTGTTACAAAAGTGATCAAATTTTGTTATAAAAGTGATCAAGTTTTGTTATATAAAGTTTTAAAGGAGGTACTTGATGGTTAAGTTCTACTTACTAGTGGAACAATTCACTCCTGTATATCCACTAGGGCAGTAACACATGTATCCACCTACTACGTCAGAACAGGTGGCGCTGTTTTCACAGGGATTGTCACCACATCTTATATAACCTAACATTGCAACTTTTTTTTTAGAAATTTTATTTTGTGTTGAATTTAAAATTTGAAAAAAATTCATTATGAGACCACCTTCGGCAGTCCATGGATCATAAAATTACTATTGTTATATGCTCATTGCAAAAGTGTTTTAACGTACGTTCACCACAAAGTGGTCCATAGTGATCAGAATCACAAAGACATGAGAAAGAATTGACGCCGTCAATACAGGTACCGCCATTCCAACAAGGGTTGGACGAACATTCATCAATATCTAAAAGAAGGCAATTTATTTTAAAATATTTCATAAATTAGAAACACATTGATTCATTCGTTGAGTATCCTATTACATTGTAATAAAGATTGAATATTTTGATTTTTTCAAATTCATACATTTTTATATATATGAAGATAATCAAAAAGTCCATGGACTCGTTCGATAAAACTTATACTAAATGTATAAAGACAATGCTTACAAAACAGTTTAATTGATATATTTTACGTTTTTGAGATTAGATTAAAAATAACTGTAAAAAACACTTGATTATGCCTGTTTTCTTGAACAACAGAATGCCCTGTGACTTGGAACATTATATCCTTGTCTTACTTGTGGTACAGTTTTTATCTGTGAATCCCGGGTAACATTGACAGGAGTAATCACCAACCAGATCAGTACATTGGTAGCTGTTGCTACAAGGATTGTCACTGCAGCGAACGTAATCTAAGTGGAAATTTAAAATATTGTAGAAAATAGTACTTCAATTGTATTGTCTCTTGGAATATTACATTTATATCTCAATTTGTGGTTATCGAATGAAAAAACATTCTTTCAAAGCATCAATGGAAACACTTACATATTGAGAAAGTCCAAAACGTAGTGCTTTGAATAGCCGGAGATTTTACACTGCAACCGAGTTCTCTATTGGCTACGCCTTAAGTGTAAAAAGTAAAGTACACTTTAAAATTAATGACTTTTAAAGGAAGAACAAACAGGATTTTTTTTAAATTGATTTTTCCATGTCAATTCTGCTTATATATAATAACACAATCTATTCATTTTTTTTTATTCCATACAATTATAACTATTTCTATGACTACTCTCTTGATTAAACAGAAACAAAGTTTTTGATTTCAATTTCGCAGTAGGAGAGCTCCATTGGAACTTTAAACAACCCTTTGGCAGACATGCCCTAAGAATACTCAGTAATCTGATGCTACAAGGTGCATTCAAACAACTCAATTTATATTTTATTCGTACATACCATTGAATTTGTGCACACATACCTTCGTCAAACTGTATATAATAGGAACGTCCTCTTTGGTAGGTGTAGTTAGTGGAGAATGACAACTGTCTTCCGCTGGTGGATTGTGGGTAAACAACAGCTGAAGATGTGACGTCAACCCGTTCCACTAGTAATCCACTGGATTCGTAGATTCTGATGAATGTGGATGTTGAAGGGCGCACAAACTACAAATACTCACATGTTGAAATTCCTCTTTTCCACTTAAACTAATCCACTTAAAAACTAATTGAATTGTCAGGAAACAGCCATTGAATCTCACATTGACAGTCTTGTGAAAGATATTTCTGTGACCATGCAATACACAGTTAGTTAGGAAAACTGACCGATCACTGAACAACAGGTTGTGGGTTTTTATTATTTTTTTGGTAAGTTGTCTTTCAGTTAACAATATAAAACTCTGTATCGTTTTCCTTACTTTAAACATATCCATTCCTTATTGATCAAACTGTACTTCACTACATTAAATGCTCAATTAATAACTTCGGTTACTTGAAGCTTAATCGGTAACTTTCAAGCCAAAATATGTAAATTTTATTGACTCACGTAATTCGAATATCTCAAAGACCACTGGTGGTTATCGCCATATACTGATCCTGAAGGTGTCTGACTGCCCAGGACAATCGAGGGCAATGTACTGGAACCTAAGAAGTCATACATTGAGAAAATAAATATTTGAAATCTTCGTTGTTTTAACATTATTGTTAAATATATTTTGACCTCACACTTTACTTAGTATACTTACCAACAGCATTCAAAGTAATGCATCGTGATTCCGTTGTTAAACTAAATTGAAAAAAAAATGAAAATTTAAAAAGGAAAAAGTTATATACAACTGTTTTAGTGTAGATGCTTTGAAAGGAGAGAAAACTACTTCATGTTAAAGGGTATACAAAAAGTCATCTAGACATACTGTTAATATGTTGAAAAAGGAGTATACATGTATTAGACATTTTGTAGTAAGATTTTTTTCCCTCGAGGTTGACAGAATGTTTTAGCATTCACCCCAAGTTATCCTCAGCTGTGAAGCAGATGATGTAGGACCCTTGTTGACTGCTAGTAGGTGTCCACCTCAGTGTAATGTAGTAATCCGTCTGGGAGATGGCTTGGATGCTGGACTTGGTAACACCAACTGGGGACTGCGTAGCCACTTCTTGGATGCTTGATAATTGAATATTTAGTAAATTTTACTGAAGATTGTTTTCATATTATTAATGCAATACTAAGTGTGAAATATTCATAAATATTTAAGAGTTTCCCTTGCTTTCATTTCCTATTTTAGGCCTTGACTCTAGTCTGTGAAGTACAAACTTACTACTGGCTACTGGTTCCAGTCCTGATTCGAATTTCTACACTAAAAGTCACGCCCTGAACTGACTCGTAGCACCTTCCATCAGGTGGCGTTGGTGAAATAAAAGTTGGTGCCGAGGCACATGCACTTGAAGAATCAAAGACTTCAACCAGGAATTGAAGGGGAATGCTACTTAGTGGAATAGATGATGAAGGTGAAGCGAAGTCTTCGATCTGAATAGCCACGCCATAATAACCAGCTGAATTCGACACTGAGGAATAATTTAATGTACAGGTTGCCTAAAAATAAATATATTTATTGTCAAGTGTAGGGCAGTACCGAAAATTTCCAAGAAAAAAATTAATATTTACTTCTTAGACTTAAGAAAATAAAAGAAAATTAAAAGCAAAATTATTCATTATGTATTGTAAACTATATTTTTTTCCTACAAATTTTGGTGCCTCTTTATGATAATGCTTGGAATTTATTTCGTGGATGATGATACTCTTGTTCAAAGCTGTATTCAATTATACCTTTCCAACAATAACATGAAGCTCAAGATTCACATGATTTCAAATTTTAGTCATTTCAATAAAGCCAGTCATTCATCACTGTTGAGTAAATTCCATTGTTGGATAACAAATCATAACATATAAGCCGTTTATTCAGTAATGCAAATTTAACGAACTAGCTGGGGGAAGTTTTTCGGTCTGGTAAGGTATTTTATGAGACAGCTCGTATAGTAGGTAGAGAGAGAAAGGTTTCGGACCAGCGTCCTTCAAAGACGCAGCAAAAAATGAGCGACTTGTGACTGTTAAATGCGGAAAGAATGTCTTAAAAGTCAAGGAGATAATTGAAAGTGATGGCAGATACACGATTTGTTATATTCTCAAAGCTGTTGGTATATAGCTTTCGTGGTTGCATTTCATTTTGAAATGCATTTAGAAAAAAAAAACGAAAGATGTCTGCCAAATGGATACCGCATATATATGTTGCAAGATGACCAGAAAAGAATACGGTACGAGTACAAACCACTAAGCAACTGCTCAAAATGTTTCCTACATCATAGGTGTCGGAACCGGGGGGGGGGGGGGGGGTAGGGACGGCTTAGCCCCCTTCATTTTGCAAATATATACATGTACATTATATAGGCACTGAAAATTGGGGTTTACTGGTGACATTGTTACGGGTTCATTATTTCATATCAGTAAAAAAATAGAAATCACAAAATCAAAGTATCATATTTAGAATGCCGTTTCCTAATAAAGATAACTGTGGAATCATGTTCATGGAAGCTAATTTTCGTGAATTGCTAAAATTCTAGTCTTGTGGGGACCTTATTATGTGAATTCTCTTATACATTCAAAAGGAAAAAAAGACTTTATAACCCTATTATTTTAATTTGTTGAGGATAATAATTCATGGATGAGGTACCCACGAATTCCGAGAAGACTGGGCCTCTCCTTAATCTACTGATTACCCAATATAATGTCTACGCTGTTAAATACCTCATTTAAAACAGCACCCGGAAAAGAATTACAGATTCCGCTACACTCATCATCTGGTGAATTTCGTCCCCATCTACATCTCACTGTGTCTCCGTCATCATCAGCAACTTAAGATAAAGAATTTAATTATCTAACAATTGACGCAATTCAAGATATTTCTTAAATAAAGTGACGTTACTGTAGTAACTGTAGATCTACTAAAAAACTTATCAAGATGAATATTCTTCTAAATGGATTAAGCGATTAAATACAATTTCAAGTCATGAAGAGCATAAGTAAAACTGTTTAGGTACTAGTATATATGAATTATAATCAATTTCTAATTCAAGACTGATGGTCACAATTACATACTTTGTTGCTTTTTGTTGATATATGGCATGCAGCGACAATGATACATATTTGAATTGGTTTAAAAGAATTTTACATTTCTTAATTCACATTTTGATCAATACGTTAATTTCAGAATTTAATTTTTATTTCAAATTGCTCATTAATTCGTTACTGTGGATTTATCCAGTTGATATGACTCCATGTAATATTACCTTCCCACCATTAAAATGATCGTTTAAAGTTTATTAAAACGCGGTTTTGGCATACCTGGTATTTTAATACTATGACTGCAACCACGTTGAAGACGTACGATAGGTTGCATGGCTGTTACTGGAGATGTATTGATACCACCTATGTCTTGTCGGTATGTAAGGTCTACACGTGTTGCTATCCTCCAGTTGGAGTTGGAGTTCAACACCAGTGAGCTTATCCAACAACACGAATCGTACCTAAAAATAAATGAAATTCTCCCAAAATTTGTTATACATTTTTTTTTTGCTGTCAGCCCCCATCAGCACTCTTAACTCCGGGAAAGGTAACTCAAATGTGGAAAAATGGGAAAGCAAAATATATTCAATTTTAATATTCGAAGACTTTAAACGATAAACAAACTTGGTTTGAAAAACGTTAACCTACCGACGATCCCTTTAAATACTATTAATTCCCCTGATTTCCTTGTCATTATTTATAATACCTGTAGTACAAATGTACTTTTTTGCATCTTTCTTTTCATAAACTACATTGTATCTTTTTTTCAAACCTATGAACTTAACAATGTCTGAATATCGCCATTACCCAATGAAATAGGATGTCGATGAAGATGGTAGAGAAACATCGAATTCCCCTTCGTATGTTGCCCAATCTTCAGAGGTACTGAAATCTGTACAGACAGACAAGAGGGAAGGAGTATTCCATGTAAAACCGCTACATCCACTAAAACAGCTGACAGTACCGAAAGTCCTATTTGTTCCACTATCCTTATAATCATCATCACAAACGGGAGAATAAAATGTGTTCCTCCATGACATTCTGTGTTTGACTCGGACCTAAATAAAAAAAGAATGAGTTTCTGTACAGTTTTTTTTTTACATTTCATTCAGATTTCATTTGATATGTTGTTTGTTCCCTACAAGTGAAACCGAAGGGGACTATAGGTTTCCTCTTCGTCGTCGGTCTGTCTGCTTGTTTCTCCTCTTGTCTGTCAATCTTTCAGACTTGGTTTTCCGTATTTTTTTTTGTATGCTTCCAAACATTAAACTAATTTTGGCAATGGGAATGTTCCTTTTGATGAACAACAATTTTGACCTTGGAGTTTGAGTTAAATTTTGAGAAGCTTTAACCTTTGCCATAGCTTTAAAACATTTGTGCTAAGGCTTTTATATTTCAATAGTCTTATTCATTTCTTAAAAAAGGTCTTTCCCTGGGTTCCATTAATGTTAAGCCTTTGACCTTGATCTTACAGTTTGATTTAGTTTTAAAAACTTGATCTTGGTCACAGTTTTAAAAAGGTTAGTACCTGGGCTTTCATATTTCAAATATATATTCATTGATAAGTCCTTTCTTTGGGTAACAAAATTGTTGATCTCTTGACAATGGAGTAAGACTTGAATGTGAGAAAATTCAACTTCGCCAAAAGCTGCCACACAGGGCAGCATCAGTTTTTTCAACAGACACATCCTGTTTTCTTCTTGATATGGGACTCCCGACCAGGCCTTGGGTAATGTGTAATGGTAAACCATTGTAATCTGATCCACCTTTCTATCTTATTTTTAACCTGATTATTTTACACTAATTCTTCGTGCTTACGAAAAAGAATTAGAATTTCGCCCAATTATTAGCAGACCTATATTGATTCATATGACGCAGCATTGTAGAAATTGTTCAAAATCTTATTCGCGAAAAGAAGACAGCACTTGCTTTGAACTTCAACTCGACATTTAGATATATCAACATCGTGTTGTCAATTAACAATGGTTATATCCATACTTATGTTGATACGTATACGATAGGTATATCCTGGTGAGCTTGAATTTAAAAAAAATACCTCAGAATTTCATATCTGGATATTTTACTATAAAAAGATGTTAATGGTAATCTGACAACAAACTTTTATTATAACCGTAATGACTTTAATTTTTCAATTGTCAATTTCCTTTACATATGAAGCAGTATACTTTTTAAATTATCACTTGCAATTGGGGTTTATATCTCGATGAGATACGTTATCACATGCTCTACGTATGACGAATTTCTAAAACGAGTTAATATACTAAAGTTAGTAACAAACAAGTTGTTGAGACAAAAATATCAGCAGTTTAAAGTTATCGTACCGTAAGTTCTATGGTCGATATAATGACTTTGTCAGCATATATTATCTATCAAAAATTCAAATGCTGATGGACGTTAGTCAGACAAATTGTTAGGCCATTATTCAAACACTGAATTCTTATCGGATTTTTCTGTTATTTTCAGATCATTACAAGAAGCACACTGTGAGTTTGACCGGATGCATAGGCGACGGAACCGGAGGTGGGGCGAACTCCCCCTCCACCCCATCCCACCCCGGTCCACTTTTTTTTCAAAGGTAGACATAATATAAGCATTTAAAATTTGGGCTTCCTTTTTTTCGTTGGTTTAGCCCCCTCCCCCACTTTCAATTAACAACCCACTTACAATTTGCTTCCGACGTCTATGGTATGACAGGGGATGCACACCCCTCCGTGGCACCTGATCCCCTCTAATGTTTAAGAAATACGTGTTTGTTTTACTCCAAGATTTGTTTTAGTTAATTGACTTTAGTGCTTGAATATTGTTCTCTTTTCATTTCAGGATGTTTATTTCTCAATGTTTATTGTATTTAATAGACATAAATATATTTCTTTGAGAAAGAAGCACACCAACGCACAAGCAAAAACTATTACTGTACATTAAAATTCTTTTTTAATAACAAATGTAAGGAAAAGTTGAAAATTTTGAATAAAGTCCATTCCTAATTTATTGATCTCTTTATTTATTTAGGTAGACAAATGAAATTTTCTTCTTGTTTTGGTCAGCTTTTGTGTGCATACAGCAATACAAGGGACCATCTTGTGTACAGTAAATGAAGCATTCCTAATGCGACAATTTGTTGAATATTTTTCATACTTGAGTTACCTGTTCTAAAAAAAACAACAATGAAAAAATCAATATTTTTAAAAATATTAGTTCAGTACATGTTTGTTTAATTTATACCTTATTTTGAGAATTTCACGCCCTATAAATCTATCTATGGAATCTTGTAAACCATACCTGTAACTATGTGCAATTACTTGTAAAGCCTATTTATTTTCTGTCAAGTGGCTAAATTTTCTTTTAAAATGAACTCCTCTTTCACTTATTTAAATTGTGTAATAGAATGGCATCTTAGTATTCGGGTTTTACTCTTTTGAAAAATAATGGACCGCTGAACATAATACCGAGAAAAAAAATCTAGATCGAGCGGTGAATGGAACGAGGAAGTTAAATCTAAACAGTCAATACAAATCTTGTTAAATATTTCATGCGCAGACCAAATGTCTCAAATTCCAGAAGATTATGCAATACTTATATTTCATATGGCACTGCTCGCTTTGTGTCACTTTTGCGTCACAACAGTTGTTTGCTCTCTTTTTTAATATTTCAAACAAGTTCTTTTATTTAAAAATCAAATTGCATTTGGATATAGCTTTGTCTTACTTTGTTTTTGTTCAAAGAGAGTAACGCTTTGTCATACATGCAATAACATACTTGTTTCGTTGCAATGGGAATTCAAGGACAAGAATTATGCATATAAAGTTTTCATTTTGGAAAACTCATACAAGCAAAGATTTGAATCTTTCCAAATTAATATACTTTTTTGAAGATATCAATATAAAACTAAAACCATTAGCTCTATCATAAAAACCAACAGTTAACAATAAATGAAATTTTTAAAACTATAAACATTGATCAGCATTCATTGCAACAACACCAAGAAGAAAGAAATTTAGATTTGTTTAAAAGGAAGTTTATTTAGTAAAAGATTTGGAAGAGTTGAAATAGATAACAACAGTTTGTTCATCTATACATTTCGTAGGTCTTTGAACCTGGAAAATAATTATTGTCCTTTTATTTTTATGCGCCCGGATCGATAGATCGGGGGCATATATTATATTTGTCCTGTCTGTCTGTTTGTATGTCTGTTGTCAACTTTAACCTTCAACATAACTTTTGAACCATGAAATATAGAGACTTCATATTTGGTATGCTTACTTGACTAGTAAAGTTCCTTTAAAGGACGCCAAGGTCAATGACCTTGTGACCTTGACTGAGACCCATATGCTAAAAATAGCTTTTTGAATCTTCGCAATAAGAGATAGATATTCCATGTTTGGTATACATACTCCACTAATGAAGTTCTTTCAAATAACACCAAGGTCAACTTTGTTGCCTCCGAGTGCATAGTTTTTCACAAACACATCTTATATATTATGAAAAGACTTTACTTGTACGAGGGTCATTCCAAAAATACGTAGAGACAATGTTCGTATAAAAGAATTTTTTATCAAATCTCAAATTTATTTTAAAAAATCGTTTATTAATTAAATTAATATGCAAAAACAGAGGGTAAAGATAATAAAAAAAGTGATCGAGGTGGGATCAGGTGCCTTTAAGAAGTCAGTATCCGGTCACATCGCTGTTAGTCTTCTGTATGTATGACATAGGCGGGACAAATTTAGTATAAAACCAATTGTTTAATAGTTATTTGTATAAAACACGCCACCCCAAAAAGTAATTAAAAATTGCTTACACTGCCAATAAACTGACTTTATCTAAAATCCCTGTAACATAATGAGAACCCTGCCTGGGTTTAAAAAAAATTACTCTTTGAGCTCCTGGGTATCGAATAAATAAAATTTGCAGGGGATGGGAAGGAGAAATTCTACTGTGCAAAATTAAGAAACTTGACGATGATTAAAAACAAAATCACCCCGTTCGTCATTCAATTTTGTTGTCAATTTTGTTGATTATCGCTAAAGCATCCAAATATAAAACAGACACTGTGGTGACTTTTATTTCAAGTTCACTGGGATATTCACTTAAATATCTTCAGCGACAATCAATAAAACCGTCTGAAATGATTCTGATAAATTTTCAATGGAGGGTATCCTAACTTTAATTATGCAAAATCAGCACAAAAATTTTGCCATTTGTTTCTTTAGAACTTTTCCTTTTCTTTTGCGATTTTATCTTTTTTATTCAATTTTTGCAACCTTATTTACACTTTGAAAAAACTTTGAAAAACACGTTTAAAAGGTGTTGTTTCCTAAACAACTTTAGAAAAGACTGTTTACTTAGAAAACCTCTTTGATTTCTTTAATTTTTCTTTTATAATTATTCAATTGAACAGCTCTTATAAAATATTGTTCCTATAGGACTAAAAATTTTAAAAACACAACCATTATAATTAAACATCCCTTAGAAACCTGAAAAAAGATAGTGCCGGTAGATCTCTCGTCAAATGAAAGTCACTAGCTATAGTTACCTCATTTCCAGAAATATGCCGCCATGTAAAAATACCTCCGCGGAAGTGAGACCCTTTCACTACCACAAAAAAGATAGATAAAATCAGGATAGGCTTCATCCCAGCCTGAATTATTGTACAGCATACATTCAGCATAAACTGCACATTGCAACTCGTCGTGCAGTTTGAGTTTTCTGAAAATAGTGGTTCGAAGAGGGTATTTAAATGCAGGTTTAAAGTAGAAGATATGTTTCGAAGAATACGTGCACCAGTAAATCATTTATATCTCGATTGATTTTAATATCCTAATCAGAATTTTAATTTAAAAAAGATATTTGAACCTCGATTGTATGAAGTTATTATTCATTGAGGTAGCACATTGTTTTGAATTAAAATTTGAAGACTGATCAATCGATTGAGATAAGAGTTCCATGACAGTAATTTAATTGTACAGATTCATCGCACCTTCCCCTTTAATAGAAATAAAACAAAAGAGTCTAGGTTAAGGGAATAATTGCAATGCTAATGGTAATTTACAATGTGTCATTATAATATAGTGAAAAGATTAAGTTTGTCTGTTGATAAACTTCCCTATTGAGAATTTTTCACTCATATGAAGACAACACTTGCCGGTGGAGGGCTGCAAATTTTGACCTATGCTCGGCACTCAGGGCCATAGAGCAGTGGGGGGGGGTCATTATATTGCTTTCATTCACTGCGACACGGGACCTCGGTCGGTATCATCCGAACGACTACTCTCCATGTCATGGAATGGGATTCGAAAACGCGACGTAAGGGTCAACTCCTTGCATGTGTATTGCGTCTCAAATATACTAACCAGTACGTCACGCGACCGACTAATGTCATTTTAGAGAGAAATAGAGAAAGAAACTTGAGAAGAAAAACATATATATTTTCATGGTGGCTGTGTTAATTAACACACTTATTCACTGCTTAATCCTGCAGTTCTTTAAGTAAAAGATCAATCACATTTAGCTAGTTTTGTGTTTCTTTCTTTTAGCTGAATTATAAAGTATGTTCCAAATTTAAGTAACATTATTTCTAGTATTTTATATGTTAAAAACTTGTAAGACTGATAATTTTATTTTAAAAAGGAAGGAATTGTAGGATCCATTGAAAAAATAGTTATCAGGCCAACATGCTACTCTACCTATTATTTCTCAGGAAATTTTTGGAAAGTCCTGCTTTGCTATAATTTTCGAACCTTTAATGTGATTCAACAACAACCTTCTAAACTTGGAACACATGTGATAAGCTTGAATAAAAAAGATGCATCTGTTTTGCAGAAAATAAGAAGTGGTCACTAAACATACATCTTCACCAATCCAGAGAACATTATTGGGAAGAAAAATATATATGGCATTTTAGTTTACCAGGTGCATTCATCAAAACAAACATCATTGTTGTTGATGAAGCACATTGTGCCCTTGACCGGGGAGAGGAATACAAGCCAACTTTACAACGTATCAAAGATATGAGACCAATCATACCCCATACTCCATGCAAAGATGCTAGCACTTATTGCTACCCTAACCGTCAATGGCCAGAAATATGCTTCTAAACTCTTATTGACGAAAAGTTACAAAGCCATTTCATCTTTGCAAACAAAGAAATTAAGAAAAATATATCCTTAGTGATTGTAAGGAGAACATCCCTCAGCAGTGCAGTTTCTTGTAAAGAAACATACAATTTTGTACTTCAACCTGTTTTACAGGATCTAAAGCTTTAAGTCCAATAGACAAAGTTTTCTTCTAATAATTCTTTACCTAGGTGGAAGTATGCTTTGGGTAGGGTACGCATATGCGAATATGCAAAGAAACTCCTGGTGAAAACATATACTAGTATGAAGTCAGCCACACATACTTGAAAATTGTCCAGTGGCAATGTACCATTCCTCTGTAGGAAATGATGATGAGGTCAGTTAACATTAAATTCATATATAAATATATTTATATCTATAGTGAAAATATAATAATTTTAAAAAATTTCTTATAAAGAAATTTCTATATAAGGAACCCACTCTGCGGGCGCCGTATAGTGATCAGTCTGTCCGTCCGTCCTTTCGTCCGTCTGAGATCTCTACCCGGGAGCACATCTTTTCTCTCCTTGGCCCAATTCAATGTGGCTCATGCTTCACCCACACAGTGCCTATGGGTACAGGGTGTGCAGTGACCTTGAACCATGTTTTTAGGTCTAAGGTCAAGGTCATGGTAGAATAATTTGAAAAATCCTTGTCAGGAGCATCATCTTCTCTACCCTTAGTCCTAAAAATCTTTCTTTGGTGGATAATTTCATTCCCTCAAGTCTAGTCAGCCTCAAACTTCACAAATTGACTTGGAGTATGAAACATTTGAAATTTACCTTACATATTTTGATTGTATGATGTTTAACGTCTCTCTCGAGAATTTTTCACCCATATGGAGAGGCAAACGATTGCCGGTGGAGAGCTGAAAATTTTGTCCACTCGGGACCATTGAGCAGTTAAGGACCGTTTTCGTGCCAGCGCCTACTGCGACACCGGACCTCAGTTTATGTGGTCTTATCCGAAGACTGGTCTCCACGTCCCAAAGTGGGATTCGAACCCGCGACATAAGGATAAACTCCTTGCTTCACGACTCTAGAGCAGGCGCTCTAACCCCTGTGCCACGCGGACGACTTTTATGATTCAGGATATGCAAAATTTTCATGGAAGATATGAAACATTCGTGATTTTTGTAGAGGATTTGGAGCACTCGTTATTTCCGTGCTTTTTTTCATGGTTGATTTCATCATACAAATACTTTTCTTTTTTATTTATTTTTTCAGACAGAGTTACTTTTTGTGCCCTCTATACTTAAATCAACACATCCTTCAATAGTACACAAATGTTCCTCTCCAAAATAAAGCTGTTTCAGCTACCTTGCATATAAAATGCTAGGAAAAAAATTGTTGTCGTGATGTATATTGACGTGTGTCATTTTTTTCTTCTTCAATACAGTTATATAATAAAAATACAAAATATACTTTAAATAGGCTTCACTGTATATATAGGACTAATATCTCGCAATCATACCTCCTTGATAGATTATAATTTCATATTGCAATTAACTATAGTATCATGTCATTGTTATCTAGCTGCAGAATTGTAGTTCTCTGCTTTAGAAAATTTGTCAGAAAAAGCAGTTACAGATCTAAGCATTGTCAAAACCTATTGTAATTGTTAATTTTAGAAAGTGTTTTTTATGTAACAGTATCTTGGTTAACAGAAAAAGTCTTTCTTTTAAACATTAAAATATATGTATGTTTATTCTTCCTTCGTTTTGCAACTTCCATATGGAAATTGCCTGTAAAAGGTGATAAAGAAATGCAACGATGAACTGCTAAAGAATAATACGGCCTGATAAGTGTGTGTCTGTTTACTATTTAATATTAACATTTCCAATGTCTTTGTCCGAGATAAAGTTACAAATTGTAAATGTACTTTATTTCCCCATCAATGTTTTGGCGCGGTTAAAAAAATCACCTGCAGGGCGGGACAGATGGCTAGACAGAAGCAGGGCTTGGGGCACGTGGATTGGCGGAATCAAAACATGCAAATATAAGGAATAACTGTCAGATTTTTCAATTTCCTGACGATGATCAATCGATTGGCTTGCGTGATAATTTTATGCAAATTATAACGGAAGCCAATCGAATGATCACATCATGAAATCGAAAAATAAGGCAGTTATTCCTTAAATGTTACATGTACATATTGCATTGCCAATGACCGCTAAGCTATTTGAAAATATCTACATGTAAACTAGCTCCCGTTACAAAGTCAAGTCCTACGCGTCACTGCCATGGAATACCAGTCAAGAAGCCTATTACGTAACATACACACGTACGTAAGGTGAACTCTGAATTGTTGATTTGCCATTGTGACTGTGCAGCAATCAATCACATGACCAACGCAATTAATTACGTATAGACCAACATTTTGGCTTTGCCACCGAGTGATGTGTAAGAGACGAGATCTTTTATGGGTATCTGATAAAGTACACAAAGAAATTGACTCAGTCATGTTGACAAGACCATTATATATGAAGACCAAATTATGCAGTCGTCAAATTAAGTATAAAATACTTTGTTAACGAAGGTGAGAAGCTGCGGTATCCCACCTGTTTGTCATAACTGAAAGAGAAATACGAGACCTTGCAATTAGCTTATCAGTTTTGTAAAATCTGGAGACACTGTAGTTTCAAATATAAAGCAGTTCTAAATAAACAGATATGAATGTCTACTCTGAACGAGAAAATACCTTGAAAAGATCTGAAAGTACGAATGTACTTCCCCCTGTTTTATAGGTTCTATGCAGATACAAGGTTCTGTTTATGGCATCGCTGCTTGAAAAGCGGGAGGGTATATAGTTATCGGGATGTCTGTCCGTCCATCTGTCAAAAGTCTGTACGTCCGTCCGTCTGTCTGTTTCGCTTTGGGGTATCCATCTCTTATCCGCAGCTCCTCTCATACCACTGAATGAAATTTGATGAAACTTTCACGGTCAGAATCTTTATTACATATTGACATTGTGCACCTCCTATTTAACTTTTTGATCCCGACACATATTTTGGGTTTCCCATAGCAAAACATGGACACTGCCATTATAATCCTATGGGAGGGGGGGGGGGGGGTCATTTAGTGACCATATTGCTCACAGTACCTCTAGTTTATTATGGACTGGTTTTATATTTTAAAAAAAACTGTACATGTCTGAGGAACTTGTGGGACATTTTCATTTTTTCTGTTCTTGTAAAACCTCACCTCAAAATTAAAATAATGTACAATGTTGTTTTATTTAATAAAGCATTGTCTTTAATGCTTACATTTCTTTACAATCTTTGTATTATAGTCACGGTAGTAGTATTACGCTGTTTTGACATTATGATCTTTGAGACCCTATTAGAAAGAAACCAATAATTATCAAAGTTAACATAAATGTATAAACCAGAAGTGTAGATAAAAATACACAAAAACTAATGTGTGAAAAAAGACAAATGCTGATAGATTCTATGTAGATTTAAAATATTGCTGCATTTTGATAATCGAAAACGAAAATCGAGTTATGAATCAGTATGGATCTTTTCAAATCATTTTTAGAAACTGTAAATTGCGCGTTATTTAGAATATCTGGAAA